GAGTAAGTGAAGAGGCAGCAGTGACTGTGTGTGTGCGTCTACGGAAAAAAGCTATGGGGAATACCGTAAATAAAACACATTTTTATGTTATTTTTCACATCGTTTTTTTTCTCTTAACCTTTTTCTTTGTTCCGATGCTTCTGTTCGCGTTTCTTGGAAATTCTGTTGCTCATGAAAAATGCGCCATAGAAGAAATGGGTCTCACAGCACGAGTTCCTAGATAGTAGGAATTTTTAAAAGAGCGGGTCTATCAGCAAGCGAGGAGCTTATGGGCACACGTACTACCAGCCCACAGTGCAAACGTGGACAGCCCTTGAGCGAGATACGGTAACCAACCCATGCGCAGACTTCGGTCGCGGCCAAGAGAGAGGAAGATTTAATGCAGTCACCCCAAAATATCTGCTTTAAGGGTTCACCAGAGTCTTATTGTGCCATCTACGGCGGCGAGGGTTCGTAGGTCTTGCGGCAAGCGGCTCGCTATATAAATGCGTCCAAAATGTAAACTTACTCTTGTAGCAAAATTCTTTGTGGAGTTTGCAAACCAGCCACGGATGAGAGACCCTACTTATGAAGACGATCATGGCAAATGTATTTAACTATTTACACCTGAAATGTCCGTTTCCTCAGAAGTATTGGTGCCACTGCCCAGCAGGTTGATAAGACTAATGGCTGATATTACGACCGTTCCAGTATTACGATGAGCTGGAGAAGAACGGACACAAGTGGGTCTTTTGACATATCTTACAACCCTGCGTGGTAGGGGTTCAAGAATTTAACCGCGGTAAGCGACTAAAATCCAATAGCTCCCGCGTCAAATGGAACGACTCCGATTTTTAAACGGCCAAGCACTGTCACTAACGCAACATTCCCCAAAAAGTACTTTGGGGAATATTTTTGCGGTTAAAACAACTACAACAACACGTCTTACAGCTGTCATTCGGTGTCCGATTCAGCCGTTGGGATCTGGCATTCACATCGGTAGAAGTTTTTCAAGGTGAAAAATTCCCAAATATGTGAAGGCTGATGTATGCTAGGAGGATCTAATATCGACTCGTACCAATATCTTTCACTGGTAAGAGAACTGTGGGACGACATTTCAAGCACCGAAAAGAAAAGAAGAAATGCTGGTACGATGAGGACTGTCGTATCGTTGTGGAGAGAAAACCCGCAGCCTAACTGATACCGATACTTGAGCAGGAAAGCTAGACACATATTTTCAGACAGAAAAAGTGGCCGCTAGAAATGTGTATGTAAGAAGAGCTCAAGAGTTCGACCAGCAGCGATAATGTGCGCAAATTGTATTAAAAAAAAGCTACCTAAAGAGTGCTGGCCGGAGACGGTGAAACGAGGAATTGAATGAGGTACATAGCGACATTGAAAGATGTTAGTTTGACAATGAGAACTCTCCAGCTCTGCACTCAGGTTATACAAAGCCCGCTGTTAGAAACAGGGAAAGTTCAAGTGGAGAAGGATCTGATTTCACGTGCAGCCTCCGATTGGCGCTGAACGGTGTGGAGATCAGATGTGATGAGTGGCTTGCTAATCTTCTGGTACCCAATTAAGAAGAAGAAAATTCGAGAGTGACGAGTCCTTGGCCGGATAAAAAATCCGTGTGGTTCCGGTATAAAGACCCGACAGTCGCCGGAACTAATGGAATTTAGTCGCCACTTACGCCTTGCATGCGTATATTCTTGAGCCCTCAGCTGGCAGGGGGTATGAAATTGGGAAATTATTTTATTATTTTAAATTTCCACAATTTTAAATACATTTGTATACACGTATGTGTGCATGTATGTGTGTATAACTTTTCATGCATATTTCCTCATTTTTTTTTTTTTTTTTGCTTTTGTTTATAAGAATATTAATCACGTTCGCTAAATTTAAGCTCATTGTTTACATACATATATATGTAGAAGTGTATGTAATATATATATATATATATACTCTTTGCATGCTTCTTTCTTGCTCCACAAATTGTGAAAATCGCGCCCATTACCTGCCGCTGTGAGTTAATGAAAATTTTACTTTGCTCTCTTTTCAATTTTCACACAAACACAAACACACACACATACACCCAAATTGATTTATTTATTTTTATTTCATTTATTTTTCTTTGTGCTTTTATTACGAGTAAAATTCATTTTTTTCTTTTACTTTTTGCTTTAAAAATAATAAAAAAATTTATCGCCAGAAATGATGATGCTCTCCATATGCATATGTAGGTACATACATATGTATGTTTGTTTGTTTGTATGTAAATATGCAATTGGTAAAATACAACATCGTTCATTCTTAATGACTGAAATTATTATATTGACCGCGCTACATACATACATACATATTTACATTGCATATGTGTAAACATATGCATTTATGTTTTACGTACATACATACGTGTACATACATATCTTAAGTCACTATTATTGTTTACTTGCATAACTTGTTGTTGTTCTTTTCAAAAATTTTCACAACAAATGCGTGAATGAAACGCACGCATTTTATTTTTAATCACTTTTTCACATACGTGTATGTATGTGAGCGTGTGCATGTATGTATGTATGTATGTATGCATGTTAGCAAGCATCTTATGTTGCAAGTGCTATGATTATTTTGGAATTTTGTGCAATCAAATTAACATTTAGTTCAAATATTTGATGCCCCAGTGTGTATGTGTGTATGTGTGCGTGTGCGTGTGCGTGTGTTCTTTAAATATTTTTTGTTTACATTAATCATTGATTTCTATGGAAAACGCAATTTTTTAAAAATAAATTCACTACAATTTGCCTGTACATATATATGTACATATGTATATACATAATAACGTAATAAATATGCAGTTTTGGTTGTATTTTGAAAAAAAGCACACATATTTTTATAAAATGTTTGTTTTTTTTCAAAATTTGTGTAACCTTCGTCGATGTTTTTGCTAAATAGCGGCCAAACCGTCAAAATCCTAAATCTTTGAGCTTCGATTCAAGTAAAATATAAAAAAAAATTCACCCGCACAATATTTTGGTCAACTTTTTCCCAAATGTATATATTTAAATAAGTTTCCGGCTAAACAAAATATTTATATTAAGCTGATACTGAATAGAACACAGGCCCCGACTCTAAATAGTTCAACTTTTCGCAGAATAAACCAAACCGTTTGCCGCCCACAACTAAATATATGTATATATACATTTTTTTCAATATATTTATGTTTTGAAAAATAAAAATAAATACTCACTTATATTTCCATTTCCGCAAGACATGTATACCAATTACCAACAACAACACACTAACCACAACACTTAACTGCCATTTAATTAGGCTAATACTGCATATATCCGTATTTAAGTTGTGTGGAATTTCACTCAGATCATCACAATATATGGTGAGTGTCATTTTTAGAAATTAAAGTTGCTTTTACACATATGGCATATATATATTTGTTAATAAATAGTTTTTAAACTAATAATACAGATATTTAAATATTTAATTTCGTAATTTATTTTTATAATTGATTTTTTCCATATTTTTTAAATAATTTTTTTTGTTGTAAATACGCTTTAATTGTGCTCAAAAACATGTTTTTTTAACCAAAAGCTGCTTAAAATTTTCGAAAATCAATTTTTCACACTTAAAAAACGGATTTTTGCGTTTGAAAAACTGCCGATTTTTAGCAATATTATTTTCAAAACTGTACCGTCCGCTATTATTTAGTTCAAAAATTACATTTATTCCAAGAAGAAATATTTTCAAATTTTAAATTTACATGCACACACACACTTTGAACGCGAAGGAAATTAAATATTTTGTTAATTTCCAGACAAACACCATTTTTAAATGCTATTTAAATTATATGTATATATACAAATTAATATTCAATTCACAATTGCGCTAACATGCGTTTATAAGTAGAAACATATGTATGTATGTATGTATGTAGTATGTAAATATTTAAAAATTTTGGTATTCACCAAACATTTGTTTATTTTTCTTTAATAAACATTTAAACAATACAAATCCACAAATCTTTTTTTTTTTTTTTTTTTTTTTTTTTTTTTTTTTTTTTTCGCGTCGAAATTTTCAAAAGTAGAATTTGGCGCAGAATTCAAATATTTATTTTACCAAATTTTGCTATACCGAATTTCGCATGCACTGCCGACGATCGCCACCGACTTTCTGAACATAGCCAAGTGAAAAGTTTCGTTGTTGCCTCATGAGTTGTGGAAATTTGTGATTGTGAAGAAGATGTTCGCAGAAGAGAAGATCAACGCAGCCTCCGAGTAAAAATACAAAACAATTAGACCGGCAAATGTATTTAAGAGAGCATATTCTCAATTTTCGTGAAAAAAGTTGGGTTTATGTCATATTGATCATATTGAATATAAGATATAAAGGAGCACTTTTGCTTTCACGCCTGTGTTGTTGTTGTTGTAGCGGATTCGCATAAATGTGTGTTTGTGTGTGTGTGTGTGTGTGTGTGTGTGTGTGTGTGGGTGTGTGCATATGCACTTATCTCTTCACTTAAGCGGCGCGGGCACTTGAAATCCGTTCAGATATTTAAATGGTATGTATTCAAGAGATTCATAATTCTTAAAGTAAAAATATGCATTCATACTTACGTGCTATAGAAACGTACATATACACAAGTATAATATTTGTATGATCTTCTTATCAGTCTCACGTGATTGGATTAAGGTAATTTATTCACATCTTTTTGTGTTCTTTTATGGTTTATTATTATCAGTTTTTTTTTAATATCTTTACCATACTTTTTATTTAACATTAACGTGAATGAATTAAATTGGCAATATGAGTATTATATGATGACTGAAATTTAATTTAACGCTAACTTGGCGTTAAGCTGCTTCTCAAAACGATGTGCCCTAGGCTATAACATATACATATATTTAAAGATCTATGTTCGAGTAGAATAAACAATAACAAGCCGTATAAAAGTTAAATTAAATAAACATGCACTTAACTTTCCATTTTGAACTTTTATTATGAAATATTTCAATATACTTATTGTAGTGGAAATCAGTTTTCAAATTTTCAAATTTAAAACTTCAAATGCTTTAAAGGTGAATTCATGAATATTCTATATTAAGATTTATGAGCTTATAAGTGTTTATAACAAGTAAGTGTTAGTTTGGTTTTACTTTAAAAACTATAAAAATAATCACATTTATCGCAAATAGCGCAAAGATTGTTGCTACCAGCATCTGCTGTTCGAGGCTCTAAATAGAAGGTTAGGTTCATAATGCAATTCTTTTCATGAGCGTCTACTTGCGTATGCAAAAATTTACGTAAGTTTTGTGGAGCGAAAGATGATATAAAGCTATAAATAAAGAAATTAATAATTTCGTGTTGTAATTACATTTTAGAATTTACCAACCTCACGCCGCATGTGCACTTGAATAAATAATTTGCCTGTTTGTTGTCTTCAGGCGCTATACTATTGAGATTTTTTTGTTGGCAAATCGGACAAATAACAGTTTTGTCATTGTTGTCATCATCAGCAGCATCAATTAAAAATGTCTCTTCGGCTTCTAATTCTTGTATAAACCATTCATTCATTTCATCGCGTAGTTCTTTGAAAATTTCTTCTTGTAAAACTAAGTCATCCTCAAGGTTGGCAAGTTCCTCACGCAGCAGCTTATCAATATCTAACTATAAAATAAAAATTGTATAAGGGTTTACTTTATAGATATACATACATCCTTACATTCTCAGCTATGCTGTTTAAGCGCCGTTTATTGAAGCTAGCCTGTCGCGCCTCACGCACTCGCATACGACATTTCTAAAGTAAATTAAATGTAATTGGAAATAGCAAGCAATCAATCATAATGCATAAGACTTGTTTACTAACATCTCGCAATTGATCTCTAATTTTTGGCGATCCATATCGATAGACTTTTGCAGCATTTTTCGAATGCAGCTTCTGTTGGACACTTGTGTGATACTCCGGATCTTTAGGACACTCCAAGGACATGTTGCAATCAACTCAATTAATCCAATTAGGCTGTAAGGATTTTTAAAAAATGAAAACGATATTCAAATCTGTAAATCATTCGCAGTTATTCCAGCAAAAATTGTCAGAACTCGTATAAACAGCTGTGTATGACAGTTCTTTTGGCAACTTGACTCACTTTGCAACAACAAACGTAACAAAATTGTGAAGATATTGAATTTCATAAAAGTTAGCTCTCTGTGGGTTTCCCACAGTTCTGTTATCAGTATACTCTACTTTACAAATTTGTGAATAAAAAATGTTGATGTTAACTCAAATTTTTAAAGAAAAAATATTTTTTAAATCTATTTTCCTATTGCATTCAAAGAAACTCGGTGAAAAATAAATAAATTGTTTCCACAAACTTTTGGAGAGCTTTCTAGAAAAAACATATGAATTATATATATTAAACAATTTTATATATAAAAAAAAAACTTTGCAACTAAAATTCAATATTTCTCACTTCTTTACCTAGTACACAAACCCAAATTAATTTATTTATTTGACAGCTATTATGTTCGTCACTAACGCCAACATTACAAAAAATTTCAACCGCATCCAATATGGCCATCAACTTCCTTTCGCCTTTTCCTTTTCTCTTTCAACGTGCTAAGTGACAAGTTAAGGTTAGTGAAACTTTCTGTGTTTTTGCCTTTATTTGCACTAAAAACTAAATTAAATTGTTCATAAAATGTTCCTGTATTGTTGCATTGTAGATGACTGCCACCGCAGCCGCCAAGAAGCCCGAAGCAAAGGGCAAATCTGCCAAGAAATTACCCGCTGTCCCAGAATCAAAGCTGAAGTTCAGTAAGAAACAAGTTAGCAGCCGGGCCAGCTTGATCAAGCGTAAACTGAAGCGTGCTAAAGTTATTGCACTCCGCAAACGTGAGAATTTGGTACGTGCAGAGAAATACCAAGCTGAATACTTGCGTGATGAACGCCGTGAGATCAAGTTACGTCGCTTGGCCAAGAAACGCGGTCAATTCTATGTACCAGCTGATGCTAAATTAGCCTTCGTTATTCGTATCCGCGGGTGAGTAACTTGTGCCAATTCAAAGTCAAGTTTGTTAATTTAAACCGTTTATATTTCTCCATAACAGTATCAACAAAGTTGCACCCAAAGTGCGTAAAGTTTTGCAATTGTTCCGTCTGCGTCAAATCAACAATGGCGTCTTCATCAAATTGAACAAAGCCACCATCAATATGTTGCGTATTGCTGAACCCTACATTACATGGGGTTATCCTAATTTGAAATCGGTCCGCGAATTGGTCTACAAGCGTGGATTCGTTAAGCACAACCGTCAACGCGTGCCAATCACCGATAACTTTGTGATCGAACGTAAATTGCGCAAGGCACACAACATTCAGTGTGTTGAGGATTTGGTGCATGAAATCTTCACCGTTGGACCACATTTCAAGAAGGCATCAAACTTCTTGTGGCCATTCAAACTGAATACTCCAACCGGTGGCTGGCGCAAGAAGGCTAATCACTACGTTGAGGGTGGTGATTTCGGTAATCGCGAAGACAAGATCAACAAATTGCTGCGCAAGATGGTTTAAAATGTTTTAAAAAATTTGCTTTACCCGTAAGATCTGGGGAAATTTCGTTGATGTACAAGGGGGAGTATTTTTATTCCAAAAAATATATTAATAAAAATTGAAAAATATGTTTTTAATTTTATATATAAAGTGTATATATCTGAATGCTGCATATGAAAATAGGAATAGAAACGAATGTGTTGAGGTATTCTTATAAATAATAGTAGTAAAAGAACTATAAAGTAAAGAAATTATGCTTGGTTGGTATGGAAGTATGGAATTTCACTTAAAAGGAAATTTTCAGCGATTTTTTCAATGGGGATTTTTTGTGGGATTTAAGCCGCATTCAATAGACTTTCGAGATTTTTAGAAGTTCCTCGGAGCTTTTACAAGCATCCGCTTGTATAAAAACTTTGAATACTTTTATATAGTGAGTTGTGGTTTGTTCAGGGACTTTTTAGACTTGTTTGAAATATTTTACCTACCCTTACCGGTTGTAAGCACTGGATATTACTACTGCAACTAGTATATTACCCGAAACGTTGCACTAAAAGGTAAATTTGTTTCTACTGGTAAGAGGAAGATACTATCTGAGATATTTACTTAAGCCCACACAGGCATTCAAAATAAAACTAGTAAATTTACTTAAATCATTTTTATTGCCTTTAATTGTAAATTTGAAATGTATCGTCATTATTTTCTCACATAATTTGCATTACTTTAATAATTTTATTGCGAAATCTTATAATTGCATATTGAATGAACGTTTCGTACGATGCTAATGTTATTGTTAATAACTTAATTTTTGTTTTTTCATGTTAAAATTTTTTCTTTTTCTTCTCAATATATTAAATTGTAATTTAATAATATATTTCTTAACTACTTTCATGCAACGAATATTTTAGCTTTGATAATACAACTATGTATTTAATATAATTCGTAATTTATTTGGAAATAAGTATGTTTATTTTTTTTATATATCCCGGTATATAATTTCGCAGTTTTTCTCAATATTTGAAATACAAATTTTTATATGTAAATTGTGTTAATTGTATCAGTACCAAATAACACACTGCAATTGCTATCTTACACTTGCACGTACTATCTTCTTATTGTTGGCCGTGTGATACACGAATATTTTGAAAATGCCGTTGATCCCAATACTCCTCCAAGTTAAATGGCTTGAAGTTTTTTAATTGATGATCCGATTCGTTGCAATAGTTTACCGGCGTATTTTGCTCATTAACCTTTAAAGAAAAATTAACAATTTTAGTATATGGAGAAACATTTAAATTGAAAAAAATATTAAATTAGGAAGTAAGTCATTTTTATTTAATAAATTTTGACTTAAAAACTATGTAAGTAAATACTCTAAAAGTGCCCACGTATGCATTACTATATATTTGTGTAAATCTGGGTACACCGCACGAAGAGTACTTACACATTGGAACACTTGCTGGCTTACATTTTACAAATGCCAAATATCTAAGTTCTTATAGCCACACGTTTTGAGTTTAAAAAAAATTTCTTGTTTGTTTTCCCAAACGAATTCTCTTACATTTTCTTTACATTTCTTAAATGCTCAACAAAAATTTTCACAGTCAGCAAAATTCCACAATAAATAACCAAATTTTACATATAAAAATGTGCAATACATATGCAGCATATATTGTATATAGTGCAATAGTGCAATTTTTGTAACGGCTATACGAATTCAAATATTTAAACTTGTGTGAAAATTATCTTAGTTCTTTAAAAAATGCCTCGCCGACGTTACACACGCAATGTCAATAACAGTCGCATAAATTTAAGTAGTCTTTCACCTAGCTGGTCGTTTGCACCTTCTTCACCGCCAGCAACAATTTCGACTTCGCGCACCGCATCTGCGGTTGGGACACATAACTATTCTTATACAGATTATGACAGCACAGATAACGATTGTGAAGAAAATGGTAGAACGAGTGTAAACAATGCAACGGAATTGAACCATTCAAATAATGGAGAAGAGTTTGATGACCAGTTGGATTACATATCCCAACATGAATTTTCGTATCATGAATTTGCAGCCGCCTTGCCACCACCTCATTTACTAATGAATTTATATGAGGTAAGTATTCAGAATAACATTATAAAAATATATAGCGTCCGTCTACCGTTTAACACATAATCCTATTTAACTGTGCAAACAAACGCGTGGGTTTGTAATATTCGCTTCCCGCTTTCTCGGGACCTAGTTTTTTCTTAACCTAATTTTTATCTATCTATCAAGCAAAATGGATATGTAAAAATTTATATTCACATGTTTTTACTGAGATCTTACCTTAGTCCATGCTTCCCTGATGTATCGAATCAGTTCGTCATGTTGTGTTAGCGGCTCGCGGGACATCGCGGAGGGTGGTGAGTATGCGTTATGATTGGACGTGGAATATTGTGACGAATTACTACGATGATTATCTAAATTTTGTTGCTGATGTTGATTATTGTTCGAAGATGCGTGAGATGAAAGCGAATTTGATTGATTATGTTGTTGGCCTGCGCGCCGTATTGGTGTGTAACGATTTGAGCTAGAAATGGAAGATTAGAGACCTTAAAACTATATTCAAAAATTCAAGTTTAAAAAAATATACATATTTATATGAGTTCAGTAACTACGTTTCGATGGCGCCAAAGATTTCGAAATACACTTAGGTTTCTGTAGTTACGCAGGTACATACTTTTGTATGTACATACTACTACAATATTATCGGAAATAGCATGTGCATATGCATTTGTATATATGTATTCATTATTGAATTTTCATTTGCTAAATAATAATGCACTCACGTTCAAATACGCGTGACTGTAATCAATTTAATGCATTTAAGCTACTTAAAATATTACAAGTATCCAAATATTAGAGAAAAAATTAGACGCTTAAAATTTTTGTGCGCCTAAAATCTCTTACACCAGGTACACTTGTATTTTTTTTTAACAAAGCTAAACATCAATTGTGTTCAGTTAATTATATATTTATTAATGGCATCCTTATCCCAGCGGCAGTCGCTCTTTCACAAGAATCTAAAATTCTTTAGCGGAGTTTGTGGTTAAAGGCCTTGGCACCATTTTACTTATTCTTCTTTGAATGTATTTTTCTTGCCAAAAAAATTCACGAAATGCTAGGTGAAAAACTCGATTTATATTGAAATTTTTATTAAATTACCCATTGTTGCGATCCATTATGTATTTTGTTTTATGTTTAGCTTTTCCTATTTATTATTTATACGCACGACTTATGCGCCAATAGCAATGCACTTATAATTTTTTTTATTTTTTTTCTAATATAGGCTGAATTCCGAGTTTAATTTTTTGCAGGAATGCGTGTTTAATCTGTTTTTGAATATTTTACTGCATCGAATTTCTATTGTACTTTAATTAAAACACCATCAAAACTCAGGTAATTTAGTCGACGTTGAATTTTTGTCTGTTTTCGCACTCTCAAATTATTGCTTTTATGCTCGTTTGTCCGTCCCTTTGTTTATTGTAAATTTATTTTTTATTCTTTCCTTAGCTCTCTTTCAATGCCACATTTATCGCGTCTTTGCTTCTTCCTTTTAAAAACGGTGATGGCAAATGTTTTGAAATATTCACGGTGTACATATACCGAAAAAAGATGCCTTTCATGCGTTCAATTTATGTTTTTAATGGTCGAAATTTTGTAATTAATTTAGTTTTGTTACCTAGAAATACAAATATACACCACTTGCTTAAGTTATGAAATTTAAAGAACTTCATTTTACAGGGCTATTCTCACTGTTACCTGTAAAGTAAATTTTGTTATTTCTTTTAACTCCCGAAATTGAATTTGGTATTCTGGCGAACATAATTTACAGGATGGCAGTGAACTCAGAATACAAAATAGTAACAAAATTTCCTGAATGGTAAATTTTAATACCAAAGTAAATTTTTTTACCTCGACAGAATAGGCCTGTTAAAGCTTAAAACCCCTTGCGGATTAGGGGTTCATGAATTTGCCCGCGGTAAGTCATGCCTATCGTAACAGGCCTATTCTCACTGTTACCGGTAAAGTAAATTTTGTTACTTTTCTTTAACACCCGGAATTGAATTTGGTATTCTGGCGAACTGGTTACAGTGTTTGAAAAGACTTTGGCAGCACTGCCTTTTTCGTCCATGTCAAATTACATTTGTCAGTTGATAAAGTAAAAAGAAAAATATTCACATCGAAATGGAAGACAATGCACAAAAAAATTAAAAGTTTTATTAATTTGTTTATTAAATCATAAATATTTGAATCTAATTATGGAAAATATGCCTGGACAACAAAATAGCTGAATGAAAACGTTGTCTTACAAATTAAAGGGCTCTTTTTCAGTCTCGAAAACTTCTTAAAATACGGCTTTTGCACTTTTTCATTATCTTCAATGAATTCTAGGCCTAAAATATGCCTACCCATTTTGGTTTTTTTTATTTTTTTTTAACCTTACAACACAAAATCAAACAGCAGATATTTTTGTTACCAAATGTCATTGTATATAGGCAAAAATTAATAATTAATATTTTCAAAATGCTTTTGAGACTACTCTATAGATATTCTTAAATCAAAAATTCTGGACAAAACAATTACACTAGTGTGTAATAAAGCCCTGGGAAAGCCTAATACCTCTTCAAGCGAAACAACTTTTTATGTACAAAATAAATTTATTTCTTATTCTGTAATTGCTTAATCAGCCTAAATCTGTAAAAAAGCTTCCTTCTAAATTAAAATCATCCTGTTCTTCAGAGCACTGCTCTTTAGTTAAGTCTTCTTTGAATTCGTTGAAGTATTTGCCATTTGAATTTTCACTCCAAGCCTGTCCTGCTTGAGCTCGCTCGGTTTTGTTATTAGTATGTGGTACGTGTGGATAAATACACTTTGTATAGTTCAACGTATTAATATAAGATGACTTTTGTGGTCTCAGACCATAACGTTCTTCGAAAAAATTGAACACTTGTTGTTTGTTAGTGAAGTTATTAAATTCCAATCGTAGTTTTCGCTTCATATGGCTGCTCCACATAAATGTTAGATGGTGATGAAAGCATTGAAAATTTATATTTTCACCTGCGCTGGTCGCTATATCCAACCACTCCTGTACACATTCCATTGGCGTTTCTGTCCCGGTTATATGTTTGTTGAAAAGCGCAGGATTTGAAAGTAGTCCACGTGCTGACATGATACCATCTGCTTGCGTTTGTTCATGCAAATCTATTGCATCCTTCCAACTACGCACATTCCCATTTACCACAAGTGGTATCTGTATAGATTTCTTTATTTCAGTCATGGCGGGTATATTTAGAGGATCTGATGTCTTCTGCCACATTGTTCGGCCGTGAAGATTTAAGAATGTAGCCCCACATTTTTCTAGCTGTCGCGCTAATTCAACAGTAGATCTTATCGACTCCTCAGCATTACCGTTTAGCAATCGTAGTTTTACTGATATACTAAAGTTTTGTGGTAGTACACGTCGAGCTGTTTGAATAATATCACGGACTAGTTCTGGCTGTCGTAGCAGCCCACAACCATAACCTTTAGATATAGCCCAGGACTGGGGACAGCCGCAATTCAAGTCCACGCCATCAACATATGGATATATTAATTGGGCAGCAAGAGAGAATTCATAGGCATCACATGCAGCGAACTGTGATATAATTGGGACATCTTCTACACATGTAGTGAACTCATTATCACGCGCCTTCTGGCTGTGTATAAACGAGTCTGCAATGATCATAGGGGTAAAGGCAAGTTTTACACCATGCTCACGGATTAACCGCCGAAATTCCAACTTGCTATACCGCACCATTGGTGCACTGACACATACAAATCCATGTGTTGTTTTCTTTTCATCTTCGAAAACTTCTAATATATTCTTATGCGGCCTTTGTTGAGGTAATAACTCGAGATTTACAATATTCATGTTAATTAATACTATTTCCGAATATTTTAGTTTTAATTTGTATTTGTTTACATGTTTTCCATTGCTTTTTTTGGTTATAATTTTATTTCCTTCGCTTTAAGGACAGGGTTGTATTAAAAAGACGAATATTTGCCTTTGCCGAATTTTGGACTAAAATTTTCGGACGCTGAGAAGTCCCTATTGTAATCACTAACATAATGAAAATATACTGTTATTATTGAACGAACGATATGCGAACTGTGTTTCACATTTGAAGCAAGGAGCATATATGCTTAATTCATTCAGGGAACAAATTATATACAGATTTAAAACAAATTATTAAACACACTAAAAATTAATCAAATCATAATCACTCCAAGGGGAAATTTTAATTTTCTTTGTTTTTATTGCAATTCGGGGTTTTGTTGAAGGAATAGTAATGCTAATCTCAGTTGCAACTCTATATATGTCACATCCCTGTTTTTCAAAACGAAAGAGAGAATGCGAAAAAAGCCAAGAAAACAACAAAAGCCCAAATATTAATTAATTAAAAATTAAAAAGAAAAGTGATTGACTGTGACTAATATTAAAGTTCAACGTAAAATTAAATTTTCATCAAGCTCTAGATAATATTCATGATCATATTTATAGTTAAGAAGCATAATATTGCATACGACAACATAAAGAAGTATAGAAGTAACAGAAACTCCGGCTAAGAAATGCACTTCTCCATTCCGGACACTCAAGAATTATATGCGGAGCTAACTGGTACCACCTACACAGGCTATAATATATACATTAATGGCAGCTACCATTGCTGTTTGCGCTATAAGCAACTGCATGCCTTGCATGAGCAACTGCGGCGTCGTTGTGCTGATCTCAATATACAATTGCCAGCTACATTCCCACCAAAGCGGCTCCTACCATTAACTAACGGCCAACTAGAATCTAGGCGTGCTTCATTAGAACACTATTTGCAATTATGTGGACAAGATGCAGTTATTTCCAAAATAGAACAATTTCAAAATTATCTCTTGAATGCACAGCAAGAAACGTCATTAGTCGAAGGCGTCTTAGGCCATGATTTCAGCGGTAGTGATTTGAAACGAGTTTCAGCTGTGCTGGAGGTGTGGCTTTCAAATGACCTCACTATACAGGTCAATTGTCATATCGGTGATAATGCTAGTTCGGTATTACGTACTGTATGTGAATGTGTCCAACTACCTACACAATTTATGCAACATTTTTGCCTTTATTTGGTGCGACGTGAAGACAGTGATATCATACAAAATAAATTGGTGCTATTAAGACGTTTAATGGACTTCGAATCACCGTACTTGTCCCGTTTGTGGGCACAAGAAAAATCCCCAATGTGTCATGTAATGATGCGGAAAAGCTATTGGAATCCAATATATGACTTAGGATTACTACATGATCCAATAGCGCTAAAATTGCTCTCTGCACAAATTTCCATGGATATAGATAATGAATGGATCATTACGCCCCCCGATGTGATGCAGAAGCTTATAAGTTTTCAGGAACACGGACTGCAAAAAGAATACATTCAGATGGCCCGACAGCTGCCACTTTACGGTTGCTTACAATTCAGTGCATGCATTGTTGATTATCCAGAACCACGTACGACAGCGCTGATTTCAATAGGCAATAAAGAATTAAGTATGCGTACGGCAAAGGCTGGCAAAATTTATGAGACTAAATTTCGGGTTACACGTATGCGTTGTTGGCGGGTTACAGCAATGCATAATACCAGCACTATTGATTCATCAATTTCCAACAGTGGTAACGATAATCCAAATAATTATGGAAAGTCCCCGACCAATTTACAACTCGCTTTCGAATATTTGATGTCTAAGCAAACTTTACGCTGGATTACAATTACCAGCGCCCAAGCTATGCTCATGTCGGTTTGTCTGCAATCGATGGTTGATGAATTGCTAAATTGTAAAGACACCATTGACGGCTTAAACGCACGCATTGCAGATAACTCTCAAACGCAATTGTTATCCTACGTTTCCCGTAATGGGCGAGTTTCACATTCACCACCTTCAATACTGACTTCCTCTGCATCTACACCTTCTTTGTCCACGGAATTAATGTCGTCATCGACTGCAACAACAGCGACTACAACATCAAGTTCATCTTCTTCGTCGTCGCCCACGGCACCAGTTAAATTTCTCACACAACCCACACGGACGAAATGCAATCCAAAAATATCTAACTCTAGCTCATACTCGGCAGTTTTCTTTCGCAATATTGCTGAGGAATCTGTACACAACGAAGCATTCGAAGGAATTGGCGATGATGATCTTTAAAGAAAATACATAAAAAATGATAACTAAAAGTGCACAAACGATTTTATTCTCGATCAAAATGCACAAATTTCTCCATTATTGAACATAAATACAAAAATTTGGTTTTTAATAGCCTAAACGAGACAACTGCATTTATAAATGCACTAAAGAATAGATGTTAAATTACGTTTATCTACGGCAAACAAGCACCGGTCCAAATATTTAATGTATTAAAATACATTGGAAAACAAACTTGTTAAAAAATTTTATTACTCTTGTCGAAAATATTGCCAAATTATTAAGGATTAGTTTGTTATAGTAAAATTTGATACTAATAAGGGTTTTATTTTAATTTTACACAAAAAGCATAAATACGGACTACATCAAGTACTTGTTGTTAGTCTATTAAATTTTTGAAAAAAAGTGCATTTACATTTGCATTTTATGATATGTGTATGTATGTATTTAAATGTATAAAGAATTTATATATATTAAAATTTGTTTTGTACACTAATGTTTTTAAAAGTAATTTTAGGAATATAGTCTTTTATAAATTTAGCTGTGAATGTAGCAGCTTTTAATTTTAGGTAAACATATAAACAATAATTTCCCGCAAATTAACCCTATAACTGGTGTGCTGTGTTTAAACTGTTGAATTCAAATTAAAAATTCATCTAAATCTATTTTCTATCCAGTTCTTCTTATTTAAAAGAAAATATTTTATTTATATAATATTATATTCCCTTGTGGCCGCAGATATCAAAAGTTAACAGAATTTTATAAATATGCTTTGTATTTACTTATGATTTTGTAAACACGTGTGAAAACCTTTTGCACCCGATGATAAATATTTCTTTTCGTATACAATTAATAACAAATATTACGCAACACTTTTGTAAAAAAAAAAAAACTTGCTATAATTTTAATAAACATCCCATAAATTCAAACATTTACATATTTTTTCGTTGCACCTGTAATTGCAAAAGACTTGGTATAAACTATGATTTTGCAATTAATTAGTGCGGAGGGGAAAACGAAAAATTTAAAAAATTATGGCAAAAGTCATGAAAGATAATTATAGCACCGGACTAGTGGAAGATTTCGCTTCCCCTATAAGTACTTGGACAAGCCTTCAGCTCTCTGCTTCTATTTTTTTAAGGTGAAATTAACTTCTAGATATCCAGTACCAGTTTACCTTTAGAAATTACTGAATTTCTAAGATATGGTAATTCTAAATGTGGTTTTTATAGGAAGTCACCTAAACTTCCGTCTCAGCTTTTTATTGGGAATTTATTTAACATCACGCTTCTCTGTATTGGATTTTGTGTGAAACCATAAAATATATTTTCAATACTTTCCTATATCCATTTCTAGGGATTAGCTATGTGAATTCAAATTGTATAATAGTTGCCATTTTATGATTTTTCTTTCTGTTCTTACGTCAGCGGTAGAATTTAAAAATAAATGATTTAAGGAACTATTGCTTCAGTTCTGTATAGCGAAAAATCTTGATCGGAGCTGATGAACTTTGACATTGATCTCTTTACAGTGTTAATTTTTAAACACCTTAGCCTAATACCATCATGTCAATACTCTATTAGCATTCTGAGCAAAGCTTTTTAAAACGGGAAGCGGCAGCTCTGGATTTTTGCTAATGCTGGGCACTACTGCTGCTAGTGGCATCGGCATTTCGCTGCATCTCGCGTCAAGCGAAAATAATTCAGTTTTCAACGGCGGAAAGCAACGACGTCTTTCGGTCGCAGTGCGTGAAGTCAGTTGTAAAATTGAAATAAATATTTTTACTAGTTTTCACAAACTATTACTTTTGTCATTTGAGAATATAAAATATTTTAATTTGTTTAAAGTTACTGCACAACGTAAACGTTAATTGTTTGCCGGCTTCTGCCAACACGAACTATAGTACCGGGCGAGTACCTACAGTAATATTTGTTGTGTGAAAGTGTTTAAACCAACAAAAGAGACTTTTTTATCCACTAGAGGTAAGGAGCTTAAAGTTATTGTATTGGGAAAGTCTAATGAAGTGCTTTGAAAAAAGTATATCATGTTAAAAGTGAAGTTTAAAGCGATAAAATTTTGTTGTAAATTTGCGAAGCGGCGTTCGCCGCTTTTCGCTTGGCAAATTAAAAATGGCGCACTCATGTGGCAGCGGCAGCAGAGCGAGTGGCAATAATTGAGCGAGCGAGAAAGTAAACGGAAGCCAAAGAGAAAGAGTAACAATTGGGAGCAATTTATAGGTTTCGGATTTTTGTTTACAAAAATTTTGAAAACAGCAAAAATATTTCAAATATATTTCATTTGGTTTGGTTTTTTTTCACGCTTACCTTTGATTGCCAATGCTCCGCCGTTGTCGGTTAAAAAATTTTAAATTCCTAAACAGGGTGCGTTGTTAATGTGTTACAGAAAATGGTGTACATACACATTTTATTATGTATATACGATCATTTTATCATTAATTTCATAAACAATTATTGACTTTTTGTTTAATATCAAGAATTTACGTACGCACAAATGCTTACATTTATCTACAATATAATATTGAAGATACCTTTTGTAATTATGGATCTAAAGCAGATGCTTTGAGAGCGTGCTATACATGTTAGCGCCAAAATTCAAAAGCGTTTATACACTCTTCGCTTGTAGAGGAAAAACTAACTAACTCTTATTTTGAAAGTTTTAGTAATTAAGAATTTTTGTTTTAGTTGTTTCGCATATGCTGCTCTGATATGATTAATATGAAAATTATTTTTCGCTTTACACGAATTTTAAAATTTAAATAGTTACTTTTCTATTATGCCAAAAATAATATTCTCTCTTGTAGCTAACCAATTATATAGCAATGGAGAACGGTAGTGGTAATGTCGCAGGGAGTGGTACCTCCATTGAAAAAATGTACCAAAAGAAGTCGCAATTGGAGCATATTCTATTACGTCCCGATACCTATATTGGTTCCGTGGAACATGTTACCGAAACGATGTGGGTATATAATGAGGAAAGAAATCGTATGATACAGCGTCAAGTGACCTATGTGCCCGGTTTGTATAAAATCTTTGATGAAATCCTTGTAAATGCAGCCGATAATAAGCAACGTGACAAGTCCATGAGCACGATAAAGATTGATATTGATGCGGAAAAAAATACTATCTCGATTTGGAACAATGGTCAAGGTATACCAGTTACCATACACAAGGAGCAAAAAATGTACGTACCCGAGATGATTTTTGGACATCTTTTAACTTCATCCAATTACAATGACGATGAAAAAAAGGTTACCGGTGGTCGTAATGGTTACGGCGCCAAGTTGTGCAATATTTTCTCAACCAGCTTTATGGTAGAAACAGCAACAAAGGAGTACAAGAGGAGTTTTAAACAAATCTGGGCAAATAACATGTCGAAAACCACGCCACCTAAGGTTAGTCTTATTAAAAACAAAAACGAAATTCAAATCAAAAATTAATGCCTGATATTTTTTTTTTTTTTTAATTAGATTAAGGATTTTGCCGGCACCGATTTTACGAAAATTACTTTCAGTCCTGATTTATCCAAGTTTAAAATGGATCGTCTCGACGACGATATAGTCGCTTTGATGTGTCGTCGCGCTTATGACATCGCAGCAGCAACGAAAGGCGTTGCTGTTTATTTAAATGGCAAAAAGTTGCCTGTAAAGAACTTTAAGGATTATATTGATTTATATGTTAAAAATAATGATGAATCGGGACAACAAATAAAAATTGTTTACGAACAAGCTGGAGAACGTTGGGAGGTCGCCTGCTGTCCTTCAGAAAATAATTTCCAACAAGTTTCCTTCGTCAATTCCATAGCCACTACAAAGGGTGGACGTCACGTGGACTATATCGCTGATATGATCATTAAACAATTGATTGAAGTTGTCAAGAAGAAGAACAAAGGTGAGTAAAATAAAAAAGATATGATAAAGTGTATACATTTTTTTTATTCATTCGTGCACTTTTCTAAAATAGGTGGCATTAACATCAAACCCTTCCAAGTGCGCAATCACATGTGGGTCTTTGTTAATTGTCTAATCGAAAACCCCACCTTCGATTCGCAGACAAAAGAAAACATGACATTACAGGCGAAAAGCTTTGGTTCAAAATGTGCGCTCTCTGAAAAATTCATTGCAAACGTTTCGAAATCTGGCATTGTGGAAGCTGTCTTATCCTGGGCTAAGTTCAAAGCGCAGAGTGAAATCGATAAGAAAGGTGGTAAGAAGTCTTCAAAAATAAAGAACTTACCTAAACTCGAAGATGCTAACGAGGCTGGAAAGGCAAACTCATATCTTTGTACGCTTATCCTAACCGAGGGAGACTCAGCCAAGTCTTTGGCTGTTTCCGGTCTTGGTGTTATCGGGCGCGATTTGTATGGAGTATTTCCCCTTCGTGGTAAACTTTTGAATGTGCGTGAGGCTTCATTTAAACAACTAGCCGAAAATGCTGAAATCAATAATCTTGTAAAGATTATTGGTTTGCAGTACAAAAAGAAATACACGACTATGGAAGATTTGAAAACTTTACGTTATGGCAAAGTAATGATTATGACAGATCAGGATCAGGATGGTTCGCATATTAAGGGACTGCTTATTAACTTTATACACACAAATTGGCCAGAACTTTTACGTCTACCTTTCCTTGAGGAATTCATAACACCAATTGTGAAGGCAACAAAGAAAGATCAAGTACTCTCGTTTTACTCATTACCCGAATTCGAAGAATGGAAGAACGATACGCCAAACCATAATACATTCAACATCAAATACTACAAAGGTAATTTCTTTTTAACAAATACATACATATTTTTTCGAATGTATGTCAAGACTTTTTTTTTTGGTTTAAATTTAAGACGATGCAATAATTTCATATAATTTTTGTTTCTCAGGTTTGGGTACCTCCACTTCAAAGGAGGCTAAAGAATACTTCCAAGACATGGAACGTCATCGTATTGTATTCAAATATGATGGCAGTGTGGATGATGATGCCATCGTTATGGCTTTCTCTAAAAAGCATGTCGATGCACGTAAAGAATGGTTAACATCACACATGGACGAAGTGAAACGCAGAAAAGTGCTTGGTCTACCCGAACGCTATTTGTACACCAAAGGCACGAAACATATTACATACTCTGATTTTGTTAATCTGGAATTGGTACTTTTCTCCAATGCTGACAATGTACGTTCCATACCCTGTTTGGTAGATGGTTTTAAGCCCGGTCAGCGTAAAGTTATGTTCACATGTTTCAAACGTAACGACAAGCGCGAGGTCAAAGTCGCACAGTTGTCTGGTTCTGTTGCGGAAATGTCTGCTTATCATCACGGCGAAATGTCGCTACAAGCTACCATTGTTAATTTGGCACAAAACTATGTCGGTTCAAATAATATTAATTTATTGGAGCCTCGCGGTCAATTCGGTACTCGTCTACAGGGTGGAAAGGATTGTGCGAGCGCTCGTTATATTTTCACATTAATGTCACCGTTAACGAGACTCATATTCCATCCAGCCGATGATCCGCTATTAACATACGAAGTCGATGATGGTCAGAGGATAGAACCGCAATGGTATATTCCAATTATACCAATGGTTTTAGTGAACGGCGCTGATGGCATTGGCACCGGTTGGTCCACAAAGATCTACAATCACAACCCACGTGATATTATACAGAATATAAGAAGAATGTTGGCCAAAGAGGAACCAATACCTATGCATCCATGGTGAGTAATTTAGTAGCCAAGTTTTTTTTTCATTGTTCCATTACTTAATTCGATTCATTATAATTAATTGTGTAGGTATAAAAACTTCAGAGGCACCATTGACTATGTTTCTGATGGTCGTTATATATCTTCCGGCAACATACAAATTGTGCAAAATAATAAAATCGAAATTTCTGAACTACCAGTCGGTACATGGACACAGGCATATAAGGAAAGTGTGCTCGATGCCCTTTCAAATGGTGATAAGATCAAAGCGATAATTTCTGACTATCGCGAATACCATACTGACACTACAGTACGTTTTGTCGTTTCATTTGCACCTGGTGAATTTGAACGCTTGCAAGCTGAGGACGGTGGTTTCCATCGTGTATTCAAACTAACCTCTTCAATGTCGACTAATCAAATGCACTGCTTTGATCAAAACAACTGTCTACGTCGTTTCCCCACATCAATAGATATTATGAAAGAATACTTCCCCGTACGTCTTGATTTTTATGCCAAACGTAAAGAGTACATGATGGGACAACTAACAGCTCAAGCTGATCGTTTGACCGATCAGGCACGCTTTATTATGGAAAAGTGTGATCGTACTATTGTTGTTGAGAATAAAAAACGCAAGACCATGATTGATGAGCTCATCAAGCGTGGTTATAGACCCGATCCAGTAAAGGAATGGCAGCGTCGTATACAAATGGAGGATGAAGAAGAAGCTGATGAGGAGGAGGAGGAGGAAGCAGAAGAAGTTGCAACCAGCTCGACAGTGAAGAAGGAGAAAAAGCCAATTGATCCGGAGAAGGCATTTAAAAAGTTGACAGATGTTAAGAAATTCGATTATCTGCTTGGTATGTCCATGTGGATGCTTACTGAGGAAAAGAAGAATGAATTGTTGAAACAACGCGATACAAAGTTAGCTGAGCTTGCTGCGCTTAAAGCTAAGACCATTGAGACTTTGTGGTTGGACGATTTAGATGATTTCGAAAAGAAGCTCAATGAAATCGAAGAACGCGAACGTCTCGAAGAGATGGGCATTAATAAGAAACAGGCAAAGGCATTAACCGCCAAGGCAAAGGCTCTAACTGGTACTTTGAAGAAACGTGCTGCTAAGGGTGGCAACGAGAACATTTTCCCCGATCCAAATGGTGTCAAAGTTGAATTCAAGGTATGTACGAACGTACATTTAAACACATACACATGTATGTAAATATTTATAAACTTTTCCGTAACTTAACCATTTAGGTTACCGACGAGATAATGAAGAAAATTTCAACTGCTGTAGCATTAGCTGCCAGGCCAAAAATCAAAAAAGAAAAAGCCGAAAAGGCTGCAAAGGGCATAAAGACTGAAGAGGGTGATGAGTTTGATGCGCTGACCGAGAGTGGCGCTAAAGGCCCGAAAGGATCACCGGAGGCTTTGAAAAAGACAAAAGCTAAAGCGGCGGCTGCTGGTGGGGATGGAGAAAAGAAGCCGAGAGGACGGAAACCCAAGGATGATGGTCTGAAACAAAGCAAGTTGAACTTTGGCAAGGGGGTATGTTTATTTAGTTTTTATATTTGAAAGGTAAAAAAATAATTATTTGTTTTTGTTTTTCCCCAAAATTTCAAATAGCGCAAGAAGAAAGCCAATACATCGGATGAAGACGATGATTTGGCATCTGGCAGTGATATTGAGATGCATGTCGAGGTTGCACCACGTGCCGATCGACCAGGCCGTAGAGCAACCGCTAAGAAAATCAACTACTCTGGTTTGCTCGACAGTGAAGAGGAGAAGAGTAGTGATGGTGAACTCGAGTTCAGAGATAATGAGGGTGTCAAAGAAGACTCCCATCACGTGGCACATATGTCCGATGCTGAAAATGGCAGTGATGCTGAGGAAGCTAACGGTAGTAATGCCTTTATCGTAAGCGACTCTGAGCCTACACCAATTAAGAAAAAGCCAGCATCGAAACGTCCGCGCAAAAAGGCAATGACTAGCGATAGCGATAGTGACAAAAAGGTGAGAACACACACAAACATACTATTATGTTAATTTTATATATGTGTTATTATAATTTTGGAAACATAATTTTGGAAATAAATAAATAAAAAAAAATAAAATAAATATATTTTATTATTATTGAATTACGAACCTCGCTAATATTTCATTTTCTTACTTTATCTATATTTCCAGAAGAAGAAGAAGAAGAGGAATATTTCAGACAGCGAAGATGACGATTCAGATTTTGAATGTTAAGCATTTTCAATCAAAATTTCAAGAGAAAATCCAGAATTTGACTTGGTGTGCAAGCAAAGCCTGCCTCAATATACATACATACATATATGAGACCAAAAGAGAGAGTTAGAACTAAGAACATACAGGGGAAGAAGAATTATTATCAATAGCCAACTTATAATTCGAAACATATGTATGGGTTCATGTTGAATCAAACGTCTTCATTTCATATTTCCATTCCCACCGTATACCCTCAAGAGCACATTCATTCCATCTTTACATACATATATACATATATGATTAGATGAAAAAATGAACATTGCCAACACACATATTTATCGAAATTACCAAACTATTTGCAATGTATGCGTTGGTTATATTATTATTACGTCACAATTTCATTCATTGTTGATTTCGTCTTTGCAGACACGATATGAAGTATTTTATTTTTTGAACATAAAACATTATTCATGTTGCGTCACACACATGTCTTAGAGTTGACCAGCATAGTACATACACGTACATACGTACAAATGTCGGTTTTTAATATAACAATTTTCTTATATATATATAAATATTGGTTACTATCAACTACTGTTCGTATTTAAATGTCAATATTTGAATTCTTCATTTCAATAATAATTGCATTCAATGGCCATTTGCAAATTATCAGTTTTTGTTCATTTGAATGTAGTAGTGCGAAGGCACAAAAACGGTTGGAATTTTACTTTACGTCTTGACGTTTTTTATGTTCTAAGTTTCTTGAACGTTGTTTAAAAATGTAAATATAAATGATTCAACTTTTGAATCCTTTCCAAGCTCGCGTGAATGTTTTGCGTCGACATACAAGTAGCAGGCACATTTAAAATATTACTTAAGTACTATTTTTTTTTATTATCGAAAATATGGGAACGATTGGATAAAAAAAAGTAACATTAGAGAGGAAGGAAGCCAGTATGTATAAGTTGAATTTTATATAAATCCCTGTCTTTGCGTTATCTTTTGCTAATTGTATAATTAAATAATTGCGTATTTGTAATTCACAAAAGCTTTGTGTAAGATTTCAAAAATATGATGTATTTTGATTAAAAAAATTCATACACGTACATAAATATTTCGCAAAAGTATACCGATATTCAACACAAATAAATGTACGAACGCAGAGACAGATTTTATGAAGGAACGTTAATCATAAGTATGTACCAAGTAAGGTTATACTTAAATACCATTCTCTATACTATAAATATAATACATTTTAATAAATAAAATAAAAGAGAAAAGCGTTTGGGGCTTATTATGATTTGACTTGCTCTCAACTTGTTGGGTTCTGGCCTCTTCGGAATCTAACTAATATCTATTGTACGCCATCTGAGCATTGGGCGCTCATACTTACGGTTAAAGAACTCGACAAACAGTATCTTCTAAGTAGCGCTCGTGGGGAATACACTTGCTTGAGAGCAAACCACTTCGCAGGAACGTAAGAACGTGCTATGTACAGAAACTTTGTCTTTGTCTGTTGTTGTTGTAACCGCAAAATTATTCCTCAAAGTACTTTTTGGGGAATGTTGCGGGAATAACAGTCCTTGGCCGGATAAAAATCCGGGTCGTTCCGGTATAAAGACCCGACTGTCGCGGGAACTATTGGATTTTAGTCGCCTCTTACGACAGGCATGCCTTACCGCGGGTAAATTCTTGAGCCCCTAACCCGCAGGGCCAACATGCACATCGAGGCGGTGGGTTAAAACTTCCAGGACTGAAACTTGTATTGTTGTTGTAGCGGCTATCTTACCCCGCTTAGGAGCAGGCAATAACTGATGACATCGTGGTCTTTCAGATTAGTGAGTTTAAGAGAGCTTGCAAAAGGGCAATAAGTGTCTCGTTGGAACTACTGCATGCAGGATGTAGGTTGTATGTGTCTGTGTAAAGATTGGATAGGTAGGAGCTCAGTGGACTACAAAGTTCAGATCTTAACTGTGTCTCAGTATTATTCGAGCTCCACATGGCAGCTCAAGCTCTTGGCCTGTAATAAGTGGTGATTTGATACCAAACATGCCATTCACCGAGAGAGAGTGAGCGACGGAGTTGACAGACTCAGACAGGTTAGATGTTTTGCTTGCAACAACTTGTCATTTTACATTCTCTGTGTTCTATGACCACTAGTCATGCCTTTACCGTCGATGTATGACAATAACCATAATGAAATAATATCGGAAAATATTGAAATAAGATCAGTAGCATACTTATATGCATTAATTATAAAAATTAATTTTTTTTGAGTTTTCTTTTTTTAATATTCTTCGCTTCTGGTCACCGTAGTCAAATCAAAAATATTTTTCAAACTACCAAGTGTCACCCAGTGTCACCCGCTGTTTTGACAGCTGCAAGGCGGCGAAATAGCGGCTTGTTTTGTAGGTTATTGGGAAGCGAAGCAGCCAAATTATTTGAAATTCGCGAACATTGTACAGATTCGCAGCTTTTGTTTAATGTTATTAGTACGTTTGCAGAGAAAACATTAAAAAAAATATAATTAAATAATGACGAATTTCAATTTTGGAACAATCGCACAGGAGTTGAATGATGTGCAGGAGGAGGGATTATCATTTGAAGATAAACAATTGACATGGGATAACGCCGGTGATGGTATGTTTTTTTTTAGCATGAATTTATATGGAATTTCCTTTAATATGCTTGCGTATTATAATGTGAAAACAAATATTTTTTTTTTTATTAATTTTCGCAGTCGCTGATATTGTAAAGGCTTTGGAAACTACAAAGGTCGTCCATTATCTTAAATTGGGTGGCAATACACTGGGCATTGATGCAGCTGCCGCAATAGCCAAGGGGCTGGAGAAGCATCCAGAATTTCGTAAAGCCCTTTGGTATAATATGTTTTCACGACGATTGAAAACGGAAACGCCATTGTCATTGAAACACTTGGGAAAGGGTTTAATGATAGCTGGTGCTAAACTTACAGTATTGGATTTAAGTGATAATGCGCTCGGTCCAAATGGCATGGTTGGCCTTGAAGAGTTGTTACGTTCGCCTGTTGTATACTCTTTACAAGAGTTGCGCTTAAACAATTGTGGTCTGGGTATTGGAGGCGGTCAGATGCTTTCGAAAGCAATATTAGATTGTCATAAAAGCAGTGTGGCTGACGGCACACCATTGCAATTGAAAGTTTTCATTGCCGGCCGTAATCGTTTGGAGAACGATGGTGCCAAAGCTATAGCAAAAATATTCTCTACACTCAAGACGTTGGAAGAAATAGCAATGCCACAAAATTCCATATATCATGCTGGCATTGCTGCATTGGCAGCCGGTTTCAAAGAGAACCCCAATTTGCGCGTCCTGAATTTAAATGATAACACCGTAACTGAAAAAGGTGCCGCTTCTCTGGCTGAGGCATTTGCTTATACGCCTAGGTAAGTTCAAAAAATATAAATGAAAAGTGATAAGAACATTTACATTTTGATTTTTTTTTTTTTCATTTCAGTTTGCAGGACATCAATTTTGGTGATTGTCTTTTAAAGACACACGGTGCATATCACTTTGCTGAGGCTTTAAGCGAAAATCATCTCCAATTAGAAGTTGTAGACTTGGGCTTTAATGAAATCAGCGCTGACGGCGGTGTTGTACTTGCGGAGGCTTTACAAAATAAGCCAAATTTAAAGAGTCTTAACTTGGATGGCAATCAGGTAAATATTAAATTATTTCCCCATAGAATTTAAATACTAATTTTCAATTAAAGTTTGGCTATGAGGGGCGCGAGCGAATTAAAGAGACTATAGACGCCTCAGCAAATCCAAATGCTTTGGAGAGTTTAGAAGAGGATCAATCTGAGTGTGAGGATGGTGATGAAGATGTCGGCGATGATGACGATGACGATGAAGATGATGAGGATGACGATGATGTAAGCGTATGCAAAGTAATCCTTAGAGAGTAATATTAATTTGTAACTCGGTAATTATAGGAAACTACTGAAGATGTGGATGAAGATGATGACTATCAAGATGAAGATGCTGATGAGGATGCTGATGAAGCATATGTAACATCTCAGGCCTTTACAACAAATGTAAGTTTTAGTTTTCATACATGGGTGTCTACAATTTGTTTTATTGCATTTTTTTTTTTTTTTTTTTTTTTTTTTTTTTTTTTTTTTTTTTTTTTTTTTTTTTTTTTTTTTTTTTTTTTTTTTTTTTTTTTTTTTTTGTAATAATTCAGTTGTTCAACGCCAATGAATCTTTTAATGCGGATAAAAATCTGCTCTTCGGTAAAACCACATCAACAGAGAAGCCAATTACAACAAATACAACTATCGAAACATTTTGTCTGAGTCAAAAGCCATGTACTATAGAAGCATTCGAGTCTTTGCAAGAAGAGGATAAATTAGCTGCTTTCAAAAGTATTTTTGAGGTAAAATAAAGAAAGCAAACATATTTTGAAAATCTCATTTAAAAACAAGTATCAATTATCTTAATAGCAATTCACGGATGACAATCGCTTGCTGTTACTAATTTTTACCACATTAAAATGTGCACATCTCTCAGAGTCATCACCTGCTGCACTAGAATTGGCTAAAGCACTTTACAAGGAGACCGTGGATTACGCCGTGCAGACGAAACAGGAACGTCGCGTGCTAAACTACATACTCATGCAATTGGGTTTGCTGCGAAGCGAAGAAAAATTCACAAGCCCATATGATTTGAAGAGCTGTCGTTATGCGTTGCGTGAAACCCTTAAGACTAATCCTCAACTTAGCAGCGAACATATGCGAAATGCATTTAATGTTTTTCTACAACAATTCGATGGTTGATTTAATGTATACTTGAAACTTTTATTACGACTTATATCTTCTTTCAAAAAGCTTATAATTACTTCAGCCTTAATGTAATGCGGAAATAAGTTATTTGTTCAAAAACAATGTGGCCAATAAAAATAAATATAGAAAAGTGATTTTTAAATATATGTCAGAGTTTTATTTTGCTTTGTTCTAGGTAGAAATTATAAGCAATAATAATGATTTTTTTTTTTTTTTAATAAATTCATTATAAAATGTGGAATAAGCTCAAATGTTTATATCGGGTAAACATTTTTTATAATAAGATATTAGAAGAAGATTTCTCTTACATTTATTTCATATAGTTTAATAAAGAAGTTAAAATTTAAGTAAGTAATTTGTAAGTAAAATATTTTATTAATACAATTTCTATATATTTAAATATTAAAATTTCTCATAATCACGACTTTCTCTATAAAAATTAGCCATATTTCGATACACAGGGTTGTATGGAATTAAGGCACAAATTGGCTAACGCGCCGTTCATAGTGAATATCTCATATGACCGTTGTTTTTTTTGTTTTTTTTTTTAGTACGCACAATGAAATGCTGCAAGCATTGATGTCTACTTATGCGCACTTTGGCAAAATTTTGTTAACAGTTTCCGTAGTGTAGTGGTTATCACGTGTGCTTCACACGCACAAGGTCGCCGGTTCGAACCCGGCCGGAAACACATTATAGTAACATAAATTTTTTTTTAATTTCAATATGCAATTTTACTAAATTTTTTTTTTTACTGAATGAACCAATTCCTTGTATGCTTGATATATTATTTAATTTTTTTTTTGAGCTGACTTAGTTCACTCTATTCTGGGAAAATGGGGAATGAATGATTTGCGACTGAGAAATGTATGAAACAGATAAAAACAACGAATTTTCAACATTTTTTTAAACATTTTTATTATCGTATTTCTTTGATCTTTTGCTTAGTACTAGTGATAATATTAATAATTATGTCTGTATACTTTATTTAGATATTTAATACAATATTTTACATACATATGTGGCAATATTTATTCGCAATTTTATTTTTAATTTTATATATGTTTTTTTGGTGATTTGATCATTTTTCGAAATATATACTTTGATATTATCTAAAAAATACGAACAAATATAGTGTAGAGAAAAATTAAATTATACAAATCCGTATAAAATAAAATGATTTTCGCTTTTGGTATATAAAAAATAAAATTTTTTTTAAATTTATTTTTAATATTATTTTATACTTAGGAAAAACGCATAGATTAATTGGCATGAAATGCATGAAACATGATAGATATTTGAGTGCTTGGGTGAGGTAAAAGTCAAACAGTTTTTAAATTCATGCCTAAAATTAGTTTTTTTTTACAAAAAAAAAAAAAATCAAAAAAAAAATATCTTAAGTATAACTTAGACCTGTTACAATATTATTTATTTTTCTTGATACATTCGAGTGTCGCAAGATATACACAGTTAATTTTGATTTATCGTTAACTACAAACAGTTTCTACATGATATTTAATATTTGCTTGATTTATTGGTTGCGTAAGGTTATGCGAAAGATACGGACATCTATTATACATATATTTGCTATATATTTTATATTTAAATTTAATAGCGTTTAGAGAACTTTTAAGTTTTTAATTTGATTGATGCCTCAAATAACACTTTTGCAATGCATGTCATATTTATTATTATTTTCAAAACAAATATCTAATAATAATTATTATTTTTGGAAGCCACATAGGGTTAAAAAATAATTGTTTAAAATTTATAAAATATAATTTTTATTACAAACTGACTGCTTGATGCATGATAACAGGACATAACAGTATTATTTTTAAGATTTAGTAGTATTTTTAAATAATTTTTATATAATTCTCAACAAAAATATTTGCCTGCACCGAATACAGTGCTTTGGTGTGACTTAAATTTTATAATTGAAATGTAAAATAACATTTTTCTAACAAAAAATTTGCATTAATGCTTAGGGGTATTTAATAATTCTACAATAATTTTAAATAAATATAAAATATGACTGAATAAAAATATGTGCTTTGGTGTTATTTAATTGTTATAGTGTAAATGTAAAATTATAGTAAGAGTTTTTTTTCTTTCATATTCAAAATGTTAAATTTCAATATTCAATACTTTTGCTTAATTTTCAACAAGTTTATATAAAAAATATTCGTTTAAAAATAAAAAGGGCAGGAATGAGTTTGCTCGTATAATGCAATTTGTTAATTTTAATTTATAAGTAGATATGTATGTATAAGAAAAAATTAATGTTGTAGAAAAATAAAAACCATATATTAACTGGAAATAGTTATAATACATATACATACATACATACATACATACATACAAAAGTAAGCCTATCTATAGTGCACATATTAGATTTCTTCAATAAGATTCTTCAATTTTCTTTTTAATGCACAACAATACAAACGCAGCAGTTGTTATTGCCCAATAGTGTCACGGTTATATGGTCAAATTGGCGTTAAACAACGACGGCACCAGCCTCCGAGCGGCCAACAGGCAAATCTGGACAATTCTTCCAAGTATCTGTGAGCGGATCGTATGCCTCCACCGCGTTGATTGTGATATGAGCGCGATAGAAATTATCTTCACACGGCTGTTAATGCACATAATAGAAATATACTTTAACATACAATTATTTTTAAAGCATATCCACTTACCTGATCACCACCAGCAACATAGAGCAGCCCATCGGCAGCCGCCACAGCAGGTATAGCGCGTGGCACGGACATCGAACAGACACTCTCCCATTTGTTTTCATCAAAACTGTAACGTTCAACTGTGCTTAGCACATCTTGTGAGCTGCTATTGCCGCCCACAACGTAGAGATAACGATTTAGAATAGCCACACCCATTTGGCAGCGAGCCGTGCGCATGCGCGCCATCGGTTGCCAATCGAGAGTTATTGGATTGAAACTGTAAGATGAAAAATATTAATATTTTTTTTTTATACAGTTATAGTATTTTTTTTTTGTTTTTGCGCTCACCTGATCAGGTCGGGCAAATGGCGACTTGAAGTAGTACAACCACCAACAATGTAAATCAGTCCTTCAAAACTGACCACACCCATACTGAAACGTGGTTCCGGCAAATCGCCCAGCTTGCTCCACGAATTTTTCTCCGGATCATAACACTCAATTGAGCCACCTATATCGTCGCCCAACCAACCGCCAACCGCCAGTAGTGTACCACCAAAAGTGCACAGACCAAATTCACAACGAGGCACAATCATTGGTGCTATGGGTGTCCAGATATCGGTTTGTGGATCGTAAACTTCGCCATTGGCTAAAATTTGGGAACCACGCTCACCACCGATTACATAAATTTTGCCATTCAAAGCCGCCACGCCGGGTAGTATACGACCGATTTCCATCGGTGCTGTTTCGGACCACTCACGACGAAAGATGTCGAATTTCGCAACAGTTTCGAAAATGCAATCGGACGGTGTCCAATCACGCTGGGATTCACGACGTGAACCACCGATTATATAGATGTTCTTTTTAGCTTGTTGACGTGGACAGACGCGTAGTGGCACCAATTGGCCACGTTTCGAGGCTATATCGCGGCAAATGGAACGTAAGGCGATTTTAACTGACATGTCACGACAATCTTTCAGTGCTTGATCGATTACTTTCACCGGCACTAGTGCTAAACGCACATGCGATAAGGTGTCGAATACGTAGCAACGACGTTGGGTAACGTCATGTTTGATCCAACGTAGTGCTGCTTGGAAAACTTGAGATTCCGAATCGACACGCAACTGCTCGGAAGTGAGTAGCTGAGCGAGTAGGGTCTGTGGTGTATCTAAGAACTCGTCTTCCAGCGTAATCTGCAAGGAAGAGAGTAAACACGTATGAAGCAGAGATCACAAAAACTCTTATTATGCCTATTTATTTATATATATTACAAATAATTAAATGAAATAGTATTGGCTTGTTAGATGCAAAAATTTAAATAAAAAAAATTTAATCTTCTAAAATTATTCATTATTTTTTTAAATTTTAGCAATATTAAACAAATCAAATCAGTTTCGTTTCCTTAATAGCATTTGTTGATATGTGTAAAATTTCAGCAAGGCGTCAACGGTTTCCGTAGTGTAGTGGTTATCACGTGTGCTTCACACGCACAAGGTCGCCGGTTCGAACCCGGCCGGAAACAAATCGGGATAAAATTAATTTTTTTCAAATTGGATTTTTAACAAATATATACTTTTTTTAATTTAAAATATATTTAATTTTTAGTTCCATTATTAATTTAAAGTATAAACACACACACATATATAAATAAATATATATGTGTTAATTTCATCGAAGCAAATTTAAATTTTGACACATCCGCGTAACTTTCGATAAAACTTGAAAAATCTAATTTTACTTTAATTTAATTTGGATCTGTTCTTTGTTGTAGTCCCCATTAGATTTACTTGGATTCTTTTATGCATTTTATCAAAATTTTTCGATTTTCCGTCAAGTTTGATCGAAAAGTACATTCTTTATGTTAAATATTCTTTTATTTGGTTTAAAGAGTATATGAACTCACCGCTGGAAAGTTTGAGTGCACAAAGTTCAAAGCACTCTTCTTCAATGTCTCACAATTGTGTGCTTCTGCAAAGCGTAAAATGCCCAATGCATTAGTAGCATGCAATTCCCGGCACAGAAAGTCACAACAACCATCGACAACTTCCGGCAATTGAAGCATATCAGCTGCAGCAAGCAGCTCCTGGACGTTACACTGCAAAAACGCAAGAAGGCCAGTAATTAAATACTTCAAATGAAAAACAAAATCACACCTTACCTGTGTTATTTCACAACGGCCAGTGTAGATAAAATCGAGAAGAATACTTAATATCTCACCATCAATGGTATGTAATACAACCGATTTTTGGTTAACTTCATTCAAACCGAGCTCTGGCCGAAACATTGCTTCGAAGTAGGCGCTGCCTGCGCTTAATACTGCACGATGTGCATTGAATGTTATGCCTCCAGCTACAATTTCCACATCACAAAAACGCGATTCTGTGCGTAACTGATTTAAATTGGCTAACACTTTGAATGGAAATTGTGCGTTACTGTAAGAGGGCAAGGTAGCACGTTGTTGTGCACCTGCATTGCTAACAGCGCCACAAATATCACTTAGATTTGAAGTACCAGCGGCTGATGTGTTACTCTCACCGTCGGCAGCGCTGCTATTACCATTGTGACAATTCGCATTGAATTCGTTGTGCGGTGAATAGGTCTTCAAAGGTGGCATTGTAATGCGATTCGTGGATTGGCACCGTTGATTTGATGCGATTATGCGTTTCAATCTGATATAAGGAATAAAAGTATTTGTTATTTAAATAATAATACATTTAACACTTCTTAATATATTAATTTTTACTTATGCATTTTATGCTTCGAGTGTAAATCGGGTAGTTGACTCGCGTTCTTCAACTTTCATTACTACTAATAAAATATATGAATGTGTACAAAGAGAATTGATACATATGAACTGTGTACATATAAAAAGTGCATCACTTTAACTTCATTGTGTGATATCTCTGGAGCAATTCTTCACTCCCTTTGCCTAATCTTAAACACCATTGTAATTAAACTTAATTAAGTTTAATTGACGCTGCTGCCCACTAGAGCTCGCAGCAGTCACAGTTTTTGATGTTATTACAATTTCGGAACGATCGTTCGCAGGCAGTGTAAAAAAAAACAATTATTGGTATTGGGTGGTGGGTGGTTGGTAATACACATATCCATGTATGTACATGGCGAAACACCGATTATATTGCGTAGAGAAATTCCATCAGTGTTAAAGGAATCAAATCATCCGGGCCCCTTCTTGTCTAACACAATGACGAGAAGGTTTTATTTGATCTTTAACTTACATTACTGCTTTTCGATAACTTTTATTGGCAAAAAGTTTGTTTTCAAATATATGTAAGGAAACTCGAAAATATTTTTGTTATTCACTGTTAAACGCCCATTGCAATTTATACGTGACTTTACTTTTGACACATCGTCATTGTTGCCAAGTTTCTTAATTCTAACATTTCAAACACTTAATTTTATTTGTTACGAACATTAATAACAAATTCGATTTATTTCACAAAAGGCTGTTGAAGTTTTCTTCTTTGAATAAATTCTCAAAATTTTTCAAAATTAGCCTTTTAGTACACGTTCTTTGGTAGTTTTTATGATATTTTTATTTTGTTAATTGTCAATTAAGGCAAATTTTGACAAAACCGAATACCAATAAAATTGTATGCGTTGACAAATATTCACCTGGCATCCCGATAAAACTTTTGCTTTTGTTGAGGAATCACATACGAATTTAATTTAGGAAGCAACAATTCTATTGTATTTCTAGATTCAATGTTTTGAAAATTTGTGTATTTGGCTTATAAAAGTGGTACAAATTACCGTGAATAACTATGTCGGCGTATCATCGCAATTTACAATATCTGCAACAACAGTTTTCAGCTTTGCTACACAATACTTCGCCTGTCATTACACTTATCTGTGTGGTCACTGGATTTGGTTACCTGCTTTCGTTCTCTGAAACCGCTGTGCGGGTGTTGAGCGTGACACCTGGTAAAATTCTGCCAAATGCCGAGTTCTGGATATGGACGGCTTTCACCTTTTGCTTCATTGAATTGCATTGGTGGGAAGTGCTTGTTGATGTTATTACTGTGGGACTATGTGGCAAAATGTTGGAACCATTATGGGGACAATTAGAAATGTTCAAGTTTTTTGCACTTACCAATTTCGGTGTTTCAATACTTACAACCATATATTATCTGTTATACTTTGTGGTAACTGATAATGAGAGTATTCTCTTCGACGTACACATTCATGGCTTAGCTGGCTATGTCGCCGGAATATGTGTTGCGGTCAGACAGATAATGCCCGATCATTTAATTTTTAAAACTCGTTGGGGTAAATTAACAAATAGGTAAATATTTGCTTTGAAATATAGGTATGTATGTATATGAGCTTTATAAAATGTATACTTTGGTTTTAGAAACGTGCCCTTGAGTGTTTTAGTAGCTTCCATTATTATGTGGGCGATTAATTTACTCGATGGCACTTATCCAACAATGTTTGGTTCGGGTCTTATCGTGGCATGGATTTACTTGCGTTTTTATCAATGGCATCCAAATGGACGTGGCGACAGTTCAGAAAGTTTTACATTTGCCAGTTTCTTCCCCAATGTGATGCAACCAGTTATAGGCATTTTGGTAAATCCAATTTATATATGCTGTTTGAAATTGGGCGTCGTAAAAACGCCAGCACCGCCACGATCATCCTCACTTACCGGTAGCTTGTCGTCGGTCTCTATACAAATACCCGGCGCAGATGCGCATGATGTAGAGCGAAGAAGGTATGACAAATTGAATGCAATTTTTGTCAATTATTTTTATTTTATCATACATATGTATATGTTTTTCTTTTAGACAAATTGCATTGAAAGCATTGAGCGATCGCTTAAAATTTACTGATGCAGCGCGAAACAGTCAATTGCCTAAGTCCTTCCCAAAAGTTAGCAGCGGTGTTGCGCCAATGTCGGGCCATCATCATAAACATCAACATCACGGACATCATCATGGACATGGACACAGTCATGGCCATGGTCACCACAGTCACACACATGCACAAGGACATGTAGCAGAACATGTCAGCCCAGAGGCGTTAATGAATCCATCTTTTATGGGGAAATCACACCACAATATTAACAATATGAATGCACCAATAACGACGGCGCGTGCAGAACCACGCATGATAAGTACAATGAGTACGATAGCGATACCAATGCCAGCACCACCACCACCCTCATCGTCGGTAAGAAGTGATTTGGATACGAGTACAGGTGCGTCGTCGACAGCAATTAGTGATGCTTTAATTGATCTGAGTGCTGCGGCTGAGCAGTAGTTGTAGTAACTGAATAGACGTTATGACGTAGTTTGGTATTTTCATTTACGCGGATAATTATATATATTTATATATGCTGTATGTACATATTTGTATACACACGAATAAGACACACCATAAAACTGAATTCGCACTGAAGAGCGATGGTAAATTCTTAATGGGATGGTGTATGTATGTGAATAAATGAATGAAGAAGAGTTTTACATTGTAAAAAATGAAACGATTTAATATCGTGTGGTAGTAAGAAAAAAAATTCAATCAGTTGTATGTATTTACAAGAAATCCTTCGAAAGTGATCTAATATAATGGACTTCTCAAGAAACATTAAACCCTTGCAATGTATGTATGTAGGTTGTCTTTTCAATTTACTTAAAATAAGAAGCGTACAATCAGGATATGTATTTTTTTCTACTTTAAAGTGCATTCAGCTACTAAATCTTGTTATATGTATATTAAAAATTGCCCTTAAATTTCTTTGCGAATTCATCGTTATTTATGTTCTTGCAAAAGCAAATGCACGAGTATGCAGCATCAAGAAATAAAAATAAAATACCGTAAAAGGCTGAAGTTCCTTTTAGATAATCAGATTATAAATTAGAAAAAATATAATTTTTGTGTAGTAAATTAACAAGTAAAATGTGTGTAATTTTGCTATTTGTTTTAAATATTATTAACATATTTCAAACACGATTACAACAAGTGTATTTTATAGGACAGAAAATCATACATACATATGTATATCGCACAGTTACTTCCATAAAAAGCATTTCGAAAAACCACAATACCACATTTAAACCCACAATTAAACAAGTATAGCAATCTGAATTGCAATATATGTATGTATATTTCTAAAATTGGATCGGTGCATTGAAAAAGAAATATTTAAATTAAAAGTTCGATTAACGAGCACTTAAAAAGTCACTGTTGAATTTATTGAGTCTTTGTAACAGCTTTTCAAATGGTTACATATGCTTAAGTTGTATAGATTAAAAGGACCGAAATGAAAAGGGAAAATGAATCTTAGCCACTTTGCAGACATTATTTATAAAATTACAAAATAACGTTTCTACATAAATCTGGCATAATTAACTATATATATATAGAGCTTATAACTAAAACCATGTACCACCACGTATGTTGTTTGCGAAAATTACAATTTCCATTACCGCCAAAAACTGCAGCTACAAAACGCTACATGACTACTGCAAACCTTACGAATATCTCATTCATCTGTAGTACTGATTCGATTGCCATGCATTTTGCGTACCTGCGCCGCCTGATTGTGTTGATGGCTGTATATTCCCAACACCGCTAGCACTTTGTTCCACAACCTCATTGCTGCCAAAGGAATTAAGTACACTGCTATAATATGACGCATCGGCCACACTTTCCGGTGGTTGGTGATGTGATTGTGTTATAGGTGTCTTCTTTAGTGTTTGATGGAGTGCCACTTTACCTTGATGGCAATTTTGTTCATTTGCGGTATTAATGCGTGCGATATTGGCTTGTGTTAATGAGGAATGAGAATGCGTTGAGCTTTGTGTAGATGTTGAGCTAACCGATCCTGGTGGCGGTATATTGCCAATGGTAGTAGCGCGTCGTTGCGTTAGTAGAGCAGATGGCGCTTGTATAGTGGTTGTGCTGGTAGATGATTCCGAGAGCTTACGTATAAAAAATGTATTATAAAGATTTGAATTATTTTAATACTGAAAAGTTAGTGCGCTCACTTTTCGTTGTACATTGCCGCTCACACTCTTAAAAACAGTCTCCATATTAACATCAGCGGACGATGAAGATGTCGACTTCAGTTCACTACTACCGCCGCTACTTATGGTATTGGCTGATATTGATGGTTGTTGTTGTGACAGCACCGTTGGCTGCGTAATATGTCTATGATTAATGTGCGCTTGTAAATCACGCTGTGACAAATATGTACGCCTACAACCAGTATTGCCATAACGGCTACCACCGTGGGTACACATAAATACTGTACCCAAACCAGATTGTTCCACGCGCAACACCTTATCATTACAACGTGGACAAATTTTAATTGGCTCCGAACGCGCACATTTTAAACAAAATACATGTTTACATGGTATCATACGACCGTAGAGTAAAATCGGTTTGTCACATTGATCGCAGCAATGTATCATGGGATTTAAAACTTTTTCACCAATCAAATTAACTTTATGATCCCACTTGAGTCGCAACATAGGCTCAGGTGGTCCGCGGGAGATTGTGGTAAATGTTGGCGCTTCCAGTTGTGAGATATCTGCTTCCATATCGACTGGAAAGAGTGGGAAGCAATGATGTAGACTAGTAAACAGAGTAAGCACGTGTAATAGGTTTTGTACACTCACTTGTTTGCGGCAAAACACTTGCTTGCTGTATAGGCTCTTCAACAGCGGCGATTTGACTACTTGGCGTTATAGCTGCAATCGTCGTTGGTGCCGTAGATGTCACATCATCAACATCCGCTTGTACTGGCTGCGTTGATGAGTCGATTTCAATTTCTTTACCCGCTTCTTGCGTTGTCACGTCCTCAGCAGCATCGGGTAGCTGATTTGAACTTTCTGTATCTTCTTGTGCACTGTTGGCAGCTACAGCAGTTCCTGCGCCGTCAAGTGTCTAAAAAAAATTGCAACGAGTATTGCAAATGATACAATCAAAAATTAAATAAATTATATAAACCTCTTTTTTCTTTCCTCTACCACGTCCACGGCCACGACCGCGTCCACGAGCTCGCGCACCACCCATTCAATGTAAGGAATCGGGTTTTAAAATAAATTAAATTAATTTTCCGTGGCCGCTAAAAAATGCACGTCTTTCTAATTTTTAGGTTTTATGTTTTAATTTAACATTCGTAGTCGAGGGCTACCAGATTACTTGGTTTAATTTTCAGTTATCGGATGAATTAATTTAGTTATCGATAAGAGCCGAAGATGCCACAGGGAACGAAACTGCATAAAATAATTTTACACACTAAAGACAGCTTTTCATCAGTTACATTTAAGTTAAATGTAATTTAATTTTCGAATTTTTAATTCCCTGAGTGAAGAGCTAACTTACATAGAACTAGAACCAGGATAACCACGCTCTCTCTTTTCCGACAAAATTAAACCTTTTCTACAAGATATATCGATATATATATTTTATTAGCATAATATTGTTGTATATATATGTACATAAATTTGATTATAGATTGCACTTGATTTTTTTTAAGCATAACAAATTTTTCATATACAACATATTAGATAAAACCAAAATGTCGGATCGTATAGAATACAAAATATATATTTTTTTCGTACATAAATATGTGCATGTACAAGTATACATAAGTTTAATAATTGCAATAAAATTGCTAAAATATATACATACATACATTTCTTTTAATATTTAAAATACTAAGGAAGTGTTTATATAAAGTATACAATCAAATGGGTAATTCAAGTGCTTCAACAGATTGAAAACAAGTAGTATTAAGTTTTTTTTATTTCAATCTTGCCTTGCTAAATAATATATTTTTAACTTTACTTTCAGGCTTTTTTAATTTGATTTGAAAATATTCACTCAAAAGGTATGCAAAAACAGTAAATTTTGCTCTACATTATAATAATTATTAAAAATAAAATTTTCCTCTTTACAAATATTACAACTAACTCTTATTCTTATCATCCGAAAGCATAACAAAACTAAACATAACTAATAGTTACTGCATTAAAAACCGCACGCAGTGCTCATCAGTCGAAAATTTATTGCATTTTTCATCATCATTGGCTTCGCCATTACAAAACAATTTACAAGTTACAAGTGTCCGTGATAGGGATCCCGGTTGCTGCGCAAGTAAACGGGGCTTGTGAACGATTTGCCAGCCACCAGTGGTTTCAAGTTTTCGCCAGCATAGCTGATAAATGGCGAGATTTCGCATTCTTCGCCATGCACAATGCCACCAGCTGCCTCAATATACCGTTTGTGCAGGCGGTATAAATCTGTACGCGCCGTCGATGGACAGTCTTTGCCCGCGCTATCGGAATTCTTTAACGCGCTGAACTCGATGTGCCGCGGTACTTCCATGGCGACAAATTTCTGTGCGAATTCAAACACATCAAAGACGAACTTTTCAATTTTAATGCCATTCGGCTTTTCGGGCGTGATACGTTTGCCGGAATTGTCAACAAACGGTATCTTCTTTTTGGCAACATGTAATTTCAATTCCTTTTCGAATGTTTCACCGATTTTCATCAAAAAGGCGGCAGTGAAAAAGTGATTGCAAATATTACCAGCGCTGAAGGTTAAACGTCCATCGGCATTACGCATTTCAGCGGTTTTCGCTGAAATTTCACTATACTCAACCACTTGATTCTTACCATCCACAATGGCCACCACACCGATCGCCTCATTTGGATGTGACTTCTCCACCACCTTGGCAGCACAATCGGCATGCTCCTGCACACAATAACCGATGAAAACTGGATCGGAAACCTTAGTCAATATGTTATCCACACTATGTGCGTGTAAATATAGAATGCCACGTTTATTTATATCGTCCAAAATGCCTTGCTGTTTCAACGCCCGATACAGTCCACCATTGCCATCGGGTGCGCGTGCAACACGATATTTTTCATCCAATATAATACGTCCATCATAATCGAAACATGGCAATGAACCCTGTTCGAAGAGTATGATATTTTCTTTTTTCAAACCAAAGTAGTTGTTGGCCATGAAGTATTCATTTGTTGGTTGTATTGTGTGTTCCGAGGTCATGATGTACCATGTGATCACACCGCGTCGTCCAGTAGCGGCATAAGCTAATTCCTCAAGTTTTTGTATGCGTTCAGCTTGTAGACGAAAGAGTGACTTATTCGATGGTAAACCCACGTCGTACATGCCCTTCGGATGAGGAAAGCCCAAACGGGTGCCTGTAGAGAGGGAGAAAGTAAGAGTTGAGTATACATGAATTTAATAAGCCAATGACATACAAAAGCAAAAAAAAAAAAAATGAATACAAAATTTTATTTTTTAAAAAATTTCTAAAAAAAAAAATTTTTAGTCAAATAAACCTAGTTTTTCTCTTTTGATGAGTTTTTAGATATTTTTTATATGATTAACAGTACGTAATACCAAATGCAAGCTCGTTGGTTCACATGTTGACCTGACTAGCGCATAGAAGCTGATTTAAATGGAAAATTCGGCTCTTTTTTCTAACTGTGGACGTCCCTCATAAAAATCCATCAGCTTTTTAGAGACGGCATAGAATAAACTGTAGGTCTTACACAAAATTGTTGCTGGGCGAACACACCTATATAATGTTTAGAGTTGCCATAACCATAACTATGATCCATAGCTATTCATGTCGAAGCCATGAACAGCTGATTATTGACTTACTGCATTTCAGGTGTTGTCAAACAAGAATCAATGATCCTCCTTACGACCAACATCTTGAACATCTAACCCGCCGGTTTGCTTTTAGCTTTAATATTGAGAAATAACTATCAACTTTTACGCCACAACACATTTTATTAGCTTGGTTTAAAAATTTCGAAATCCGAAATCAAACAATGACTAATCGATTACACTAAATATCTTCCAATTCATCAATCATTAAGCTGCTGTCAGACACAGTAGTTTTTATTTTGTTCGAAGCCGTGTAACCATTCCGAAATTAATTTCTGCATTTTTTCTGCAGAAAGAAGAATATATGATATGCGAATTGCATTCCGAAATTTAATTTTTAACAATTTTTCCTTTTCTTGAAAATGCTGTTAAGGGTATTATTAGGGTTTTTTTTTACATATTTAACATTAAAATTTTAATTGGAGACGCCAGTAAGAATGACTCTTAATATAATTAAAAAAATAAAAAAAAAATTTTGGTTAACTCTGCGTTGTTTTAACTTTGAACCGAAAATGTTCAACGTCACTGCTGTATAAATAATTAAAAATAAGATTTAAATATGCAAATTTCACTTTATTCTTTTAAGCAGGAGTTAAGAATTTTTTAAATGATTATTTGATATTCTTACAAATTTTATGAGCATAAATTAATATTGTTTTTAATTTACATATTATTTAGCGGCTTAATTGTTGCTGGATGACCTTTAAAACGCGTTTTTCTTTTTCAAATTCGCTTAAGACTTGCTTTGACGTACATTTTTGATGACAATTTATGCCAAAAGAGGTTCACATTCATAGGTACATACATACATATATGCCTTATATATGGCTTATGTACATACGTAGTATGCCTTTATCTTAAACGTTGAAGTGGCTGTTTGAGTCATTAAATACAACGTAGATAAAATATCCGAAACAAAAAAACCGAAATAATTTATTTATTTAAGTATTTATTAGTGTGACGTTAAACAACAACTAAGCGTTGCGAAGATGCGTTGTGTATGAGCGTGCGTGAGGGTATAAAAATGCAGTTAATAATCCTTTTAAACATAAATAACAAGCGAAGGTCTCACAGTTTCTTTTAACCAATACGCATACACTCATACATACATAAGTACACATATACTTGTATATGTAAGCACAATCAACTGCCTTTATTATTTAGCTTTAAGTTAAACCCTAATTACTGCGCTTTTATGCTTTCCTTTCAAATTTTTGCATTAATTTGTTTTGCTGATTTTTTTTAATTTGGGAGAGTATTGCTGGCTGAAATCGATTAATCGAAAATTGTGCGTTTAAAATTAGGTTACGTATACGCACTGCTGCATTGTATTAATTCAAATATGTAATTTACATTGGTGATTTGCCAAACTGAAGTAGATTGTGTTTTATTTTTTTAAACAAGATACAACAAATTTTGAAATTTATATTAATTATTGCATTTTGCGCAGTGGTTACCAGGTACGTTTTAATGCGAACTTGAACTTAATATTATTTCGTTGGAAAATGAGCAAAAAATGATGTTCTCCTTTTTTATCAGTTAATTTTGTTAGTTCCGCGAAAAAAGGAAAATAATAAAATTACGTATCTACATATTGCAGCACTATCTTTCCGCTAGTAACTCAATACCGCTGTAGCACAAGGAAGAAGATGCTTTGATAACAAACAATTAATGATTTTTTAACTTTTATTGTTGTGCATCAATTCACATGTCGAATGGGCAAGTTAATTGGATACAAGAAATATTACACTGCTTAACAAAATTCCAACAAATTCACGCGAACTAAAATGTTATTCTATAAAAATAAATGTAATGTTGTTATACAATTTTTTGAAAGTGGCTTATTGGTGTTGAAAATCGATATTTTTACTTCAATCTGGGTATATCGAACATAAATCGGTAAACTTAGTGCGAGCTCTTCGGTTGACAGAAAGTTTTCGGTTTTATATATATTTTTAAATATACAAAAAAATTACTAATTTTGGATCAATCGTTTTGAAAAATGCTACTACAAAACAATAACAACTAAAATGGAGTAAATTTAAGCCCATATTAAAATTCTACAGCAAAATTTCTCTAAAAATAAACAACAATATTTTCGTCAGCAAAAACTTTGTTTGACCAGTGTTGTTTACATATATACATACATATGTATATACATAATTGCATTATTGTATATGTACATATGTATATACGTTGATTAATTGCAATGGTTGAAGCAACAGCAATAAACTTGTTAGAAAGATGTGGTGCTGCGTGGGCTGCAAGGACAATAAGCAGAGCATTTATAGATGTATTGATTGAAAAATATTTTCAGCATGATGGGCTCTAAATATATAAACATATATAGTAGTTAGCGCATGAATTTTTGGATTGAAGGTTTTTGCATGGCAATTGAGATGTTGGATAAAGCGGGCAAGAGGAAATGTAACATCGGCGCTGAGTTAGAATACATATGTACATATATATTGGATATAAGTATGTATATGCAATAAAATTACTGTGGGCAAAGAATAGAATATAGATATATTTATAATTGGCGCTTTATGACCGCTTAAGCGATTCTCGGTCGAGCTCCTCCTCTAATTTGTGGTTATGCGTCTTCCTAGTACACATACATATATGTATACCTCAAAGAGTTATTGTGCAATATACAATGCAGATATATTTCAAAAACAAACAAAAAATTAAAACAAAACGATTGTCTGACTCAATGCAGCAATGCACAGAAATCTACATACATACATACATACATATGCAACTTTTAAATTCTGCGCTGGCAGAAAACTTCGCTTCGAAGACAAAAACTCGCTGCCAGGCAAACTGGTTTATAATAAAGAAAATACTAAATTTGTTAAAAAATATACTTATTTATGCTTGTAGGTGTGTGCATTATTGAAAAGAAAGAAAAAATTGTTTGGCTTTACAAAAAAAACTGAGATTCAAAGTCTTTGCCGATTTGTTTATTACGGTAACTCTTGAGCGCGCAATCTTCGCTACTCGCTTCGCGCTTTTGTGTGTGGTTACGTGACAAGCAAGTTAATTATTATTTTTATTTAATATTTTTAAGTGCCTGCATACATACAAACTATAAACCTTATGAGTAACAACAGCAAAAGAGGCGCTAACGGTGCAATGAGTACATACACACATATGCACGTATTTATATGAATAAACCTGCCACGAATGCAGAGGTACGCAGAAACGCAGTTTATATATGTATGTGTGTGCGCAGCTTTGATTATTTAGAAAATAAAAACGCTTTTTTCGCGCCGGGAAATTGCTTTAATTTAAATTTTCGCAAATATGTAACAGCGCAAAAGCACGCACAGCCCATTTCACAACACACAATACATGCATATAATGGCAAATGTAAATTTTGTAAATGCTTACAGCATACATGCATATATATTATATGTATGTATTTTTCAAAATTGATCAACCGCATGCAGAGTGTTATTAAAATGCTATAAAAATACTTATTTATACATACAATAGTATGTGACTTACCTTGCCCGCCAGCCAACAGCAAGACAGCGACATGCCCAGCGCTAATCTGTTGCAAACCCTCCTCTTCGTAAGTCTTGAGTCGCTCTTCCGCTGTACGCTCAATGCTAACCAACTTCTCCTCGGGCACTGGTTGCATGCGATCGTCCAGCTTAATGCCATTCTCTTGCAATGAAGCCGTGGCACGATCAAAATATAATTTCAGCTCATTAAGATTCAGCTCCTCAATATCACGCACCAAAATCTCCTGCTGTTCGAGCGTTAACTCATCCCAGAACTTGAGCAAATGCTCCTGGCCCACCTTGGAGAGGCGCTCATATAGTACATCGTAGACAGGCATTGTTGCTGTTTGTAAAGATGTTTGTTGGTAGCGTTTAAAAAAAGAATTGTTATTGCTTCTTCTTTTGCTTTGTTTGTCAATTTGTATTTACGTATATAGTATAATATGTGTAAATATGTATAACAATATTTTACGACAATTTAGCAAATAATATAATAATAATACACCAGATAAAATAAACACTAACGTTGAAAACAAAATTAACAAAAACAGAAAAAACAAAGCGTAGTTTGAATAAAATGAAAAGGAATCTTTTTTTTTTTTTTAATACAAAGCTACTCGATCGCTAACTCAACGCAACTGCACACCAACGTTGGCCGACCGCTACTGAACCAAGCGAGCACTTGTAGGTGCGATATCTGCACCAACTCGCCAATTGCTTACTTTGGAGCTCGGAGTTTTGCTTTTGGTTTTCTTTTTCTGTTATTTTTTTTTTTTTTTACCAACCACATAGATTAAGCCACTGTTATCCCACTGCATACTTTTTCTGCTTGATTAATGATAGCTGATACTCAGTTAGGTCTTTTGTCTTCATAAAAAAAATTGAAGACATTAAGTGAGGGCAGCGCCTTTGTGCTCGCATACTTGATTCTAGTTGAACTTGCAGAGCTTAGCGCTTAATGGTTTATAGAATGCTCAAGTCGTAACCGAACTGGTTAAACCTGCGCAGACAATCTGGGTGTCCCTGAGCAACAGACCGAAGGCACTCTTCTCAGCCATAAGTAACAGCGAAAGTGAATTGTGTTTCCGATTCTTTTTGCGCCAAGCCTATTATTAAGCGTCAAGTATTGCTTTGTGCATACATATGTTACGATACGTGGCATGCCCTTTTACTTAGCTATTATATAACACAAGAAATAGATTTTTTTTTTAATTAGCAATTTTGAAGGTATGTTCATATGTATAATTGTATGTATGCAAAGTAAAAAAGTGAATGTAGTTTGGGTACGCTGGGAAAGGGCAGTACATATTAAAGGGGCATACATACATACTTACTGATAAGAAAGTCTTTAGAGAGTTGATAAGAAAAAAAAAAATACTTCCGTTTGTATTTATTTAAAGCACCTATTCAGATATAAAGTGATACTTGTTTAAAATTATACAAATACAATATATATTTTTATACTGTGTAGAGCAAGTAAGACGACTCAATGACAACGGACATAATGTATTACATAATATTACATAAATTTGTAGTCATTTGAGATCTCTACAGCATAGTTAATGTGCTCTTCCTCGAACTTTAACGCCTACACAGTTCTATGACAAATGGAGACCGCGGAATGGGCAGAAGAATGTCATTGAAATTTGGCATGTAGTGGCAGTTTTCGCTCTTTACGACAGGTTCAGTCCTGCCCCGTGTAATTTTTCTGATTTTAAATAACTAATACATAGAATAAAACATTAATTAACTGAAAAGAAAAAAATTCTAAAAACAAACCTAAAAGCACTTTTGAACCCCTCTGGTTGTCCATCAATGAAAAGATGTGGCATTTTTAGTTGTAAGCCTCCAACATTACATAAACGCTGTAATGAAGACCACAGCAATTTTCATCGTTAGAGAGAACTCATATGCCCACAAAGGTTTCATAAAAACCGAGACCATTTGCTTAAGACCATTTATCAGGCAGACAAATAACGATTTTTCTCAGCCTCTGATAATAAACAGGTAGTACACTTCGTTTGCACGGGCAAACAACAAAAGTGTGGTGTGTTGGCAAAGCTTTTGTAGGCACAAGGTAGCTTTGATGATGTAAAAAAAAAAATTAGCAATGGTCTTGTTATTAATCAACAATTTATTGGTAATATTATACATATGCTATTATAGAATAGTGTTGTGTGATAGACAGCCAATCAGAAACAGTGTCAACCGGCTGTTCCACATTTCGCTACCTCAAGTCAAATATCCATCGGGTTTACTGGTTAGTCTTGTTTTCCGTGTTTGCCAAACCAACTTTTGCATTCATTTTAATGGTTGCGTGTGTTTTTGTATGTTAATTTGTATAAGACAAATATTCAATCGATAAAGGGAAATAGTCATCCAGCATTGCTGTTTGGTATGGTTTATTTTCTAATTTATCTACACACATATTTAGCTTATAATGAAGTTAATTAAAGATTTATAATTTTTTTTTTAATTTGTTTAGGCTGTCATTTCGTTATCTATCCATTAGTGTAACGTGGCTAAGGTGATTAAGTCCCACTTACCGTACTTTATGGCAGCAGACACTTCTTTACCCATAACTCTTTTAGTCCACTTTCTACTGCACTTTTCACTAGTAATTCATTACTTTAATATAGTGTTTATTCTACACTTTTATTGCCAAACACTAGACTTTTTTCAGATTGGAATTCGCGCAAAACGAAGGAAGGAAACCGAATTGGAAATTCTTCATTGTTTATATTTCTCCAGAGGAGGTGGTAATGGTAAAAAATAGCAATGCAAAACAATTGATGTATGTCGAGATGCCAGACTGTTGAATGTACGTTTTCATGATTTGACGTAAAAAATCGATGAAATCGATTTTACGATAAATTTATTGCAATTGGTTTTTTTTAACCCTTAATAACTGAATTTTTAATATTCTTAAAATTCATTAATGTAAATTATAGCAATAAAAGTGATATTTCGGTTGGTAAAATTATTGTATTCTACATTTAGAGCCTTATAATGAATACAATTCAAGACAATAATGAATTTTGAAATTTTTTTTAATTTTCTTGATGTTGTTATTGCTATGTTTAGCTCAGCAGCTCATATTATTTTCTCTTACAACATGATGAAAAAGTCAGAAGCATTTCGGAGAGCGCTTTTCCGATCTTGACGGAGTTTTGCTCAGCGTCCATTTAAACAGCCATATAAGTCTTGCGGGGATACCAAATTAAGACATAGCGGCGTAAAAGGAGCTCTCTTTTCGAAGGCAGCTTAAAACATAACGATCGAGGTGATCACAGCTCGTTTCCAATATTTAGAGATTTGCTAGACCTGAAGCCACGGTAGACTTTAGTTTTTCACATACATGATAGATCCGCTATTTACGTTACAATCTTCGAACATCTTTCGCCCGACCACATTTAGCTGTTGTATGCACCTTCTCAGTACTTCTTCCGCTATATTTAAATAGTTTATGATAGCTTATAAGCCATCGGTCCGCACCGCTTTGTTGTTCTTCGGACTGATAATTGCTTTTCGGGATGTATTAGATCTGAGCTGGCAATCTTATATGAGATGTGGTCATAAACCCGTGTGAAACCTTGATTGTCACTCCGACATATTCGGTTTTAGAGTTCAATAGAGTATTTTCCAGCGGCCTTTGAGTCTAGGTACAAAGCAGTCTAGGTACAATGGAGACCTCAATAATAGAGGAATGAATGTCTGAGATAAAACTATCTTGATACAATTTATTGTACATATAAATCTCATGAAGGCTCGTCTCGATGCCATACCTTATGTCTAGACTCGGTTTTATCAACTCCAACAGGTTAATCATCAAAAGGACTGAGCATTAGTGATTTCATTTAAAGGGATAAAAAAGAGATGGTTAGTGTAGAACAGTGTAAAACTGCAGTCGCATCCTGCCCGTATATGCAGTTTGTGCCAATACCACGCGACACAACACCTCGAGAGATAACGACTCGGTCACTCCGGTTGTCTGATAACAATAAATGGTTTGATTTGAATAATCCTACCAATCCTTTTTGGGTATAATTATTCAGTGTCTTTAAGAAGCCAAGGGAAGAGATGAGAGGTACCGGCCACAGCAAACGGACACATTAAGAATTTCGGTCTTTAATAGCAGTTATCTATTATTAAAGGCTTTTTCGTGATGGTACTTGGTTTCAGCAGTCTTGTCAAAAGCTCGTGTCAACAGACGCCGCCCGTTCTCGAAACATATACATACGTTGGTATTTCATAAGGAACTCGATCATTGATATACGTGTATGTATATATGTTCATGAGCGCATAGTTATGCTCATACAGTAGACGTATTTATGTATGTATGAAATCAGTAGCGTTCAGCTGCTCGGTCTGTTACGGATTTTTACTAATCTACGTTTCATTTACTTGCATTATTAAAAAGAGACCGTTACAAGGGACTCATTTACTGGTCTTTCAAGATTTATGTCAAGGTGCGCATGTCACATATAGACTGCACAATAACAAACTCATAAACACCAAAAATCACTTACACGCACATACATACATAGATACGCACATACATACGTGTACCTTCGTGACGATCCATTTTCCAAAGCAATGGAAATCCCATATTCCTTCAAACAAACTCCTTATCTTGAAGACTGCATATTTGCGCACATGTGCATGTGTATGTACTCTCCCAGCTGGCCTGGGCGAATGCGCGCGAAAATGATTGAATCACCCCGCTGGCAATGCAATGGCATTTTACCTTTTCTGCGGCCAATGTACTTAACGAAGAAATACCTACGACAATGGATGTGCCGGAGAGGACATTGTACACAAAGTGTATTCATACAAACATATATAAATAAGTAGACACCGAAGTTGCTACATACATATGTTAGTACACGTATGTACGGTTGTATGTAATGTAAATAATAATTCAAATTCAATTGTTTCGACTTCTGGCTTGCTGTTAGGACACACGCAGCTGATAAGCACTGTGTGACGAGAGTGAAGGTTTAGTAGTTAAAAATTGCACTCCCATATTACTTACGATGCTTGAACCCGGCTAGGTTGGGGTTATATTAAAGTGGTAACTGGTCGTCAGCTGCACTGAGGATCCTTTAAACACCCAACCACTTCCAAATTAATGCCTTGCGTTGGCAGTAGTATATGTCCCCTAAGAAGACCCATAATTGTAGATACTTTCTTTCTTTTTAGCTAGATAAGGTCTCGTGGGGTGTAGTCAAGCTTCGGGGTTTGTAGATACAGTCGCAGAACCATACTCAATTCCTACTCTTGCCTCCACGTTGCACAGCTTGCAAACGAGAGCACGTAGAAACTTTCTCCAATATAAAAGATAGAAATGTCTTGGATGAAAGGCCACACTTTTGATGATAACCACTGCAAACACAGTCGAATTAAAAAGCAGCTGCTACGCAGGTTAGGTCATATTATCCAAAAGGATTAGAACACTGCGGCTTCGAAAGTGGAAGCAGAAGAAATAGAAGAATCTCACTGCGTTGGAAAGATAAGACGAAAAAGAACCAGGCTGCACTTGGTATTTTCACTGATGCACTGATGTTAACTCGGCTATAATTGAGTAAGCTCGCGTGACGTCTTTCACCCCAGGTTGACCATATTGAACTGGCCATACTGTCATTATGGAGATTTTTTCTTTTTAGCTGAGTGTCTGTCATGAATAATTCTGCTGATGTGAGCTTTACAGTATAGAGCAGCATGCCCAGACTTTTCCAGGATGGCGAAAGCCAAAAGAGAAGTTTTCTTTCTCCCAAGCTGTCCCGCCAACTCATTATCCGGTATATTATTGTGCTCTGCTACCCATACCAGGTTCGGAGATAAATGCTTAGGCGTCACGCTGAAGGATCAGCGGCCAATCTCTACTGTTTCCAATTGTTATGTTACAGATTTCTCGATTCTTAATGATGCCTGGCTATCTGAAAATATATTGATACAAGAAAAACTCTCTTGAGTAAACCCCGCAACTGATCATGTTATGGAGTTTTGACCCGTTCGCAGAAATATGAAAGGAGTCTGCATAATCTGTTGTTGTTGTTGTTGTAGCGGTTCACTAACCCCGCTTAGGCATAGGTTTGATCAGTCTAAGTCGCCGTGGTCATCTAATGGTAGGTCCAGGAAACGAGCTGTTTCAACGGGGTTGGACCAAAGGCAGAGGGGGATTAGATGAATTGGCTTGAGAGGGCATGTGAAGAGGTGGTTAGTGTCGTGCTGAGACTCTCCACCTCGGTTAGCTGCCACTCAAATCTGTCCCACTGTACGACTTATATATTAATCGCATGAGCTACCCCTATCTACGGCGAGCACACTACCCATGTGCGTTGTTCTAGGATTACTGTGAGGATAATTTCATTTATTTCACTGCGCAAAAGTTTAAATGCGAGCCTTGTTTGCATATTTATACCGCTGTCAGTTACAATTTTTTCATTGAGAGCATAAAAAGTACGAAGAAAAGAAAACATAAAGTTCATTTGGCGGCTTTAAGTCTTTGTAACTTACTGGCAGCATAGGCGATTGAATCAAAAGGATAAAGATTTTGAAAAACACGTCTCTTTTGGACGAAGAAAAAGACACTCTCATTCATCTAGGTATGAAGGAAAATGAATAATTTACGTATTGGTGTCAACATTGTCTAGTCTGACCGCTTTACGAGTTGTGTGCCGGCGCAGATAGTAATCTGAAAAAATGCGTCAATCAACAAGATCTCAATAAGTTTTGACTGAGAGCTTCTACTCATTTCCTGACCGAAACTTGAGCCAATGATCTTCGCACAGGCGACTAGAATTTCTGGGCAGAAGATGCTTTTCTAAGCACGCGGCCTTACGACACTAAACATTTCCCAAAATGAAAGTTTCTACAATATCTGAAGCAAGGGACAGTGGCACTAAGCTCCCAGAAGGAAGGAAGTTCCATTATATCTATAAAAGGTACTTTAATCCTTTTCAGTGTGGCTCTGAGCGTAGTAGATCGTCGCTCAAATGTCTTCCATCTTCGGCACACATCTCATATTTCTCGATTTGCACCCTAGACCGGCGAAAATGTACGAAAACTTATGATTACTGTCCAGATAAAGACTATGTACGGTTGCGTAAACGGACGTGGAACAATGCCAGAAGCCTCATTGAAGCTGAGAAGTACAATTTCGGTACCAAGCGAGTATGCATACAAAGAACTATCTAACGTGGTACTTTTACTACGACCGTTCGAGATACAGAGACAGTGATTTCAAAGACAGCGGCTACGGTGGCTGCTTCAAGTCGGCTGGTTGGATGAATACACTGCTATTTTTACAATTTTCGATGACATATTGGCTGATTTTCTTAGACAAGGATAATTTTATGTTGTGCAACTAATATTAGCTGGGATACTACCGTCGGTATCATTCCAGCAGACATTTACTGGAAGCCAAATAACCACCTAGGTACATTAGGAAGGCAGTATTGGGCTTGAAGGACCTCTTTCATCACTTTAGAAATGAGCTGCTGAACAGCCTTTTAATGCTCTTCACTTCGGCAGTCAACATCTCTATAAACGCTCTCTCTTTCTCTCTCTCTCTCTCTCTTGAATAGCGTACTAGGAAAACTGGCACAGTTAAGGTGTGGATTTTGTAGTCAATTCAATTCCTAGTTATTCAGACTATCGACATTCCTTACGTATGTCCTACATGAAATGAGTCTCCGAACGAGGACTGGTGTTTAAAGCCTATCAATACGACGTGCCGTCCAGCTGAATGGGGTCAGTGAAGTCTACTTTAGCACTCTTTTCATGATGTGCCTAGGTGGAAGTTCAGCATCAAGTAAATGCCTGTGAATGAGATGTTGCTTGCTCAGTTTCACTGTTTAAATGATGCTCCGGTGACATCAGGACTTTCCTGTCACGTTCTTGAGAGCGGCGTTATGACATACTTGTAGCTTCTTCAACTGCGTGTCGGTATTTCTCGGCGTACAAATTGGAGCAGCATAACTTATGCCCGGCCGGTGAATTGTCTTGTATGTTGCGAATTACATTTCCCTTACTGCTACCCGCTAACCTTTTCAGTATTTCATTGCGGCTCTACTTTTGCGGCAATTGTAGTCGTATGCGGAGTGAAGTATTGCGTATTGCGCGATTAAGACTCCTAGTAACTTTGGTCTGTTAGTTGTCGGAATTTTTGCGCCATCGCGTCTCACAGCGAGTTAGAACCGGTTCTCCTTTCTACAGCTGGTGAAAAAAGTAGCCGAGGATTTTTCAGATTGTAGCTGAAGTTGCCCGGCAGTGAAGAAGTGGGAAAGACCGGCGAGATAGTAGTTTACTTTTGGAACATTAATTATCTCAAAGCTGGCCAATACCAAGCATATGATATCAATTAAACGCCCCTATGGTGGAGCACAGAGTAAAAATTAAACGGAAGCTGAAAGCGGGTACTACCATGCGGACTTAAAAGTTGACCACAAAACTGTACCATTGACTGTCAAGCATTTAGATTGCCCATAGTGCACCTCCAATCTCGGTGGTAATGATGAATTGTCAATGTCCGATTGTAGCACCGAATGGTAGACGGTGTCGAAGGCTTTGAGATCGAGTGATCTGGTCTAAAGCCACACTACTAACGTATAATGGACAGTTTCAATCAAGAATAAACCAACCAGATATGCTTGGGATTGCAATGCTTTTATGCTTCCTAAATTATGGCTCGTTACATCAGACTCGAAACGCAATAAACGCTTATGGCAGACGCAGAATGAGAGACATTTAATTATATTGCTTACTGCAAGCTTCCTTCCGGTAACACCCAGGAGCGTAAACAAAAAGTTGCCCGCATTTTTATACAACGAAAATTCATGACAAAGAAACGGTTACTGCGTTTGCATTGGAAACAGTCACAAGGCGTATGGGGATAAGACTGCTATTGCATTTACCTTATCATTCAATACGTTAATACATAAATATTCATATATACATATACATATATGTATAAGTATATTTGTATAAGAAAATAAGTAAGCAACTTTCAATACACAACAACCGAACCCATTGCCTTTTATGCAAGTCCAAATTTTCTTGTTTTTGTGCCGTTTCAGAGGTTTCTCCCTCATCCGCAACGGCACCTTTCAGTTGCACAATCACATATGTACATATGTACATATGTGGACAACTCGTTACAAGGTCTATAAAAAACCACCACATTGCAGCTCAAGCAGGGAAAACCACCACCAGCGTCAGCATTAACTGAAATAACGAACTGGGCGCGCAGCTCGCTGTTCGGCGCTCGACGCACGACGCTCGACGCTCGGAGCTGTGTTTGCTGCGATTGCTGAAAGTGTGGAATCAGTCAGGATTTTACCGCCGAACGAGCAGGAACTTTTCTACGCCAAAGAAGAGGGTTTCCTACTGCGAGTACCACGAACAGTAACCGCGTTTTAAGTGTTTTTAGTCAAAAGTTAAAAGAGAAAAGAATCTTTGTTATATCCCTACATACTGTTTATGAAGTTTTTGTTTATTTAAGTTTTTGTTTCAACTGTTGCTTGTTTGTTCTATTGACGAAAGAAAGTATTATTGTTTTTACTAAAACCAAACGGACTTAACTAAATGTGTTTCTAAGCAAAATTTAGACGAAATCTCCAGCAAAGGAGCACAAGAAATACGCCGCCACAAATTTGAAATAACGGTCGTCTCAAGCTATAAACAAACTAAATTAATACGCACCCTCAACGCTTATCATTCGAGCGATCTTTAACACAACAACTGCCACTCAAACAACAACACACAACAACCAAACGCGCAATGTCCTTTTCCAAAGCCAAACTAAAACGTTTCAACGATGTCGATGTCGAGTGCGCCAACTCACCCGCAACCGCACGCTTGGCCACCGACGCATGCACAGTTAACACGCCCAGCAAATGTATTAGCGCCGTCACAACAGCTACAACAACCACCAACGCCACAGCCAGCACAAGCAGCGGACACCCCGAACGCAAAGACCAAATTGAGAAATTCTTTAAAGAAGCCGTACGTTTCGCCACCAACTCAAAGGACACTAAGGAGTTCGCTATACCCAAGGATGGCGCTGTGAAGGAAGATAAAAAGTCGAAGGGTTTGCGTCTCTTCCGCACGCCTTCGCTACCGCAGCGCTTACGCTTTCGACACACTCAAACAGACAACGCGCAAACAGCGAATAATAATAATGGTGGCGCCAGCACCGCCAGTTCAACGCCACTACACTCCGCTGCCACAACACCAATGAAGGAGTTGTCGAAGTCTGGCGGTAGTCGACTTAAAGGCAAAGAGGCGCTGCAGCAGGAGATACGCAAAAAGAATGAGCTGCTCGAGAGCTATATGAGTCAGATAGATGTGCTGAAGCGTCATGTGGAGCAGCTGAAGGAGACCGAACAGAAATTGCGTGCGGAGAATGCTAGTGTTGTCGAGAAAACCGAGCACCTAATACACGCACTGCAGACGGAGAATGCGGCGCACAAGGAACTGAACGATCGTCTGAGCGCCGAAAACGTGGCGCACACTGAAAACTGCAACAAGATGGGTGAAGAGATGAATTCGCTTATAGCGCGTCATGCGCTTGAGTTAGAGGAATTGCACACGTGTATGGGTGAGTTGAAGCTGCAGAAAACTACGCTCGAGCAACAGCTGCAACAACAATGCATTGAAGAGCGTTTGAAACAGCAAAAGTTGGATGCTTTACAGCAGGAGGTTAGTGAGGCGCGCGAAAGACTTGCAGTGAGTGAAGAGCGCGCCGAAAAAGATACTGAACTCATGCAGAATTTGCGTAACACCAATGAATCGCTCAATTTGAATTTGGCCGAACTGAAGAAGCAAATCGAGCATGACGCGCTCTGCTATGCGCAGGAGACAAAGATCACACAAAACGAGATGGAATGCATGAAGAAGGAGCGCAGCACTCTGAAGCATGACTTGGCAAGCAAATGTGAGCTAATCAAATCCCTACAGGATGAACTGCTCGACAAGAACTGTGAGATTGATGCGCACTGTGACACAATACGTCAGCTGTGTCGCGAGAAGGCGAAGTTGTTGGAGAAGGAGCACCTAATTGAGACAGCTGAAGAGAAGGTGCGCAGCGCTGAGGAGCAGGCAGAGCAAAAGGTGCAGAAGCTCGAGTCGGATTTGGAGAATGCGCTTGAGCGTGAGAAGGCATACTGGCGCGCCGAATTGGATAAGCGCCAGAAGCTGGCTGAGAACGAGATCATAAAGGTTGAGCTGGAGAAGCAAGACGTAATGGTTTTGCTGGAGACCACAAACGATATGTTGCGCGATCGCGACGAAAAGATACAGAAGTATGAAGAGCAACTGCGTAACGGCATCGATTACTACATACAAATGACGGACACATTGCAAAAACAAATTGTCGATTTAAAACAGGATATGGCGAAAATCATAACCGAAAAGTACAATTACCAGCTGACCCTAAACAATATACGTTCCACGGTAAATATATTGATGGAGCGCTTGAAGAAGTCCGATGCCGATGTAGAACAATTCAAGGCTGAACTCGAGTCTGTACAGCTGGCTAAGGGCGCTTTAGAGCAGAGCTATCTGTCGCTGCAAGCAGAATTGGAGGCGGTGCGTAATAATCACGTTGAAGCAGAAACGGCGCTGAAGACAATCTGTCAATCGTCGCAAACACTTCAGCAAGAGGTATCTATTAAAGAGCAGCTATTCAATGACATACTCACCTCGGAAGAGGAGACTTTGGCAAAATTCAATAAAATTGCTACCTCATTCCAGGAGCGCATAAATACCACTGATGTCACACACTACCTGGATATGTACAATGAGCTGCGACGCAAGGACGAATCACGCGAGCAGTATATGCAGGACATGAAGAAGGCGCTGGACGAGTTTGCAACCGTATTACAATTTGCCCAACTGGAATTGGATAGCAAAGAGAAGACACTGCACAAGGTACGCGACGAATGTGAACAGCTAAAGTTGGAGAATATAACGCTCAAGTCGAAAGTCGAGGAGAGCATTAGTAAGAAGGAGAATAGCACAGATTTGGAAAAAATCGAAGATCTACTTATTGACACCGAGTTGCGTGCTGAATGCGATAAGATTGCCTCCTGGCTATTGAGCTCCTCCGCCAGTGATAAATGTGTACGCAGCGAGAGTGCCAACGAGATCAACGATTTGCTGAAGCCAACAACACCCAACAGCACGAAGAAGAATCGCAGCTGCTTGACACCATCATCGCCCGCCAATCCCAACAAAACGATAACTATATCGACGGCACCGGGCACACCACGTACGCCACGTACGCCAAAGACGCCGCGCACACCGCGCACCACACCCAAGAAGACCGTACTCTTTCCCGGCAAAGAGAACATATGCAGTCCGCAGAAGCAGGTGCTCAAGGCGCGCAATATGTAGTGCGCCCGGTGAGGGGGAACGAACACAGTGGAAATCTACATTAATTGTAAGATTTATTTACATTTAAATAAATAATTACATGAAATATATTATAAATAACAGTGTTTTTCAATTGAGTTATTGTTGGTGCTGGAGGTAACGGGTTGGTATGAGGAAATTTTTGATTTACTTTCCCACGTTGTTTATTGAGATTTATGGCACGCTGAAGGCTCCGTTGAAAGGACGACAAAATCGCATTATGTAAAGGTATGTCCATACATATATACCTACGTATATATACATATATATATATGAGAAGAAATCTCCATTATGTACACGTACAATTGCGCAACAAATACTTACGGCTGGCTGCACGCTCGACTAACACCCTTTGTAAGTGCACAAAGGGGTGGGTAAACAAAATCCATAGAACATATTCTACACACACAAACACACACACACACACACACTTTCACACTGTGAGGCCTATAATCTTTTTGAAAGGTAACGTCAAGAAATTGCGACACACTTCCGTTCGTCAAAGCAAAGTCTTTGTGCGGCTGAAGTAACTCAACAGCTACAAGGCATATGAAAGAGTACGAAAACAAAAACAAAAACAATAACTTTGGCAGGCAATAGCCCGCGAAGCATGTAATTTTGGCAGCTGTTCAAATTGCTGGGCTCACTTTTTCTTTAATTACAACCGGTGCGCGGTGAGCTGGAATTCAGCACCACATTGAGTTTTTGCTTCACACCAGAAGTCGCTGGGGTCATAACGACAGTCGTAGTCATGGTTGAGTTGCAATGCACGTGCGCGTTCCCAACAAATGACTACTTTCTTCGTTGCTTTGTCCATTCTAATCGACACTCCACGATCTGCACTGGGCTTAGTAAAAGCGGTTTGCAAAAGATTTGTTTTTAGACTGTTCGGTTTATGGCGGAAGTTCATATTAGACTTTGGCTACAACTTTACGATCAGCTATTAGTTAGACTTAGTTGAGTACGAGACCGATCAATAGCTGCAGGTACAGTTTAGTGGCTTTCTAGCGAAATTTATGACAGCTTATATGTCTAGGTTGTTGTGACGTCTATATTTGTATGTACAAAACTTATTCTTCTCATTACTTGAAGATGTTGTTGTTATACTGGGGTTAGGTCACCGAAAAGATGATAGCCCTGGGCCGCATAAAATCCGTGACCGAGTGACTGTCCGACCAGAAGGTGCATCTCTCAAGACTTCGGAAACACAATCGAGCAAACCGCTTTTGGCTCGCGCCTGTGTACTTTTTTTACTTACCAATACATACACATTAATCATATAAACAAGGATATGTTGGGTGTAAGGTTAGGGGTTTTGGGCGTATCAAAGCTGGAGTCTGTTCATTAACGTTCATATCTCAGCGAAAGAGAAAGCGAAATAATCAATGATTCCCTATATGAGCTCCTAGAACGTACTTATGGGCACGGAACTGGCAATTACATCGGTAGTGTGATCAAAAGCGGTACTTTTAAGCCGAGAACGAAAAATTTCTCCAATCTATTATCTTCTTAACGAAGTTATTCCGATCAAAAGCTAACACATCCATCTTGGTCTTTCCGTGTTGTTCGGGGTCGGAATTGCTTTCGAGATTGACCTCCATCTACACCCTCGGAGTGTCAAGTTAAATGATCTTTTCACTGCGGCATCTTCAGCCATGCGAATGATACGTCTAATGGACGTACATGACCGTCCAATCTTCTCGTCTTCCTTCTTTTACGTTTAGGCACATAGATTTTGCGTAGAATAGAGGTCTCGAATGACTCTAGATCATTCTCCATACAGAAGGACGGGTATGAGGATATTCGTGCTATCAAAGCTGGCTTCAACATCAACGAATATGTTTTGCATGTCGATTTTCTCATATAGAATATTTTCCAGGCGTAGAGATGCTGTCAAAACCTGAAATTACCCGCTCTGAAACCAAACTGATTTCACACAGTACTCTTGATAGGATCTCATACGTGACGTTAAGGCCGTTTTCGCGGCTGTAGAGAGCAAAGTCTCCCTTCTTGTCGATTCGTCATGGCACACTTACATTCGAAGCATCGGACATATATTCATTGGACAAAATTGCACTTAAGAGCCGGTACATGCCACCAGTTTAGCTGGTATACCATTAGCTCCCGGAGATTTTGTGTGCTTTAAGCCGCTTATTGTTGTTCTTATTTCGTCTTAGTTTAAAGGAGGGACATTGACATTGTCCCTGTATATATTTAGGTCACGGTTGATTCTCCTCAAATCTGTCATCGATGGCCACGTTAAGGCACTCGTAGTAGCAGGGATTTTTGCGTGGGCAAACAGATCCTTTAGCTGCTACAAGGTAATGGTCCTTGATTGCTACTCGGATTGAGCACAAGTCAAATACGCTCGAAGCGCCACTCTCGTTCTTTTGATAAGAGACACCCAGTTGGTATTGTGAATGTTTTTATGCCCGCCCAAGCATAATTTTAATAGTAGAAATGTGCCTTGGTGTCATCGTCCCACTCTGCCGTCGAGGCGTGGCAACACAAATTAATTCATTAATTTTAATTTTCAAAAATTTAAAAATATTTCATTTAAAGAGTACTATTTTTTAACAGCTCTTGTCCTGCTGAGCTTCTGTAATGTGTTAATTATAAAGTATATAAGTTTAAAATGTTTGTTTATTTTTTAATACAAATGCAAGTTCATAATCTGTTATATAATATTTGTAAATCGTAATTATATTACATAAATATTATATCACAAAAATATGTGTAATTTAAAATATTTCAACAGAAAAAAAACGTTTATTTTGCGCAATTTTGTGTGCCAGTGTTGCCAGAAATGGAAAATTCAAGAGAAAAAAAAGAAAATTAAAATGAAAAAAAATTTAAACAAAATTCGTTTACAACTTAGAAAAATTTTCAAAGATATTGGTTTGAAAAAATAATAATAATTATAATAAAAATATTAGATAAATCAATCGAAATTGAAATACTTCATAGTAAATAATTAAAAAAAAAATCTAAAAAGTGACCAGTCAACTTAAAATTTTCTTTTAACATATAATAAACGCAAAAACTAGGTGGCCATCGCATAGAATTTTAGGTGAACTCGCATTTTCGCATATACATTTATTGCGCTTGCCTCGAATTTGAGGTTAGTTTTGTCCAAAGAATATTTTTTAATAACGCTTGAAGGTGCAACAAACAAACCAGATTTAATAGTAATAATTTTACACGAAAATATTATTTGTTTTGCAAAAAAAAAAAAAAAAAAAAAAAAAAAAAAAAAAAAAAAAAAAAAAAAAAAAAAAAAAAAAAATATATAAAAAAAACAATAAAAATCTTTTTATGATTTTTGATGATTTTTTAAGAAGAAAGCAATAAATTTTTGATACGAAAAATGAAAATTTTAGATTTTCCAATGATTTAAATAATTACGATATGAGTAAAAAACGATTACGCGTAACGCCAAAATCCTACGAATTCCAATTGTACGATGTATGTAATGTAGTTTCGCTGCGCTAAAAAACGAGCTTGTTTCGAATTCGTGAGAAATTCGTTGTTTTGTTTATTGAGTTGAATTGGAAATACATACAATGGTAGGGTAGCTCATAATTTGTTACACACGCGCATATTAACTGTAATAATAAATATCAACAGTATATATCAATAATATTCATAATAATAAGTACGTTAAATACTGAATATTTAAATTTATATACACTTATGTTTTTTTGCTGTGCTTTCTGGTTTTTTATTTTACAAATTATGACTCTATGTATGTGTATGTGTATATGCGTGTGCAACGTTCAAAAATCATTGGAAAACATATGTTTAAATTGTCAAGCCTTTATAATCTTTATTTCATTAAAAAAATGTGGTGCATTTTATTTCTTTATATTTTTCGTATATTTATATGTATATATATATATATATATGTATATATATTTTTACGCAGTGATAAAATGTTCCAAAAACGTTTACATAAATTACAATTACTACATTATATATCGACATTATAACGCGTGCATGTATGCAAATTTAGTTTGTTTTTCCATATGTCTTTTTATAAGTTTTTGGGAAATGGTATAAATAAAGCCATAAGTATGATATAATAATCTTGTAATAAATAGAAATAGTAAACAATTTTAAGTTCACATTGCGTGCCATTTCAACTAAATAAAAGTATACTCAATTGTAAATAAGATTTACAGCTAAATACATATAATACATACATATATTTTGCTTTATATAGTACATACATATGTATAAACAAAAGAAATAATATTAACATGTACAATAATTTTTTGTTTTTTTTTTCGTTTTTTCTTTTTTCAACAAGCAAGAAATTCAATATTTTCACAATAGCCTTTATAAACATATTTCTACACTATTTAAAATATGTGAGACATATCTAATTTAACACTTCGCTTAAGTAAAATTATGTTCGTTATTAAAAAAATATTAAAAAAATAATTTCGTTGAAAAATTATTTAACACATTTCATTTTATCGTTTGTTACAAACGAGTCTCTTTCGTTACACGAGTTGGTTTTTTTTTGTTTTTTTTTTTTTAATTTGTAATTGGATTTAACGCAGGATATTATGCATTTAAAGTCAGCAATTAAATCAATTGTCATTACAAATTAGTAGCCTAGGTGGCATACATATGTAGCAATGCACGAAGATGGATAGATAGCGTTATACATACGTGTACATACTTATAGAAGAACCATCATAATTTTCTAGGCTTATAGCATACTTTATGCGGGACTTGCAGCAAAATACATATGTATGTTTGTGTATGTATGTGTAAACTATACGCATAATGCGTTAAATATTCTAAACTATATTTTTATTCAATCTTTTTATTTTAAATATATGCATATACGTTTGTATTGTATGTATATATAAACAGCAAATACATTAATTCGTTTTTTTATTTGTATGTATGTAAATATCTACGAGCGTAAATGTAAACTACGCAGTCTGTTATTCAATCGTTTACTACCAAAAGTTTTTTTTTTCTTTTTGTTTCACTTTTTATTCGTTTCGTTTGTTTTTGTTTTAACTTCGTTTTGCATACTACATTTTGCACATTTTTATTTGTTTATTTTTTTAATATTTCTTCCTTATTATTGTGACCATTCTCAATTGTTTTTATATTATTGGCATTATGCGATTGCTGTTGCTGTTGTTGCTGTTGCGGCTGATTTTGTTGTTGATGTTGTTGTTGTTGTTTAAGTTTCTGTTTCTGCTCCAATAGCGACTTGTACGTGTAGAGCGACTGTAGTGGCACATGTAAGAGCTCAATGATTTGTGTGAAATGAAACTCTGGAAATATAAAAATAAAGTAAAAAAAAAGAACAATATCATTTATAAATATTCATTTACACGGTCTACTGACATGAATGCAAGAACAAGAGAAATATAAAAATAAGCCAACAATCGTACGCGGTATTATTATTATTATTTTTTTTTTTTTATATTTCTTTGTTCTCTGAATATTTATAATCCATTGCCTGACTTCAATATAATGCCCACTCACCATTCTCAGGCGTAATGTAGCCATGGCGAATTAGAAAATCAATAACCACCGGACAGCTAGTCGTCTTAAAATCCGGTGTAAATACACGTTCTACACACTCTTTGGCCGGCAACAGCTCAAATGCTTGCACTTCGCCATCGGCATTTTGTGGCACAAAATCCAATGGTAGTTCCAAATCGAAAACATATTCCGTATTTGGAAATAAACCTTGATCACTTTCAAAAAAGAATGAAACACAACCGGCTGAAACAAGATTTTTAACAAGTTCACTTGGAATGGATGCCTCCTCGGCTGCCTCCTTAACTGCAGTCTCTTTAATGCCATAGCCCACCGATAGGCCACCACCGACCATATTATCCCATTTGCCGGGCCATGTTTCTTTGGTATTCGAACGTTGTTGTAGCCAAATACAAAGACCTTGCGTTGGATGTTGTACATAACCGTTAATATCTACGCCATATTTACGTACACCAAATAATGGCGTAGCCGAACGATCCATTTTTAATAGACTACGATATTCCGATTTAACCTCATAATACTGTTAAAATATATGAAAAATATGTATATTTTAGAAAATGGCATATATATATGCATGAATGTATATAAAAGGCAGTTGGTTACCTCATCACGCCAACCTTGGAGTGCAGAAAAAATGCCCTTAGAACGTAAATCACGTAATACTATATCGACTTGCTTTGTGCGTTCAGCATAGTCACGGAATGCAGGATTTAGCTCAACTATGCCCTGTTAAGAGAAATGGTAGATAAATAAAAAAGTTTAATTCCTGTACATACACATAGCATATACATATGTATGTATAAGAGAGCAATTTACCTGTTTGGTAAATTCACAATCGCGTATACAGAATATTTCGGGATAACGTTGTAGCTGCTTAATGACATCGGCTTTAACGAGACCAACTTGTTCGCCTTCAACTAGAAATGGACGTATGTCTCCCTTTTGAAAACCTGAAAAAAAAATAAAAGTAGATAAAATAATTAATATATCTGCACATATATATGTATTTACATACAATATATATATATATTAATATATTAATTAAATATATATGCATATATTTTTAATTTTAGCAAATAATCAAATTTAATGTCGATTTGGGAAAAAATGATAGAAAATTTTTTATTAAGCTTTAATGAAGAAAACAAGTTACTAAAATCAAAGAAGACATTTTTATTTGGTATTTAATATTTTTTAAAATTAATTTTATGGTAATTATTGTACACAGACGGTGCACAATTACACTTATGTCAGTATGTATGTGAAGCGTTGTTTGCAGAATTGTTTATAGATGACCAAATTCTTTTATATACATACATATGTACATATATTCGCATGAATACGGCTTAAATTTAGCATCGTAATGTTGTTATATTATTGTGTAGCATACAAACATACGTTTTTCTGTTGTCACAACTAAGCGTTTTAATACCAAGGAGTTTCATTTTATTTAAAACAAAAACAGAAACCAATCGAAAAATGTAATGCGGCGATAAGTTATTTGTTGTTGCTCTTTTTTTATTTTTTTCTTGTTTTTTTTTTTGGCAATAAGAATGCAAAGGCAAAGAAGAATCAAAGTATTTTAATTGCTATAGCAAATTGTCACTCTGCATATATACGAACATAAACAATGAAAAGCAACAAGACAAAAACGAAAAAAAATACGTTTGCGCAAATTTGTGCTGATAAAAATATAGAAAAATAAAATAAACACATAATAAAGTTTGCTAATCAATGGATTTTAGTGTAATTACTTCTTTAGAAATATATATATGTGTGTTTTAAGCTACTTGCCTGTCAGCAAATAATGCAATATTAATCGTGGATTTTAAATATTAAAATTAATTTTGGTCGAATAAGGTCGAAAGTGAGCTTGTCTTTACGCTTAGAGTGTAAATGTGCATTTGGAACATTTATAGCTCCTTGTTATCGTTGTTGTACCTCATTAGCATGCATATAATTTTTAGGTTTTATTTTTAAATTTTTTTATTTTTTTTTTTTTTTATTTTATTCAATTTAATTTATTTTCCAATTTCAATTTCTAATAGTGCTAGTGGCGTTTTTAGAAGAACTCTTTTTCATACTTCAAATAAAAATTTTAATTTGATTTTAATAAAATTTCATTTACAACTGGGAATTTTGAAAAAAAAAATTAATTTATTGTATCTATTATTGTATCTATTTTTAGCTGAATAATAATTGCAATTTAATTTGATAGTTTTTACAATAATTAAATTGCTTTCTTTTACTAATTATGTTCATTTGACGCGCTTTATTACAAAGGCCTCTAATTACTATTTATGCTCGCACAATTAGGAACCTCTTGATATAAGCAAATGTGGCACAAACGCAAGAAAAAGCTTCTGTCTAATACATATGTACATATGTACATTTGTATCTACCCAGCTGCAGGCATAAGTCTAGCTAAACATACACAGCTCCGTATATATGTGGCGCGTGGACTTTTGCTATCTCTATATGTATGTATATATATATGCACAATGTCGCACTCATTCAAGGTGACTTAGAAAATTATAATTGTCGATGGCGCTAACCATGGTCATCATAAAGCGATTGTCCTACTTCAAGCAATTGCTCTAACTTGACGCATCCTTTTGACTTGTTTGTTGGCACTTAAGTGAGTAATTGAGTTAACATTTAAATAAATGGCGTGAATATATGTACATACATACATGTATTCATCTGTGTGCTGCTGTGTGTTTGGTATTTAGTTGGCAATGTCAAATAATAACAAACTTTATTTGGCAGCTAGAGATAATGTTTAGAAAAGTATGTACAGATGTATGTATGTACATACAAGAGATAAATGCATATGCGCGTACGGCATATTTGCACTTTAATGAATATTTCGCCACAACAAACATGTCACTCCGACGTCATGGCAAATTATGACTCACCAATCAGTTTGGTGTGGATAGCAGCGCCCAGTTGTTCACCTGATCGACAGGTGTAAGCGATGGCATCTACTTTATTTCCACTTAAGTGGTTCTCAGGTTGGGCAATTTGCTTTTTTTATTGTGTTTCATTGGAAAATTTTAAAACAAATATAAGTTTTTGTTGTTAATTTAAGTAAGTAAAAAAAAATAATAATAATAAAAATAAAATTTTTCTAAACATCGCCGGCTGAAGTTAAACTTTACTGTTTTTATGTATGGCAAATTGTTCCCACATACAAATTTAATTCATTTGTATAGAAAATAAGTTTTAAAAACAAAGACATTTATTTTGTATTACACATGATTTGACAAAGAGTAGAACTGATCAAAACGAGTGACAAGAGCGAAATATTCTGAATAATCACAGTAATCGAAATGCTTACGCGCTAAATTGGCGCTTATCAGTTGTACAATTACAAATTAATTGTATGACTTAAATGAATGGGCAAATGTTTAAATGTGGAAATGGGACAGACAGGCACGCTTACCATTTGAGCACTTTATATGCACATGTGTAATCAAACAAATGTACATTTATATAGAGCAACGGCAATTAAGCAATTTTCAGTGACTGATTTGTTTTTGTTATCATTTTAAAATACAAATCGAATTTTAATGAAATTTTCTTACCCAAAGGTAAATTAGATTTCGAAAACCCTCATTATCCGGTATTTATTCTGAATTTCACAATATTAGTAGCGTAAGAATTATAAACAATTAAATAAAAAAAATTTATAATATGACTTCAATCCATCAAATGCAAAAAAATCTATTCAGCCGAAAGGAAGTTCTGCTCTTTAGATTACAACGATTTGATTGCAATTTTTATCTCTTTAACTAAATTTTTCTTTATTTGAAACACAAATTTGTGCTCTAGCAACTAACTCCTTGTCGATTTTTTCGGAAACACAAAAATATTATACTAAATAAATGCAACTAATGTACATATGTGACTGCGTTTAGCGACCACACCCTTAAGCCATTGGACATATACAAATTATTATATAAACTATGTTGTATATAAATTTTGTTATTTATAAGTAAAGCTAATTATTTAATTCATATATATGTATATAGCATTTAACAATACCTTGGTGTCAAATAAAACCTTTTCCGGCAAAATTAACATTAGAAAGCATATAGCGCTTTTTTACAGTGGTATGCATGTATGCTGCACTGATTTGATATGTAAATGTCTGTATACATATATTTCATTTAATTATATACAGAAAGGATATAGGCAAGGTAACATTACAGATTCTAAATCTCACTCAAGTCTCTTCTTTTCAACATCATCAATCTTGGAAACTCAAGTTGCTCAATGTTGTCCTAATTCCTCAGAGATTTTCGGCTCGTTTCTATGCTTTTCTTATGATGCTATACACACCCGAAGGATATTCTGGTCAGCATGACTAAATACACACACACACCGCAATATAGAAAAGTGTACACAAATCGATGAAAGGATATGCATATATGCATATACATATATGTATGTAGCTAACGTTAGGTAGTCGTTGAACTTTTAACTATAGACTTATATTAACTCTATTTAAACATTTGTTTGAGTTAATATTGCTGTTTAAAATTATATTCTTTCATACCTGTTAAATAGAAATTATTAAATTTCTGCGCCAAATGATAGAGGCGAGACAATTTCACATTTACATCCGCTGAAGCCATCACCGAAAAACCCAGCTTCTCCACTATGCCACGCACGGTTACTTTCGCGATTCCTTTATGTAATTTGCAGTTTTCTCAAAAATCTTTTATAAATCACACACAATGCAGTTCCTATTTAATAGCAACGAATTTCATCAGCAAATATCAAATATGAATAGAACAACCAACACATCAGAAAACAACTGACCGATTTTGAGAAGAATTGGTTGGTTTGTCGAGAACAGTTTGGAAGAAACTGTCATTGTTGAATTTGGCACTCTGTTTGACATTTTTCGCTGTCAGATTTTGTTTGAAGAAATTTTGCAAAATAAAAAATTCATTAATATATTTTTTACATATATATACATATTATATATATATACATATATTTTGAGATAGTAATATGTAAATGCAATTAAATAAAAGGAGTTTGAAAAAATCACATAAGTACTTGTTGTTTTTAATTTCTATTCCCAGCAATTCACAATAGCAACCTTTTGTGAGTTTGCCTGATTGGTTTTTCGTTAAGTTTAGCGCACATGTGCATGACATTTGGCTGTCAAGTCTCAGTCCGTGGAAAGATACGAAGAAAAATTCTACAACTAAAAACTAACTACAAAAATATTGGCAAAATACTTACAGAAAATTAAAGTTTTAATAAATACTTGGCGAAACAAGGACAATGAGTGAAGAATACTTAAGTCAACCGCTATCGCTGGGGTCGTCATCATCAGGTAAGAGGCTGTAATGCATGAATATTCTAGGCACGACATACAGGGTGTACATTACGCAATTGCCGTGACTAGTGTGTAATTGTATTATAGTGCCATTTATAGATAATAACGTTGAATTTATAAATCTTTTATTATTATTAAATAACAGATGATAAAACACGACCAAACCGATCGAGTGGCTTGTCGTCCGCAACCAGCACATTCGCTACACCAATTTCTCCATATTTGAATTATGACCCGCGCTACTTGCAACAAGCACAGCCAGAATTTATTTTTCCGGAGGGAGCGAATAAACAACGTGGACGTTTCGAATTGGCATTCTCACAAATTGGTAGTTCAGTAATGGTTGGAGCGGGGATTGGTGGTTTAGCTGGGTTTTATAACGGTCTACAAACAACATCTGCGCTAAAACAAACGGGCAACCTCAGACGAACACAGTAAGTGCCATATGGTGGCTGTAATAACTACAAGTTTTATTAACGTATACGTAATAATAAAATTTTTCATTTTTTAGACTGCTGAATCATATTATGAAACAAGGCTCTGGCACTGCAAATACGCTGGGCACACTTGCCGTTATGTATTCAGCTTTTGGTGTACTGCTGCAAAATGTACGCGGTGAAGACGATGACATTAATACGCTTATTGCCGGCACAGCCACGGGTCTGTTATATAAATCCACAGGTATTGAATGAAATTTTAATTTATATTATTTAAATTCTAAGTAAATGTATTTTTTTATGCACAAACAGCTGGTCTTCGAAAATGTGCGATCGGCGGAGGTGTCGGCTTAGGCATAACAGCGGCTTATTGTCTCTTCCAATTGATGCGAACGAACTCAAATGGTTCAGGCGTAAAATTTCTGTAAAACCATATGAGTACATACAAATGTATATGACATGTAACAAACCGACTGCTACATTTTGTATTTGCGAATAGAGTAGTGGTTAGTTGCTGGTAGTGACTTGGGGGGTAACTCCATAATTTGTGGAGTTGAATGTAGTCCCGTTATTCCTCTCTATGTAACGCACGCATGTAACGTACATAGCAAATCTAAGTTGTAAGTTTTCTTTTTTTTTTAATTTTTATTTTACTTTATTAGTTATTAGAATGTGATTGAGTTGAGTTGAACAAACAAATACCGAAGAAATTTTTGCTTAATAAGCGAAAAACACAAAGAAAACACCGAAGAAATGCGAAAACACCAATTCACATAAAATTCGTTGTGAATACCAGGGGTAGGAAGTGTGTTTGTATGATGTGCTTATCTAAATAAAATTATTAAATAGTTGTACAGCAAATGGTAGGAATAAAAATCAAAGAAGAAATTTCACCGAAATAAAATACAAACGCTTACAGATAATGAAACAAAATCAATGAAGTTACTTATTTCTTTTGTGACATTCAAAAAGAGAAAAAATGAATGAAAATGGGCTTAGTTGTGTATTTTGTCTGAATAAACAAAAACTCTTTTTTTGTACCAACCAGTTTCCACAAATAGTAAAAAAAAGCTTTCCATTCAAAGATATACAAAATATTTGAAACTTTTTAAGTTTTATTTGCTGCTCGAAAGTATTGACATTGAATTTTTGATTTTCTCTATATAACATTCATTATATTTTATTTATTATAATTTTTTGTAGCTCTGCCTCGGTTTATTTTAGTAAAAATATTTGTAGAACTTTGAAGTTTTAATTCCATGATGTTTTTTTTTTATTTTTTCAAAATACTCTAGGTTTCAAGGTCGTTTAACATACCGTTATCTAATATTTATTTCATGTCCGGCATCGTTTTATAATAGTCTAGGTTTCAAGTGTCGTTAAACTGCCGTTATCTTTTATTTAATTCAAGTCCGGCATCGTTGCGCTCATTTGTTTAGTGAATTTATATTTAAGATTTTAGTCGAACCTGTTAAAGTCACAGATTTGAGAAGATGCGTATTGGACCAGTTAGAATCAACACTTAACACAATTTCAAAATAGAACTAGTTGGATTAATACTACTATCGCACAATGGTTTATTATTTTGTAACTTCAGCACACTGCCCACTGCCCTCTTTCGATTTTGGATAATAACTGTTAACATAATAAAGTTTCTATTAACATCAATAATCCAAGGCATCCGAGTCGGAACCGGTTAAGGCCAACACCTTCACACTCGATTTCTCATCCACAATGTTGTTGACTGGTGCTTCACAGCTGGTGTCCAAAGTAGAACAAGTATGGCAATGGCAACTGCCAGCCTCCATATACTCATAACGACGGATTTCCTGGGAATGAAGACAGAAAATAAAAAAAAAAGGCAATTTTATGCCTGTTACGCTTACACACTAATTTCACTCACCTCACTGGCTTCCGGATGGCAATTTCTCAGCACCGCTACAGCTGGCTGCCGCGTAGCGTGCACACAAACGGGATGAAACGAGCGCTTGTATGGAAATTTCCAATCGGAAATTTCACTCGAGTCACAACGTCCCCAACAGGAGCGCACGCTTACATAATCCCAACATTCACGGCCCTGCTCGTCAGCTTGTGTGATGCGGTATGTGTAGAGCCGCTGGTGACAGCCGAGCGGTGCCGTAGTGGGACTGCTGTCGATCGGTTGTGCCTCCAATAGTTGACTCAAAGACGGTGTTGTAATTGTTAGGATGACGGCAAGTACAAAAAAATCAAAATATTCATTCTACACATAGAGTAAACAAACAAGAAAAGAAAAAAAAAAACGTCGAAAATGAAGATTAACGGTGTAGAATATTTTCGTATTCTTTGCTTAGTATCTCAATGTGTGCTCACCATTTCAGTGACCTTTTCACCCGCTTGCTAGCACGTTACTGCGTGGTTGGCTATTGTCCAGAGCAGCGTAGAAAATGAAATGACATCCTTTTGCTTGTTGCAGGACTCTTTTATACAAGTTTTCGTATTTCATTTAAGCCCTTTTTTGTTTGTTAGTAAGCGCGGGAAAAGTATTGGTGCTATATGCGCCATGAAGTAGCAGCAAATATTAAACACACTCGGCTATACCTTTGAGGTTCACATTTACATATAACGATTAGCACACGAGTGTTTAAGTGCGTCATGTAACTTGAGTTTGACTGCGTTCGCTTTGTGGAAATACACATTTACATACACGCATACATATATACTATGTGCTCAAAATATAATATATGTGCGTATGTAGAAAAACTTGGTATTTCGTATCTTCAATTCACGACGATCTATTTATGAAACTCCTTTATATGCCAGTGAGGTTCCTCATACGTCCCGGTAAACGAATATTTTGAAATTAGGCGCCAATTGGAGACACAATGTGAAACTAAATTATTCTCCATTTTATCCTTCCGCAACCGAATTGGAGATCTTTCCCTTGTTCTGGTGCCACCAACGGTTACAGCGTTCCGAATTTTTAGTGCTGGACGTCCAGAATCGGTTGTTTTGTTGTAGGGGCGTGCTTACCCCAGGCGAGACTAGTCTTGACTCATCGAGGTTATTTGGCAGAGAGAGGGAAAACTCTCAAAAAACCGCAAAAATGTTACCCAAAGTACTTTTTAGTGGAATGATGCGGGAGTGACACCTCTTGGACGGATAAAAATCTGGGTCGTTCCGAAATATTATTGGATTTTAGTCGCCTCTTACGACAGGCATGCCATACCGCGGACAAATTCTTGAACGCCTATCCCGCAGGAGGTGAGGGACAACTCTCACGACAGCAGTTTCTGGGCACCGGAGTTGTTGTAGCGGTTCGCTAGCCCCGCTAGATGGAAAATCTACTACTCCATTCCGACATTAGCTGCACCAAAATTACTTCTTATATGGTACATGTAATGCGCAGGATCCGTTGACAACTTTCTGCGAAACCGCTCTCTGTTTCGATTGTAAAATAGAATTGTCGACGGATTGCTCGTACAACTCATCTCTCCATCTTCTGTGGTATTCGCGTGGCCAATATGCACTCGTTTATAGTGACGTGGGAGCCGAGAGGCAAACGTGCTGATTGTCTGATATTGATAACAGACTACGCAGGCGCGATATGGAGGCGGAGACTAATATTAAATTTGTGGAGAAACTACAAAACTGTCAGGACTCTAAATGAAGGACCTCCGCAGGATGTTTCCTAATATCTCGGTTTCAATTTCTGTCACTGACAGGTCCTTAACGTCAGTCATAGATAGTCGATCATTCGATTTTTACGCTCTCTTCAGTTTATTCGGAGGGTTTGACATTCCTTGTTGATTGGCGTCTTTTCGGCTATCGTGGCCGCTTATTATAGCTTCTCACGCTCTCATTATTGTATCCAGGAGCGAGATCTACTTCTCTGGGCATTTCGTTCGGATCTTCGTGGGGAATCGTCGAGTTGGTTTTCAAGGTCACTCGGCAGCTAGCGAACAAGCTCCAGTTGATTTGTGGAATTTGAGAACAGAAACTGTCCTGATTAGTCATTGACAACTGATAAAAAAAATGATACTGAAATTCAATATCGGAGCTCCTACAACACTCACTTCCAATCATATGCCGCCATTTTTGGGCTATAGTCTTAAGTTACCAAACTTTTATTAATTTTGATTTTTTAAAATATCACTAAATATAATTTTGTACAATACCGTAAAAATTTTGCCAACATTACATTCAATGCCAAATGATAAAAAAAAATATCCAGTTTAAAAAATCATCGGTTCTGCTCATCAGCAATTGCTGTACTCTTCAGTTCGGTCATACGAATGTAGTCGTTCATCGTCTCTTTTGATATTTCACCCATTGAATAAATCGATTTCATATCAATCCATTGCCATCTCTATTGCCATGCGTTGGAAATTTCGTCAAAAATTTGAATTAGTTCCCTCGCCGATTAGGTTTTGCTGGGAACAGTTTGCCCAACTGGTTGTTCATGTAAGTCCGTTTTTGGTGTAATTCCTCTTCGCTCCTCACAAGTCTTTCGTGTATTTTTGAGTAGTGTTCAAGCGTCAGTTAAACTTGGTTTTGTGCGCTTTTTCATAAAATATTTTTTATATTTATTTTAAACTAAGTTGTCATGCCATCTTGGATCAGCCGGTTCATTTTGTCAAACACTTACTTAAATTGCCTCTCACCGCCGTTAGGCACGTCGTCGTATCTCATGATGCGAGCCGAAACGCTGCGCTCTCAATTGTACGCGAAAGCGGCGATTCGGATCGTGCCGCAGATCTTCGGGACGATCTTCAACGACTGCAAGTGCTGCTGCTGCAGCAACATCCATAACCGCGGCATCTTCCTCATCATCGGCATCTTCATCCTCATTCGGGCTATCGTAATCATCCATGGCGGCATCTTGTGCCTCCACAGAAGCATTTGACATGGATATAGTTTCGGCATCACGTGCCATGGCGCTTGCCAATAGACGCTGACGCCGCTCTTCCATCAAACGATGACGTTCCTTGTGTATGTAGTCACGTTTATTCGGCAAACCGGCCACATTGTTTGCGGTAAGCGCCGAACGCACTACATTCATATCGGTCGCCTCCATCCTGCGGATGGTTAAAGAAAATTTTTTATACAAATTATGAAAAGTAAATATCATTCGTACTGCCGCTTACCACTCATCCGTCTCGGCAACGTAGCACTCCGTATGTGAAATGGTCGAGACGCCATTGAAACCACCAATAGCAAAAATCATGTCGTCTATTATCTCAAGTCCGAAATTGCTACGGGAATGATTCATTTCGCGTATGAAGGACCAAGTTTGTGTATCGGGATCGTAACGTTCGCCAGTCGATAGACGCGCTGTGCCATTGAAACCGCCAATCACATAAAGTTGCCCACGAAACGCTACACAGGATACACCTGAGCGGCGATGATTCATATTCGGTATGCGTGTCCAAATGTTCGTATTCGGGTCATAGAATTCGGCGCTATCCAAGCACTCTTGACCGTTGAAGCCACCTAAATAAATATTAAGAGAGTAGAAGAAAGATATCAAGAAACGAGTATACAATATAAGTTGAAGTGAAAGCTGGGATTTAGGGCCTCAAATCGGGGATGTCTGCGAATCGTGGGTTTTCTAGAGTTCTATGATGATGGTTTGCTTCTGCAGCCTAGTGCTTTTGTTTTTGTAACCGTAAAATTATTTCCTCAAATTTGTTTTCGGCTAATATTGCGAGCGCAACAGTCTTTGAACGCCTAAAAATCCATGTCGTTCCCGTATAAAGACCCGACTGTCACGGGAACTATTAGTTTTTGGTCGCCTTTTACAGATTCGAAGATCTGCGTATAAATTTGAGCCCTAGCGCGCGGGGGGTCTTGTCTGCAACCTCATTCTCAGGGCAGTTGTATATTTGGAGCTCTTATGACTCGCGAGTTCCAATTAGAAAGAATGGGTAGTAATCTGCACTCCATTTGGCCTAAATTTTTAAGATCAAACGTTTTGAAGTTTTTCTCCACAATTTTCTCTCTAACCTCGTGCTTAAGGGTGATATACGAAAATTTAATATTCGAAACTCCTCCGAATCGGAGTTCCGTGTAAGAGGAATAAGTTCAAGTCTAAGTAGTCCAAATTTTTATGTCTCTAAAGTTTTTTATGATTAACAACAATTTGCCTCTCAGCAGTTTCATTTCCCATCTCATTCTTAGGGGTAGTGTAGGAAATTTTTATATTTGGAGCTCTACAGACTTCTGGTTTCACACAGAATTTCTATGACCAAAAAATTGTCTGAGACTCCTTTAGGAAGAGTTATTCTCTTGGTGGTTTCGTTTCCATACTCATTTTTAGGGCTGAAGTGGGAAATTTTGTATATTTGGAGCTCTTCTGACTTTGAGTTCCACACAGAAGGTTAAGTTGACGCCTTTAACTGTGGTTAGGTAGGTTAAGCGTGTATGTCTGGGGGCGCACTTAGGGCTTAAGGTGGCTAACTGCATGATTTTGATTCATCACTTCTAGTCTTATTTTTCAAAAGCACCAACATCGACTATTTTGGTGGTTTTAAACCGTTTTTGTGGTTCGGTTTTTATATGGTGGATATTAAACTTTTTGGAGGAGTCCTTCTACTTAGTTAAGGCCATCTCACATTTTATAGAATATTTAGTCGATTTTACAAAAAACGAACTTCTTTCTAGGCGCCGACAGCGTCTAACTTCATTTATTCATAATTCCCAAAAAAAAAATCTCCTAATTTCTGTCACCCTCGAAAGGAAATTTCAAGCTCTCTGAGTTCATTTCTGACAAGCTTCTCGAAGAAATCAATCCTAGCATAAACTGCGGGGGCTCCTCCGTTCAGTGAAAAGGCAAGATGCACACAATAAATCGGAGTATGAGCTCGACCGGGTATCGCTTTAGCGGTTACAAAGCGCCAATTATATATGTATGAGCTCTCTTTTGCCTGCTCTCATAGTCCTTACAACATTTACTGTCATTTAAGTTATTCCCATCGAATGTTTATGGTCTGTTTCGTGCTTTAAGATTTTAAATTAATTTGAAATTCCAGCACTTTTGAGCAAAACTCGCCCTTAACACAGAAATGCCCCAAATTTCATTACGCAAAGAAAGTAACCTCAAAGCATCTAAGGAGTGTGGAAATGACAGTGAACGTTCCCCACTCTCTGCTTTCACTTTCCTTTCGCTTCGCCCTTAATCGCAAGCAGTTCAAATAAAAATGTTAATTTCAGCTTAAAATAAACTTTGAAAACTATAAATAAAAATTCCAAAATGAACACAGACAGATTTTGAAACTTTCACTCACTCTCTTGCCCCCTGTCAACTCTCCCACCCACAGTTACCACTTGGATTGCGTGTGTGTGTGTGTGTGTGTGTGTGTCCATTCACTTACCCGTTGCATAAATTTTCCCTCTTAATGTGCAGGCGCTTGCGTCAGATCTCTGCATATTCATGGGCGTAATAACGGTCCACTGATTCGTTTTCGGATTATAACGCTCAACTGTATTTAAACGGTTATGACCGTCGTAGCCGCCAATTGCGTAGATGAGACCGTTAAGCTCGGCGACGCTAACATAGCAGCGTCGACAGTGCATTGGTGCAATCTAAGGAAGGAAGGAAGGAGAAAAGAAAGAGAAAGGAGTGGAAGAATGTATTAAAATAAGAACTTTAGGGTTAACTTTTTGCTAGCTGGCGACAATAATCCTCTCAAGCTCAAAGACCTTTAACATTTTAGAGCATGCTCCACTTGGAACCATAACCAAGGTCAATCTATGCGCGATTGCTTCACATTTCAGCTTTTTTATATCTTCCAAAAGCTGGAGGGGAAGCTGAGTTTTAGATGCACACCCGCCTACAGGCAGTTATGAACGCGCGTCAAGACACGCAATGAAGGTTCGACGTCATAAAGCTTCAATCAGCCGTTTTCTATTCGATACTCCCGCTCAACAGCGCCCAGCAGCAACTCGTTTTAGGTGTGAAAAAAGACTGCCACGGCTTACGGAAGGTTTCAAGACCGCAGGACAGAGACTCTTGAAGGATACAAAGAGGCGATCTAGTTACTGATGCCCAGAGAACTTATGTCAGGAACACTTCTCCAGCCTACTTAGGTGCAGTGAAACACTCGATTCACCAATCGATGATGACGGTCAGAGGAAAGCATGCCCGACGAATGGCACAATAGAATGTGCTCTGTGTAAATTAACACCAACAGCTTTCACAGAGTCGGAAATCATCGAGCCTCATTTTCCTTCTTCAATTTAATGCTAGCCAAAATACAATGATCCGTCTTAACAAACACGTCGTTCATGATAATTTCTCCGCAGGGTCAGTAGTGGTAGTTAAGTTTGTAGACATTTTATTGGCATAGTTTGCCACATGGAGCACGGCCGAAGTATTTTTTTTAAGTTAACAAATCAAAGCTCTGTGTGTATATTTCTACTCACCTCCTTCCAATTCTTGCGCACTGCATCAAAGACACGACACGTATTGAAATATTCGACACCATCGTAACCACCAATCGAGTATATTTTATAACCTATAACAGCGGTGCCATGATAGGCACGTGGTCCGGCTGGATCTTCGGCTGGTATATTCACCCAACGATCAGCGCGGGTATCATACGTTTCGATGCAACCCTTCGAGGTGCCGCCACTCCAGCCGCCAATGGCGAAGATGACCTCGTGCGGCAGACGTGGCATGGCAAGCGGTGGTGTGGTGAGCTTTTTGGAAAATGGCATGCGAAATGGCACATATAAATTAGAGCTGAGCGTGCGAGAGAGAAAGAGAGAGAGAGAGGGGGGAAAAGAGTAAATACCTCGCCCGACGATGGATTCATTATATCCAAATCATACATGAATTTAAATGTCTCAACAATCAACGGCTTGGCATCTTCACACTGCAGCACATACGGATGTTCCTTCACCTCGTCCATGAAGCACTGCAAGGGAGTGTAAGATAAATTAATAGATACATATACATACATATATACATAAATTTGTATATATGTATGTATGTGAGTTTTTTTTTTGCTTTACACACACACCTTCGGTGTCATCAAACCCAAGCGTACGCCTTGCATTAGCTGCGCCACATACTGTTTGCGGTTCTCTGGGTCGTGATCAATCCATTTGATGCATAGCTTCCACACATGGTCCTCCTCGCGTGTGTTGAGCTCATCGTCGCTAATAATGTCGTAGAAATCCTTTAAGCCCATCTCGAGTATGTCCTTATTTTTAGCCGCGACTTCGATGAAATAGCGCAGCAGATAGTTGCGCGCTTTAGCGTACAAATCATCCAGAAAACGAAATCTACACACACACACACACACACACACACACATGAATGTGTTGCAGTTGTCGTTTGGGAACGCGTCAGAGCAGCGTGTGTGGGATTAGACGGTAAAGCGAATGCAAACAAATTAATTAATAATAAAAAATTTTCAATATTTTGTCTGCGATTATACGACTGTGCACACATACACGTATGTACATGCACGTATATTATATATCTGTATACGTGTATGTATGTCAAGTGTATTAAGCGTCAATTACTTTCACTTTCTATGTACAATCGAGCTTCCGCTACTTGCGCGCGCACACCCACCCCCACACCTACCCACACTCAGTGGGTGGTTAGTCGTCTCTTCACTTACCTGGCGAATCCCATGATGCTCACACAATTCTCGGCCGTTAACATCGATGCAAGATGTTGTTTGCACAGCGTCACCAAACCAATAATACCCACGTAATCGGCCGATATGAGCAGCTCATGTACGTTCTCCGCATTGATGGTGCATTTGCGCAGGTAGGCGTATTGTATCAACTGTTCCATAATGGCTCCGCTCATGCCGGGTATGTGCACCGAACGATTCTCGTCACTTTTTGATGGTGAGATAGTGGAGTTGAAGCCCGTAAACTGTGCTCTTGAGAGGGAAGAAGCGGAAAGAAGTTAAAAATTTACGTTAGTTGCGGTTTTGCGATATCAAATTTCAGCAGGAAACGAAGCACTGAGGCTTTGCTCATGATAAACTGTTATTTTATCTCAATAAAGCTTAAAATTAGTAATTGGTTAGTCTGTCTTCGACGTCCACTAACTGTAAGCCAAGCAACGACGGGTTCAGACTGGAGTGTTCGTTTAGTCGGTCTAAGAGGGCAGGCAAAGTAATCGATACGGTACACAAAGATGGAGGCAGAGGAAGAGTAAGATCTCCCCTTAGTTGGAAAATTAGTTGGAGAAGAACAGGCTTCCTGGATATTTCCAAATGTCGACGACCAGCGAAGAGAAAAAATGGCTGTTGTGCTGTTAATGACACAGCTATACACGTAAGCGGTGTTCACGCCAATCATTAAGAAGAAGTAGAAGAGGACATGCACAGATGTAGTTAATATCAAGCGGAGAAACATGGTGGACTACACCATGGATAGGTTGGGATTGCGTCACGATTGCTCAGCTCGAGTAAACAGATTTTTGTCTACTATGTGTGGGCTCCAAGAGACGAATGCGACTGTTGTTGTTGTTGTTGTTGTTGTAACCCCAAAGTACTTTTTGGGGAATGTTGCGGAAGTGACAGTCCTTGGCCGGATCAAATTTACTCTAGTATAAAGACCCGACTGTAACAACGCTTCCCATAAAAATCCATCAGCCGTTCGAGGCGGCTTAGTGTGAACTGTTGTTTTCTCCATTAAGACTCACACCACGAACCACACAGTCACGAATTGCAAATTGTGCACACATAACCCTTTTCTGTACATTGAAAATAAAGAGACCGGGCCGCACTGGTTGAGTAAAACTCCTGCGAACGTAAGGGGAAGTAGTTTTTGAACCGTAAGGGAAGGGTATCTAAGTAGATGGAACCACGAACTGTACGAGCACTGTAGTAAAGCTCATAAACTCACAACGTCTCCGATAGTTTGCACATGTCATTCATGAATTGTTGGCAAATGCTCAACTGAAATGGTACGAAACTACCGAGTTGCTTCTACACCAATTGGGAATTTGTGTGGGAACGCTACTGAAGTGGCATTTCCAGCCTCACGCGCACTCTCCATAGTTTTAAGAAGTTGTGCGCAGGTGAGCAAGGCTTTAACCGTGAAAAATAAGAACATCTCCTGAGGTAATTCCTGCATCTACCCCTAGAAATCCAACCCTTCAACTTTCCTTTCACTTTGGAAATAGCTCTGCATCTACATAATTGGAAAACCACGAAACTTACCGAAAATACGAGCTACAGGCACTCATAATAGCGCGATGGACATTGAAAGAGGCATCTGAGACCGAGACCACGGCATCACAAAGCAGATTGTTGCGTCGCAACTCGTTCAGTGTGTTGAGCGCATGATCGCTCATGGTGGCATTGACAGTTCGTTTGGGTGCGTTCAACACCAACGGATCCTCTACATCATCATCGTCCATTTCATGGTCGGCTTCGGGCAATACCACACCCTCGTCGTGCATGCTATGCGGATTAATGTTGTTATTGCCTAGAAAATTATCACGTGCGCGATTCAACAGATTTGCCATTATTTTCAACGGTTATATGTATAACGGGCAGTGTTTGGTGTTTGGAGTTGCGGCGAAACTAAGAGAGTTCTGTGTTGATTTCCGTGCCGACGCTAGTGAGCTTCTAATTGGAATGGCAGCTCATGTGCTGCCAAGAGGAGCGGGTTTTTCGTAAAAAAGTAGTGACCCAAATGTACCGTTGATTTTTTAAAAAAATATATTGCGCGTCTGAACGCGTTCGATTACGAGCAGGAATCGAATTGCTTCGTAGCTGAGGTGGATGGTGTTGCGTGGCGTTGCATGCAGGGCAGTGGCAGTGGTTGATTTGTGATGGTGAAATTTTGAAAATATTCGCAATGACTTAGAAATGATTGTATCTTAGTTTCTTCTTCTTCTTCTTCTACAAAATGTTTGGAAACTTTTATTTTGTCACTTTGTTTTTGTTTTTGACTCTTTTTCTTTTGCTCGTTCTCTCTTCTAGTTGAATTCGGCCGATGATTTTCTCCTTATTTGAATGGATTGTTGGTGTCCTCAAGTCGATTGCAGTTGAAATTTTAAAAAAGTTTAATTACCGTTAGAGTTAAACGGTGGCGTTAGGTACTAAATTAGGCGATGTATTGAAAAAAATTAATAAATAATTCTCCGAAAGAAAGGAAAATATTGACGACAAAAACTAATCAAGTATAATCTATACTAAATTGAAACAAAAAACTGAAAAGACTCGATGTCAAGACAGGCATGTTTATTGTATTTTTTATTTTCTAGGTTATGCAAAGTGAAAAATTACCGAAATTTTCATTTTTCTTTAGCCCACATTAAACATCACCCTGTGTTTCAGACGTGTGGTCTTCAACAGGGCAAAAAATGCTTGGAACTGTATGTTATGGCCAAGCATCTAGCTGCCTTACGAAGTTAAGGGTTCACCATTATGTTTTAAAAATAATTTCGCGCAAGTGACCGCTGAGAGGTCCAGTTTTCGACCGCACTTTGCACTCAGCACCCGCCGAATATTCTTCCCCAAGTTGTCAATCGTCTCGGTTATATCAGCGTAGACCAGCAACTGCACACATCCCGACAAAAAATAGTCCAGCGTTGTTAAATTACAGGTTCTAAGAGGCTACGCCACAGGCCCACGACCAACTACGCGAGATAAAGCCCTCACCAAAAGTTTCCTTCAATAAGTTGATTGTTTCATCGCCCACCTTAGCATCCTCCGATTCATGCACGAGAAAAGTCTAAAATTAGGCCATACAGTGTTCCCCATTGACTGTATATTCTTTTTTTATTGGTTTTATTTTTGAGGAATATGGACCAAATGATTTCCTCTGCCCATAGAGTACACCAAAAAGCGACTTTGAGGATGTAACGGCGTTCCAGCAATGCCTTGTGGATTACCAACATTCCAATTGCGACAAATTTTTTTTTTATTAACGTTCCCATCTCACCAAAGGTAAGCTTCATCGCTGTACAAACTTTTTTTTGTGAAACCTTGGATCGGTGGTCATATCTGCTTGAGCCCATTCAACGAACGTGCGACGCGTTCCTTAAAATTTTCCATAAAGTGCTCCAATTGTTGAGCGAAACTGCGGATGGACTCATTCGGGTCTTCTTCGATACTCTGCTCCACAGCAACAGCAATAGCGTCTTTGAGGATGCACCGATTCAGGGTTGCTCGAATCACCGTCTCTGCTGGGTGATTACATCGACGCATAGTGGATGCAACGCGCGAGCCACAGCATTACTTTGGAAACGAATTGGCATGAATTGCAAACGTGGTTCCGGAATAAATCCGCTCATCATCAAATGGCAAATTCCACTGAGTATAAATCAGGTAACTGCTATTAAAAAGACGAACTCAGGAGTGGGATGCTACTGTAATCGCAGCCAAGACAGTTTCAGATTACCGCCTTCCAAGCGCATATTATAGCACTGAAGGTACCAAATGGACAATCGCTTTCATGGAAAAACCTGCAATTAAGTGTGGTAGCACAGAGTCTAAATATGTGAGTACGTGTAAGGAAGCAGAAAATAGACCATGAAGGGAAAACATAGTGTAAATATTACTTGGGTACACAGATGCACATCGAAAGCCCCGCTTCGGCGATAAAAGCCGAGTTAAAAACATTCCTCCCTTCAATTGGAAATACTAAATACAGCCAGGTCCTTCTCTACCTGGTCTTTCCAACAGCGTGAAGGTCTTCCTCTTCCTCTGCCTTCACTAGATTGAAAACTTTCCAATCGGGAGTATTCTTATCCAGCCGGACCATATGAACTAGCCAGCGTAGCCACTGTTTCTTGATTCGCTGTCGCTGTATATCTCGTACAGCGCATCGCTCCATCGGCAGCGGTAATCGCCTTACCCAACTCACAGACTCTAACTAACGTCGACTCTTCAGTTGTTGTCATTCAACGTCCATGGACTTGTAAGGTTTAGTCTTCGTTCGTCGAACTTTACATATAAAGATTTCATTTTAACTACTTATACACCAGCATTACGTTGCTTCCATAAACCAGTGACTTAAGACCCCATTAACTGTATGTTTTATGTTTTTCCAACAAACGGAGGGAAGGCTGTTTTCATTCGCCTTAGAACGGCTAGTGGATTAAGCTGAGTTCTTTATTTCATGTTGGGCAAACCTCTTTGTCCATTTTACAGTCACCTTCGAAAAAAAATCTGCTCTTTAAATTGATGTTGAACAAAGGATCGGAGATATCACCAGTTCGGTGCTCTACAAGAAAGATGAAACACACCTGGGGGGCTTGACATTCGCTGTCGAGGAGCGACCGTTTTAGAAGAAGTAATTGTCTATAATTCGGCATGTTGGCCGGGGCGGACCCGAACACTGGTCAACCGAACGTTCCTACGCAATGCTAACGACTCGGCTTTTGCTGTTTAAGAAATGACTAGATCCTATTAAGGACTCGCCCGTAAGCACTTTAGCAGTACCAGCGCCAACTGAGGAGGTAGAAGAGCTGTACTTAAGATTCTCACTGTATTTTCGAGGCTAAAGACGCGCTTCGTTTTCATTTACATCCTCCAAATGTTGAGCTAAATTGTTAAATTATGCAATGAGGACATTTTAAATTTTCCATAAATTCATAAGGCGCATTTTTAACGGTAATAATTACAAAACCAAAGGAAAATTCTGCTTTAAAATACATAAAAATGCGAAAAATATAAAGGAAAATGAGAGAAAATTATATTTAACATACATATATGTATATGTAAATATACCTATCTATATAACTGTACACTTTGCATTTTAATCTGTTGTGAGATTTGCGCAAACTCCACTTGAAAATCTTGGCTGCAGTTCAAAGTCCCTCAACAGCGCGCTTTCATACGCCAAATGCGAAACAATAAAAGCGGCAACCAATGGCAGACGTTTTCGCAGTATTAATTAAACTACCGTTACGTACAGTACCACGCCAAGCGACAGACGAAAGGACGTAAGCAGCAAACAGCAAAAATGCTGCCCCGACGTTTGCCCATTTTCTTCATCTTAAGTGTCATTGTAGTCTCCACCAGCCAGTCTTGGCTGAAGCCTGGCTGCCACAAAGTCGGTAATACGCGCATAATATCGATACCGGAATGCGTGGAGTTTCGTATAACGACCAATGCCTGCCGTGGCTTCTGCGAGTCGTACGCTGTGCCGTCCATCCCATTTGGCCAAGCGATACCGGGCATTTTTAAGCCGGTAAAACCGGTGGTCTCGGTGGGTCAGTGCTGTAATATAATGGCGGCAGAGGAAGTGAGTGTTAAACAGTTATTTCGCATAGAATTTATGTGAGCTTGACTAAGCCATATTATTTTCTCCTCAAATTTGCAGGTACAAAAGCGCGTCCTCTGCATGGGCGGCATGCGCAATATAACTTTCAAGTCGGCTGTATCCTGTTCCTGTTATCATTGTAAAAAGGATTAGCCTGCTGCTATTTGTTGGCAGTCCATGAACTAGTTACATTTGTGTAGGTATTTTTGTATGGAAAGTGCATCAGGGTTGCCACAGTTTGTTACGTGATCTCTTATCACTTCTATGTCTGGAAGAAATTTTTAATCACATAAAAGCTCTTAGCCGCGCCTCGTTGATAACTCAAGATAAATACAGTAATATTTAGTACCAAAAAGAAAAATAAAAAAGTTGTTGTTGCAAAGTATCAAGAAAACGAATACATAATACAATAAAAACAATTATAAATTATTATTAATATTTTTTTTAAATTAATTTATTATATTATATCACTGTCATGGAAAAACGCAATGAGCATCAGTTGGTTTCCAGGTCACATGGATGTAGAAGGCAATAACAAAGCCGATGAGGTGGCTCACCCTGGCGCCGTTTACGAGACTCACCCTTTCGACAGCCTACCAGAGAAGGTCATGTTGGCTGAAACAATAGGACTTCTTAAAGCTAGGCAGTCACTAAAGATTCAGCAGAAGAGAGAGAGGGAGAGAGAGAGGCTGAAGACGGCAACAACTGGGAGACTTAAGTAATAAAGAAACACGTTGAAAGACTCTTTGGGATACTCATTATTGATAAGGTCATTTGGCTGATACTTTCGTGAAGGTGAGATTGGTAAGGCAAGATAAGGAAACCAGGTATTTGTGTTGCTTAAAACAGCCGTATTTTGAAATGGGTTACCGAGGTGATTGACTTTCAAAGCGCTCACTACCTCATTACATATCTGTTCTGGGTATCTTTGGCTAATCTGAAGGAATGGTGAATGACACGTCGGAAAATGACTTCCTTCGACATTCAGAGACCAAAGACACTGCAAAGTAACTTAGCGGAAATTGGAGGAAACTCATCAGTCTTAAGTGGCTCCATTTCTTTTTCCCTTTCTTTTGTGTTCTGCTTAAAGGGAAGCAATCTTCTATTCGAACACCGAGTAATAGATATACAAGATGGTCTACAGCTATGGAAGAAAGCAGCAAAATTAACTTAAACCGTGTGATTAGCAGTGCATACTACCATTTGGAAGGTCAGCGTTCGAGCACTGGTCCGACAACATTCATAGTTAAGGCAGAGAATCTCAAGCCCTTTATTTGTTGAAGTAACTTTGGATTTGCTTTGCGCTGGTGATGTTCATAAAATGCGGATATTTATATCCGTTGTTGTTGTTGCTGTTGCGGTTCACTAGCCCTGCTTAAGCACAGATTTGATCAATCTAAGTCGCCGAGGTCATCTGCAGGGTAGGTCCAGGAAACGAGCTGTTTCGACGGGGTTGGACCAAAGGGAGAGGGGGGTTGAGAGGGCATCTGAAGAGGTGGTTAGTGTCGTGCGGAGACTCTCCACATGCAGGGCATACGTTGGGTATGCTGGGGTCTAGTCTGGATAAGTAGGAGTTTAACCTGCTACAGTATCCAGAAATGAGTTGTGTCAGGGTATTTCCGTTCTATTCAACGGTTGACCTACTTTGCGTTGCATAATTTTAGGATAAATTTTAATTTAAATGAAATAAAATGATTTAACGATGAATTCACTATATAATGGACAGGTCCTTTGGAAAAATAAAAAAATTTACGGGGTGTGATTAGAAAATAACCGTTATATTCAATTTTTTCAAACATGTTTTGTTTATTCCCCAACAACTATCCATCCATTTTTTTCGGATAATAAAAAATCAAAGGGCACACCAAAACACGACTAACCGTTTTAGCTGTCAAAAACAAAGCGACAAACCAAAATGGCTGTTATTGCCAACATATATGTATAACAGCCATGTGTAGCAGCATAATAGAAAAAAGTGAAAATCGAACATACGTAATTCACGAAATTTGAAAATAACGGATATCTGCTGCTCACACCTCGCATAATTGAATGAAACAGTTATTTTCCAATCATTCGAATGATATTGTCCTAGTATTATTTTGGAGGACCAACAGATGCATGGAGTAAGCATCTTTTCAGCGACTTTCACAATACCAAACTTTCTTCACGAATTACATATACTTTTTTACACTTTTATACTTACTCTCTTTTCTAAATTACACATAAAATAGCAACTTTTTAAACAAAAATATTCATTTTTAATTTTATTAAAGTAAAAAAAAAAAATGGTAAAAATAATATGAGCGCAGTAAACTTGAAGGCACTTAAATTCAGCACAAAAAAAAAGTGTTGATGTCTCTTAAATCCGCTTATATCCCATCAAGGAACTACAATTTTGAAGTCGCTCCTTCCCCAGCATCTATCAACAGTTGCTGCATTTCAAGTAGCACCTCACGCAATACACAGGCAAATCTATCCACGTCAGTTGTGTGATTATTGCGCCAACAGGTGCATGCCAAAATCATATCATTTTCACGTGGATTATAACAACAGGCATAACCATCATCCGTAGCTGGGCCGTAAGCCATGAAACCCAAATTCGGCGTGGCCACTTGTGAGGTGGATACACGAAAGATTAAACTCTTCACATAACCCGGTGATTTATAGAATTCCGGTATGGGTTTCTTATTCTCAAGAGCCATCAATTTCAAGCCCAGCAAATGGCGATCAACACCTTTACCCTGCAGTGCGTTTGTCGTGTAATTGCGATGACTATTTATAGCGGCACGTAACAATTCTACACGTTTCTTTGAATCCGCGCACTCGTCCAACATTGCTTTGGCAAAGGCTACCGATTCATTTGAACACGAACGTATGGTTTCGGTACGACCGTAAATGTATATGCGCAAATGTGCCGATTCGTATTGTGCGGCTGGCACTTTGTGGAGTCTAAAGGATGGAAATGGTGTAAATTAAAAGTTTCCTACAAATATATGTATGTATACTCACTTGTAATAGGCATACTGCAGGGCAATTTGTATGTAACTATCCGGACTGAGTTTTTGCTTTTTCAAAAAACCTTTGCCATAGTCTTGAAAGTGTAAAATATTAACATGCAAATTTTCGGATAATTCTTTAATATTCTTCTTTGCTTGTTCAATATAACGGTTTAAAGTGTTGTTGCTTTTTAGTTTTAGCTTTGCAGCACAAGGATAATTGTCACGTGCACTATTTTCATAGTGTTTGTCATTGAACCTGTAAAGGAGTATTGTTTTTGTAAGAAATGTGAAATTTAGAAAGAAAAAAAATGATATTTTCAAGCTACAATTCTGCTCATCTGAGAGTTAAAAATACATTACTAGAAATTAAACTAAAATTATGAGAATTTTTAAAACAATAAATTATTGGACCTCTAAGAGTGATATCTTAAAGTGATAAAAGCTTAAAGTTTTTTAAAAACTATAAATCAATAAAAATAAAAGAGAAAAAATTGTGTTTACATACAAATTCTTGGTCACATAATCTGTAATATTCGCGATGGGTTGACCTTCAGCCGGCGAGTGCTCATAGCAAAATCCACTCATGCCATTGCGATTCAAAACCAACTGCAGGCGAATAAAAAATATTGAAAATATTAGTTTAATATCTCATAATATTTTTTTTTAAAGTCAACACACTTGTATCGTTTTATCCATCCAACGATTGGCGCTATTCACGTGCGCTCCCCCACCATGTATTAATTGAGCACTTAGTTCATTAAAGAATTGATCTTTTTCCACATCAACGCATTCATCCAGTGACACCGTGAAGAGTGCGCTTTGTATAGTTTTAACATACTCCTTATTGTCGTCGATTTTAATCAGCTCCTCGTAAGCTTGTGCCCAATTATCGCGTGTATCCGTTGTTAATACACCAAATTCAATGCCTTTCTTCGTCTCAGTGGCAATGATTTTTTTAAACAGCGTCAATAACACATCCGGATGTAAGGCTACACCATTGTTATTGAATATGGGCACTTTGTAGAACTGTGGGAGTAAATATATATATACAAATAAATAATGCATAGGTTTTCATTTGACTTTGTCTTACATGATTTTTATATAGCACAACAACATGCAATGACTTGGGATTATACACCAGTTGATCTTCACCTTTTTGTGGTATACGACAGGTACCGTAAACTTTGCTAAATTGCGAATTGTCCAACTCGTATTGACCCATTTTCACTATCGGTATTTCACCAGCATCGATGATTTGCTTATAACGCGCCAAACTGTAGACCACTTTGGCAGCGTAATTTAAATAGGCTTCATCATCATTGAAACTCTGTGGTGGAAATGTCATAGCAGGACTAACATAAACGGTAACTGGATCACGATACTGCAGATAAGCGGCTTTCAGCCAACGTTTGGCTAACCAATTTTCTTCACATTTTGCAGCCTTCTCCAGCAGCGCTTGCAATTCAGCGCCTTCACCCGTCTCGAATTTCTTTACTGCTTCCCGTGTTTCGTTTAGTTCGCATGCATTAAGCAGCGGTTCCACAGTTTTTAGAAACTTTTCCAGCGTATCTTTGAGCGGAAATGCAGGGTAACGTAGTAGATTTTGTTTTTGTGGTCCTTCAGAAATCGAATAGAAACGTTTGTCCAATGCGTGTTGTTGTGCCGCAGACGTAATGCTGGGCAGTGAAGATTTCATTGTTGAGTGCAGCGCATTTTTGGTCTAAGGGGAGAAATGGAGAAAATAATAAGTATGTGTTGCTTTTTCTTTTGATAAAGTGTGTGTTTACTTACCAAATTGATGACGGCTCGACGAGGGATGAACTGCATGGCGTTGCTTTGCTCGGCGTTAATATATGTTGGCCCGTCCGTATAGCTTGTGCTGCTGCATAAACAAATTCAATTAAAAATCAAAACTATGTGAGCAAAAAATATATTAGTAGTAGCAGCTGATATAAGAAAATTTGCTCAGCAATTGGCTTGCTTCCTACACTGAATTGCAGTGTTTATTTGAATATTCACCTTTGCACTTTGGGCATAATCACTAACTAAATTTGTGTGTTTAATGTTAAGTTTGGAATTTTAAAGCAATTTCACTTTTACTTTTGTTAGGTTTAAAATTTGAATTAAAAAGCGCACATCCATCCACGTAGTCAAACTTCCAAACTTGTTTATCGCAACAACTAAGCAGTTGAACTACTACCGGCAGCACTTCTTGTCACTCTACATCTCGAAAATAAAACTTGTTCAATAATCTTGTTAATATCTTTATTTCTCCCGTGCAACCGCTCTTGAGAGTGTTATTATTTCGTTATCAATATTTAGCCAATTAATAAGCCACTAAACACCAACAAAGCGTGCAACGCAAATGAACCTTTACCTCTATGTTTAAACAACATTTTGCTCGAATTTGTTTATTTCTTCCTCATAGTTCGTCAAATTGTTACAAAATAATTTCTAATCAGCTGTTTTTGTTATACCTGTTTTAGTTTAAGCCAACCGCCAACGGTAAGTATTGGACTTTAACCCTTTGCTGTGGTTTAGCTTTTAGTCGCCTAGAGTCTGCTTTAACCCTTTTTTTATTAATATTCAGCTTTAACTAGTTCTATTTTCCATTAATTAAATTTTGGATAAATTTTTTTTTTTACTTTTTCTTTTTTTCTCCTTTGAAAGACACTTGTTGATATTTTGGCGACACCTAGTGACATTTTGATTAGAGCTGCCAAGTTTCATACAATTGGTTTGTGCTCTGGCTAATTATTCAGTGAGAAATATTGCCCGTAACTTGAACCGGATGTGCTTCATGGGCGAACGTCACTTAAAAGTTTCTTTGAATGGGATGCAGCCTTGTGACTTTGATGCGACACTTGAAAGAAAACTAAAATGTTGTACAAAGATTATTTGAGAAGGTCCGTATTATTAATTGGTTTAACATTGAGTCGAAGGTTGTTGATGTTGTTGTTGTTGTTGTTGCAGCTAGTGGATATTTGAGTAAGTGTTGGCCTGTCTTACACCCTTTGAAGCGGAATTCTCAAAATAAACTTGATTGCAGCATTCTCCGCCTGAAAACACTTCAAATGTATCCAAGTCTGATACCGCAGCTTATGCATAATTCTCACCAAAAGACTCCCGGGTCGACATTATCATCAAGAAGTTAAGTGACGCGCTGTTGTTGTAGCGGTTATCCAACCCCGCGCCGAGGCTAGTCTAAGTCATCGAGATTATCTAACAGGAGGTGCAGAAATCGTGCCGTTTTGGCGGGTTCGGACCTGAGGGAAAGTGAGGTTAGATAAGTTAGTTGTGCCAGCTCGAGCTTTTGGTCTGCAATATGTGGTGTTTGGATACCGAGAACGCCGTTCACTGCAAGAAAGTTCAAACAGGTGTTGACGGACTCGCGGTGAATGGCGTTTAGAGCCTGTCAGTAAGCCGTACGGTCCAGAGGTTCTTGTATACGGTGTTGTATGGTGCCTGTGCAGTCAATTCCTTATTTACTGATTATGCTCCTTAGAGTTTAGCATAGATGTTTTGCTGTGCTTCGGTGATATCAGGATAGTTATCGGCGTCAAAACCGGCGCAGTCAACTGCGTTGTATGCTCTACGCACTGGAGTTGGCTAGCATTTTATTCGGCCAAAGACTGCCATCCTTTCGGCTACCTTACCCCGTTTAGATCATCAAGTAATTCTAGTTAAGTGCTCTTTTCCTCCGTTGGCTCGGTCCTAACCAGTCTTCCCGAGATGTGATTATGGTAACGAAGGAGCCACTCGACTCCAGCTCATATCTACAATAATTCGTGCATTTGAAACTTTTTACAAGTATTTCACTTAGGCAAATTAAGGCGCGCTAAAAAAGCTCGAAGCCGAATTTCATATTTTGATCCCATTAAATATAAAAATAAAATAAAAACAAATTGCATACATATTCATTTCAAAATATTTATTTATAATTTACATTTTACCAACCATATTTGTATATATGTATTTATGTGTATATTTATGATATATAATAATCTCTATTTTTACCCTCATAAATTGTATTGTACAATATACACGTATACAATATGTACAATAACTACATATATTTGTAAAAATGCTTAAGAGGGGATCTTTAAAATCTAAAATGCCAATGCCTTATTTTAAAGCATTTGAGTATAAAAAATACACTGTTAAAAATATGTTTTCATTAGATAATTGTAAAGTTTTTGTTCTCTGTAAATTACATTGTTTGTATGTAACCCCAATAAAACCACAACCTTAAAATATGAAAACACTTTAAAACACACACACATATGTACATATGCATGCAGTGCAGAAATTAATAATATTTTTGGATAAATAATAATAAAAAAATGTATAAGAAAAACTATGTATGTAAATTCACACTTGTAAAATGAAATAGAAAAAAGAAAGAACAATGTGTCTAATATTATTTCTACATTCTACTACAAATCACAGCGCGAATATGCTTTCTTATAAGTTAATAATAATGTTTAATTTCGTTTCATTCAATTACATATTTACGTTTTGTACACATAAATTGAACTTCATTTAATGTAAAATTCGTTTTTTTTTCTTTAATTAAAAAGTGTGTTTGCATTAAATTCTAATAGCACTATACAGCTCAACACGCATTTTTCATTTTTGAACTTTTATTTATATGTTTTCAGCATACAATACAATTAAAATTCCATAGAAGGCATGAATATTGAGTATAAAAATGTGTAAATATGTACTACATATAAATCGTATATAAACTTAATGAAATAGTTTTGGTTTACGTGCACCTCATGGAGGTGGTATTACTTAATAACTATATGTAAATGTGTAATTTTTTTAATTTTTTATTTTATAACGTATGTATGTGCGAATACGAGTACATTCAATGCGCTTAGCAGTTTGCTTAATGCATACATTTGTATGCATACACAGGTTTTATGCTCTTCTTTGCTTCTTCTTCTGTACTTAACACATTTTTTCTATGTATACACGCATATGCAAGCATTTCCTTTTTTTGTTATCACAGCTGATAAACAGTTTTAAATTTGCAAGATTCACTGCTACTGCATATTGCATGCACGAAAATTCGCTGTTTTTTTTTTATAAATACTCACATTCTAATAAAAATTATGAGGCATGCTGTGTGGGAAAAGCAATATTTCACATAAGAATGAAAGAGCCTTAATGCGCCTTATAAGCCTACTTTATACAATAATGGAGCACATAATGAATATATCGAAGGTACATACACTAGAAAATAATAATAAACATAAACACTCAACCGTAATGTTGTAGTTTATGTGTTATTATCAATTACATATTTAACACGCGTGCGTTTTACACAAGCAGAATTCACACGATTTGCATTGTATTTTCTGTGTTGACATTTTGACGGCTGCTTCCGCTATGGCTGTTATCGATAGCCTGTTCGATACTTTTGTTGGTGTTAATTATCGTGTGATTAGTTGCCGTTTTGGCACCTATGCTAAGCGCATTGTTCGTTTTTATTTGATTATCTACATGTGTTGCGAAAGTCTGCAAAAAAAAAAAGAAGAAATAAAATAGAAATAAAGTGGGTTAATATATTTGGTAAACATTTAAGTGTGTAAACTGTGCGTTTCGATCGAATGTTATGAATGATTGAGTCGACAGATGGTAGGCAGTAATATAAAAAATGTGAAAGCAAGTATTGGAAATATTTCCATAAATATGTATAAGCCGGCGTGTGCTAAGTAGCTTGCTGAGTTTACTTGGAGCAAATTATGGAAAATTTTTATGCGCAAATTTAATTCTGCGCGTCAACGGGAGACTATTATAATTACTATGGAATTTTACAATAGAATTAATAAGCGTAGACAGTCTGCAAAAGCTTAATAGCAAACTAGTTTGAAATTAATTTAAGTAGCTACCAACATACATATATACGTACATACGTATAGGTATGTATAGTAAATTGATATTACACAATAGCTGTCAAATTGACTAATAAATATGTGCAAAAAAATTTTTCTTCATAATATGTTGAAAGAGATTTGTGTTAATTTTCCAGAAGTTTTACCAACACAAGCGTGCGGTTTTCAAATACATACTAAATATTGTTTATATTTTCGATTTACGCAAATTATTTACGTCAGACAATAACTGTTGTGGTAGGTAATGCTAATGTTTAAGTTCGCGCAAAATTATATATTCGTAAATAAAATAAATAATAATAAAATTTTCGTGTGTTCTAGAAAATTTAAATATGTATTGGTGTATTTTTTAACTGCTTTCTTATACGCAAATTAATTTTACAATTAACTTTTTTAAACCAAAATTTATGGATGCAATTAAAATTTGTCACATTAATTTGTGTTTTTGTTTTGCTCGAACCGAATTCTTTAAATAAATATAAATAAATGTATGTGTCAATGTACAATAATATTGAGGAAGGTAATGTGGATATTTAAAAATATAATAATATAAAATATAACAAGATAAATTTAAATAAAATGAAATTGAATGAAATAGAAGGAAAAAAAATTAATAAGGTAAATTAAAATGAAATGGAACAAAAAAAAAAAAATAAAAAAAAAATTAAAAATAAATGTATAATTAAAAAAAAAAATTAAATTATATATAAAAAAAAGGATGATTTAATTAAATACTTTTTTCAGATTTTTTTTTGATTTTAATTTTTTTTGTATTGTGTTTGAAAGTATTGCTTTAACTTAAATTTGCAACTGATTATCGAAATCCCGATAATTTCGCCTTTGTTCTGCACATATCTATCTATTTTGTAATTTATAGCCATAAATGTTTGTTTACAACCAGACGGCTTGTCGCCAAAATAAACACACACACACATACATATGGGTATGGCTGCAACTACCCAACGAGCGTACCAGCCGTCCATAGTAACCTATCTTATGAGAGCGCCATGTAAACACAAAGTTGTCACCGATTTACCATAGCGTTGCTGACGTTTGTGTCGCAGAAACCAACGAAGTTTTGATTTTTCCGTAAAACCGGCTCGGCTCATTTTTCGTTGCTATACAAGGTTGCCAGTATAGCCTTTCTTAAAGTAACATTGAATGATCGAAGAAAATGCGTAGTTTTGTTCGAAAGAAATGAAAAATAAATGCGTAATTAATTATTTGTTACCATATAGTATATATATATTTGCCTTGTGTTTATGTTCAAGCAAATAAATTATAAAATTCGTTGACGAAAATTATGAATTTGTTCAAAAGTGTGCAAACACACAGGCAGCTGGCAACATTTCTCCGCTCTCAGCGGCGTCGATAACTCGTGTGTTTATCTCGCCTCGACGTCGACACTTATGGACGGCTGGTGAGTGAAATGGGTAGTTGCAGCCTATATTGTACAAGCACACAAGTGAAAATTTCCGACAAATTTCCGCTCGTTGTTTGCCTTGATTAGCTTTAATTGAACGATTTGCCATTGACATTGAGTTTAATTGTATACTAACAAACTGACTAGATAGTAAGTAAAATCTCGCTGCCGTGTGGGTTGAAGAAAATTTAAGTATTTTTTACTTAAAATTAATTATGTTTGAAATAATTATTAGACAGAATCTGATAGCATGCCATTAATACAAAATATCATTGAATAAAAATATAATTTATTTTAGCGGTGTTTGGTGAGAAATGTATTGCATGTTTTTGAAAACAAAAAAATTGTTTCTGCGTATGAGTTCTTAAAATGATTTAAAATGTTGCTTTCTGTTTTAACTATTTTCCCAACACTCACCTCATTCGTCGAGTGCTCCGCATCGCCGCCACTGCTCAAGCTGCCTGTGCATTCATCCGACTCCGTCTCGTTCGCAACACTTTGTCTTTGCGCCAACAAACAAGGACATGTGGCCGAATTGTGACTGCACAGCAATGAAGATGACGACGAATTACTCTCAAAATCATCATCACCACTCTCCGAGCCAGATATCGCTGGTTCCAAGTCTAAAGCGAATGAGCCCTGTCTTTGCTGTGTTGCTGCCAATTCTTTATACAACAAATCCGCACTCGCTTCCATATCCATATCATCGTGACGCGTAATAATGTTACTCTCATGCATTTGTGGACTCTTCTCATTTTGATGCAGTAACTTCATTTCGCATGGCTTGTAGACATCATGCACGTTGCTGACGCCACGCAAAATGTTCACTTTATTGTATTTACCATCGGATATTTGATTCATTTGTGCTATATTTGACATACGCAGTGTGGCGCGTGTAACGGCGTAAACTAGGAGAGCAACACCAAGCGCCAGACTGCCCCAGTAGCCGAGTATGTCGAGGTAGGGCAAGATGTTGAGATAAAAATTGAAGCGAGAGTCGAGTGATTCGGGCAATTCGGGCATCATCTGTCGGGGGGAAGAGAGCGTAAAAACAACTAATGCTTGTTTCTTGGATAACTTTTATATATGAAAAAACTTACAATATCAAACCACAGCATGGGCACTGTTAAGTGACTGAAACGGCTGACTTGTCTGAAGGTGCTCAAATCATCGAAATGCATATTGATTTGTACTTTGGCGGAAATGGAGAGCGGCAGGCCGGATTGCTGTGGAGAGGAGAAAGTTGAAATTTATAATTAAATAATTAATTAATAGGAAAAAAGTACGAATATAAAAACATCAAATTTTGCTGGCAATCAGTGAGTTAATATTTATCGCTTTTCAAGTGCGTACACTTCAAAGTCAGACGAATTTTTTATTGCAAAAAAAGAAAAAAAAACAGCAAATTTACATATAAATTGTAGGCATATTATTTTTCAATAATTTCGTTAACGATTTTCATTACCAACAGCGTTGTTTTCAATTTAAATACAATAACAACTAGTTTTAGTAGCGATATTTCGCGACAATGCTTTGCTAGTAGTCGATTAATGCGCGCTTTGGCACATCCTCGTTGCATAGTTTATTTTGTAATATTTCATGAGGTTATCTTTGGTTGTTTTTGTTTGATGTTTTTTTTTTTGATAGTACAAAAGAAGCTGTCCTCAGTAAACGCCTTCCCATAACAAGCCAAATTCGCATTAGTGACACAATTTTATGTGACATTGACATAAATAACAAAAATGCAATGTGTAAATAACTAAGATTTTTTTTTGCAACAAACTATGCACACAGGTGTGTATGCTTGTACTTTTCTCTATTTTACAGCAATGTAATTGTAAGTGTAAATATTCTGCTCTGCTACCAATAAAAAGGCGTTCTAACGTGGATTGTTGTAAAATTACGACAATAATTGTATGTGTGATTGATTAGTCGATGTTCGATTGGCAATTAAAAGTTTACATCATACATACATTAATTATTATTTAATATTTTTAATGTATGTGCATGTTTTGTACTAATAATTGCTGGTATTAAGCAAGGTAATAAACAATGTAAAGGTATGTCTAATGAATATGTAGAGAAAATCTTTCAATGAAGCGGTTTGGAAATTAAAAAAGACTAAAACTTTAGAATAATAGGAAAAAATTTTTAAAAAATTATAAAGAAAAATTAAGAATTAAAGCATTAAATGTTACAAAATAAATTATTTAAAAAACAAAAATTATAAAAAATTAAACATTAGCTGATTTAAAATTTATTTATATGCATAAATAAAAGGGTAAAACAATTTACACACACTTTTTTTAGTTTTACTTTCAATTATTTTAGTTTTAAATGTAATATTTAAAATTTCCAATATTATTATTTTTGCTTTGAAATGGTTTTTTTTAATAACACAAATAAAAGTTAAATACAATTAATTATTTTAGTTTTTAAATACAATTTTTATAATTTTCAATATTATTTTTTTACTTTGATATATTTTTTCTTTTTAATAAAACAAATAAAAATGAAACAAAATTAATTATTTTATTTTTGGATACAATTTTTATAATTTTCAATATTATTTTTTTGCTTTGAAATATTTTTTCTTTTTAATAAAATAAATAAAAGTGGAGCAAAACAAATTATTTTATTTTTTAAATACAATTTTTATAATTTTCCATATTATTTTTTTTGCTTTGAAATATTTTTTCTTTTTAATAAAACAAATAAAAGTGGAGCAAAATTAATTATTTTATTTTTTAAATACATTTTTTATAATTTTCAAAATAATTTTTATGCTTTGAAATATTTTTTCTTTTTAATAAAACAAATAAAGGTAAAACAAAATTATTTATTTTAGTTTTAAAATACATTTTTTATAATTTTCAAAATAATTTTTATGCTTTAAAATATTTTTTTTTTTAGATAAAATAAATAAAAGTCAAACACATTTTTTATATTTTTTAATCATTTTGGGTTTTAAACATAATATTTAATATTTTTATAATAATTTTTGAGTATCAAAATATTTTTTTATGTAACATAAATAAAAGTTAAACACGAATTAACCCAATTTTTTGTTCATATTTTCCTTTTATACCTTTTATTTTGAATTTTTTTAGTTTTCAAATAAAATACTTTAAATTTTTTGTGCTAGTTTTATGTTTGAAACTTCATTTACACGCCTTCTATTCCATTAGTAACACCCTACAAAAGTAACTCAAAATTATCGATTTTCGATCAGTGGAAAAATCGCCGCTTTTCATCGCTAGCAATAATTGCGAAATTCAGCACATAATTTATACAATTGTAGCAGCCAACGAATTGCGTATATTAAAAGTGCAAATTATATTTTGAAGTAACTTTATATGTGCGTTGTGTTGTAATTTGTTGCAAATCAATTGTAGTGATAACATTTAAACTGTGCTGCTCATACCTACAGGGTTTTGATTGAGAAGAAGACCAGCGTGGCACTTACGAATAATAAGTTTAAACATTTAATTTGCTATTTGTGCGCCTTTGAAGGTAACGACAAATCATTAAACGAAATTGTTATCAGTGTTAAGCAAATCAGGTTTGCAACAAATTAAATATGAATTTAAAGAGCTGTTACTAAAAAGCACCCACTGGCGCATATGCGTCAATGTAAATAAGTAAATAAATAGTTAATTAAGCACTTATTGTCATGGTCAACCACTTTCAGCAAGCTATATTTTACAAATTAAGTATAATTTAACTAACTTACAACAACAATTAAACTAACAACTTTCTAAAATATGTATAGATACGTGTACATACATACATAGTTCCGACAGCTGACGTGTAGCATCGGATTTCCTGTACGCGCGTTGAATTTAAATAGTAAAAAAACAAAAAAAAAAAAAAAAACAAAATAAAAATATCATGTTGTGGCTAATAAAGTTGTAATGCCATGAAGTAGGAGGTGTCAAGTGTGCATAAGTGCGTATTTAGCACTGCACAAGCCCAATTTGGTGTTACGCTTCTAGTTAATTCGTTAAATAAAGAATACTTTAATGCCATTGCTTATTATACGGTAATTAAACAATTTCGCTCAATTAGTTTCTAGAATAGTGAGAACAATTAAAATTATTTAAATAATATTGCGCAAACAAATCAATTTTACCGGCATATCCGCAAACCAGCGACGGCTGCTCGTAAATATGTTTATCTTACAAGTGATACAGCAATTTCAAATGTAATTTGACTTATGTTTCTCTTAACCACTCATTATTGTTATTCGTATTGTGTGGAAAAATCTTTTTTACCAATTGGTTTATTTACAATAACACAATATTATCGATAAATATTTAATTAATTGCTCTGTATAAAAGGCGTGCAATTAAAGTACACATGACGCCGAGTGACATTGCATAATATCGACTAGTAATAGCAACAACAACAATAACAACAATTAGAACAATTGAAAAAAATTTAAAATTCAAAAAGGCAACACGGTAAAGAATGATTAATACTGTTTTTAACCCTATGTAGTAATATGTATGAGGTAATTATAATTACTTTACTTTACTTTGTGGCACATGTTGTTTGTTGGTGGTGTTTTGCTTTGGTGGTATTTAGTGTTATGTAATAAGTAGTGTTATTGTTATTATTTTTTTACCATTATTATTATTTATCTTTTTTTATTCTTTTTATTATTGTTGTTATTTTTATTATTATATATGATGCTATTAAAACTATTAGTTTTAATATTATTATATTATTGTTTTTACTGTAATTATTATTTTGTGATTATTATTACTCATTTATCAATAATGTTATTATTTTATTATAGCGAAAAATATTATTACTAACATATTATTAAAACTTGTTTTATTGCTATAGTTTTGTATTTTTATTATTTCTATTTTTTACTATTGTTAATATTTTATTATTAATACAATTTTTTCCATAGGAAAATATTATTATTAATTTGTTATTAATGCTGTTTTTATTTTTTAATTTTTTAATATTGTTATTCTTATTAAAGTTATTAATATTATTACTTTTTTAATATTGTTAATATTTTATTAAAACACTTTTCGCAGTAACGATCAAATCTCATATGACACATGAACGTTAGGAGAATATTTTTTATTAATTTATTGTATATAAAATTTTTATTACAATTAATTTGGAATTACTACTAATTAATTAACTATTAATATTGTTATTATTATTTTCAATAATGACATGAATATTGCGAAATGTATGTTATTAATATATTAATAATACTTTTTTATTATATAATTTTATTTTTTCATTATTATTACTATTTTTACACTAATACTAGTTGTCAGTTTTAATATTTTTCGAACATAACAAAAAATATTGGTTTAAGTGTGTACTCGTGGAACACAACCTTAACAACAGAGAATCGATAATTTTTACACTTCGATAACAAAAATAATTGCGTTGGTTTCAAAGAATTGCATCAAAGCTACGAAATTTCTAAAACAATACTTTAATAAATCTTTTTGGTTCTTTTAAATGCCGAAGTTCATGAAAATTATGCATAAAATGACGGTACGTGAGCATCAGCTCACTTTAACTCACAAAAAATTGCCACAAACGAAATGTTTGTACATATATATAAAATTGTCAACTTACCGGTTGTATAACAAATGCAGAGGCGAATTTTTGCTCATCCGGCTGCATGCCGGTAATATTATCCAAAAGCCCAGTATCGCCGTGCATGAAGTGTGGATAACTTAGAGAAATCGGGAAGCCGTAATAACAGTCGGTAACATCGATGAGACCACGTGGTTGACATTTGCCTGTTTCAAAGAAAGAATGAAAGAAATGAATTGCAATTAATAAAATATGCAAATGTATGGCTATAGTGATTAGAAATAACATGAAAAGAGTGAAAAACGTGTTGCAGCGTAAAGCAGGAAAACTAATAATCAACCGGGAAGGCGTAGCTTGGCAGCAGCAGAATTGGTTACTGCTGCGGTCAAGCAAAATATGCAAGCTATAAATCGAAAGCTTCAATTCTATAGCTATGCATTGTACATTGTTCTAATGGAAGCAGAAAATTCAAATCAATTTCACAGCCATATTAAGCTTGTACACGCCGTTGACCTTCCCAATGCAATACCAACACTAACAATTGTCATAGCTAATTCCTATATTATAATGCATTAATTTCGCTCTTTATACGCTATTTAAACAACATGAAGTGAATGAACACCGTTATTTCTACGCTAACCCATCGCGTGTGTGTAATTCAATAATATGCCATGCCCCTGCATTTTTTTTACTTTAACGTTTAAATTGAAAAAAAAAAATTAAAGTAATAATAAATAAATATAAAGAGGCAAAACAATGAGCATATAAACATACATATGTAAACAAAGCTCGTCGGCTTGTGTGCATAGCTCAGTGCGCTTCATATAAGCGGAAAATTTCACGTGCTGTCTTTTGTAGTCACGACTATGTCGCCTGCGCGCACCTGATATCAAGTGTAGCGTGTGTATGTGTATGTATGTATATACGAGTAGATGCATGTAATAAATGAGTGCGTTAAACATGCCACCAGTACGCCTGTCACATTGTGTACATAATATTTTATTTTATTATTATTATTATTTTCCGTTATGATTGCATTTTTTTTTTGTATTATTTTTATTACACCAAACGGGTATGGATGTTTATGTAGATATATATATGCATGTATATTTAAGGGAGCTCGTTGGAAATTTAATGCGACGTCATAGCATCCATATTCGTCATTCTGTTTGTTTTCCGCACGAATTTTACTAATTTTTTTTTTTTGCAACGGTATTTTTCCCCTACAATTATTTATTATTTTTTGCATGCCGTTTCATACTTACTCACAAGCATAGCGAGAATAATTTCCATGTATTTGATTGTTATATTTTTCAAGTCTAGTGCATTAAGTGAAAATAAAAAAAAAATTGAGAAAAATGGTTTATTTATTTGCACCAATTGCAGGTGGCAATAAACTTGTTTAATAACTAATTAATTAAGAGAGCTCATAAAAAAATGTAAAATAAAATAAAAATACAAAAGAATGAGCCAAACTAGAATTTATATCAGTTCTGATGCGCTTTCATGACTTTGAATGAAAATAATAAAAATAAATAAAAATTAAGTAAAATATTAAAAAATCGATTTGAGTCAGAAAATTATTTAATAAAATGAAAAGATATAAATAAATTAAAACTATTATTGAAAACTAAATATTTGATTGTTTTCATTTGAATTTAATTAATTTTGAGAAAAAAGTTTGCCCAATTGCAACAGATATTTGTGAGACAACATGTTTACATACACTTGTACATTTACGTATATATTTTACATTTTGTTTTAAATTTATTTTGAATCTTCATTTGCATTTTAATTTTAGTTTTAATTTAAAATGTGATTTTTAGTTTAAATTAAAATCAATTGCAGTTGTTATTTAACTTTTAACTATAGTTTTAATTTAGATTTAAATTTAAATTTAAGCTTTAATTTTAGTTTCAATTTTAATTTTTATTCACATTAAATTTTGTATATCATTTTAACTTAAGTTACAATTCTGCTTTTATTTTAATCTTCAATTTAGTTTCAAATCTAATTTTTGTTTATTTTCAATTTTATTATTTTCATTTAAATATTTAATTTTTTTATTATTATTTTAACTACTTTTGGAAATTATTTTTCAAAAATTCTTACTAAGAATTTTTTATGTGACGAATTTCTTAAAAATTTCCCCTATTTCAATATGCAATTTCTATAAAAATATGCGCACGTGTAAATTGTCATTGACACGCCGGCATCCGTACATACATACATATATATTTATTAACTCTCACACACCTCGTTATGGGCAGCACATTACTATATATACACGTATATTTCTTACTACTTTTTCCGCATGCAATTAATTTTTCCACATTTTTTATCATACGATATGGTAAGCACACGTTGTTTGCCAGCCTTAATGCTGACTCATGTATGTATGTAAGTACAGCGACAAATGCGAGCATACGTTGCACTATAACAATAAATTATTCTTGGAATTCTAATGGCTATCATGTCATCATTTTAAATGCTATTAATGTAAAATAACAAAACGATCAAGGAAATGTTGTAAAAAAAAATCGTACAAATTAATAAGTTAACTATTGTGCGATTGGTACATACATATGTATGTGCAAGCATGAAATGAGCGCTCATTAATTACCATAATTAAATATGCCATTGATTGCCTTGTTTATGACTTTACAAAAGCTGCTGCACTTTCTTGTTTAATATCATTTTTTTTAATACTTCATATATTGTTTTTTTTTTTCCTCAGAACTAAGCAATTTTCGCACATTAATATTAACACCAGTTTTATTTGTTTTTATTGCTGATTTTCTCATGTGAAAAATCAATTGATTACCACACACATATTGCTGACTTATTGTATGTATGTATGTATGTAAATATGTATATGCATATAGTGTTAAAAGCATTAATAAACTGCATTTAATTATTGCCACTACACAAGTTGGGCTGGCTGCTTTTAGATATTTCAATATAGAATTGTGCTCGCAACAAGTTTGTCGCTTAAGTCTTTTGTGTGTATGCTAATTGCTAATCACATGTACTCGTATGCACATTTGAACTCCTTTTAATTTATATACGAATGATTGATGACACTTATGGCTTTGTCTATGCATAATTTACAATGTGCGTGCACGCGCACGTGATATATCTATGAGATGATAAATAAATATGCCTTAGAGAAAATAACTTACCCTTTCTACAAAAGCACTTGTTTGCCTCATTGGTGGCGCCATTGTCGAAAGCGTTCTCTTCAAAAACATATTTATAGCCGGTGAGACTGCCGTGAGTTTGTGGTTCACCAGTGCGATACTAAAAATAAATTACATAAATAAATTATCAAACTAAATTAAATAAATAAATGATTAAACTAAATAAAATAATAAGATTAAACTATGTTAAAAAATATTAAATTAATTTTGAAAAAAAATTAATAAAAAATCGATTAAATTGAAATTTTAAAAAAAATATTTAAATTTAAAAAGTAAATAAAGTTTAAGTAGACTAAAAAATTTATATAATTAATTTATATAAAAAAAAGTAATTAAAAACTTAAATTTAATTAAAAATGTAAACTAAATATAAAAAAAGCAAATAAAACTTAATTTAAATAATTTAATTCAAATTAGGTTGAAAAATATTAAATTAATAAAAAAAATTATATCAAATACACATAAAGTAATAAATTAAGTTAAATCTAAAACAGATAATTAAAAAAAAAACAGATTAAATACAACTAAAAAGAACTGAATTAAATTATAAAAACCAAGTTAATTGAAACAATTAAACGAAATTTAATTTAAATGAATTAAAAACTAAATTAAGTAAATAAAATTAAATTTGAATAATTCAACTTAAAATCTATTAATTAAAAACTTAAACTTAGCTAAAAATTTAAACTTAGTTAAAAATTTACAACAAATTTAATTTAAATAAATAAGTGCATTAGGTTAAAAAATATTAAGTTATTCAAAAAAATATATATTAAGCTAAATATAAAAAAGAGAATTACAAAAAAGCAATATTAAATTAAACTAAAAAGTATTAAATTAAATAAAAAAAAAATAAGTAAATTGAAAAAATATATTAAACTAAAATAAATTTAAATAAATTAAGTATTAAATTAAAAAAAAAATCAAATTAAATTCAAATAATCTCACTAAAAACATATTAAATAAAATAAAAACAAATTAAACTATTAAATTAATTACATATATATTAAGCAAAAGAAAAAAATAAAAAAAAAATGTTAATAAAAAAAATAAAATTGAAAAATTTATTTAAAATAAATAAAAAATTAACTAAATTAAAATTAAAATAAATAAAAAATTAACTAAATTTAAATTAAACTAACTAAATAAATTTAAAATTAAATTAAATAAATTAAAATAATTATATTATTATAAACTTAAATTCAGTATATTGAAATTTTGTCTAACATTATTAGCTTACCAAATTAATAGGCCTGCACATGCTTTTCCTAAAGAACTTAATAGTTTCGTTGGGTTGTATGAAACTCTTGAATTTGGTGCCATCCGAAGCGAGTTCAATATTACTGCAGTGTTCACCATCCCATTGTGGCAAATTGGTACTGCCACGATATGTGGCATAGAGACCCGAAATGCCGGCATTTGTTGCGCCAGTGTAGAATGTTTCATAGTCGGTGCTAAAGTCGTACATCTGTTGCGGGGAATAGAAGAAAGCAATGAAATTAATTTTCCATACCATTACGGATTACTACTGATTGTAAGAAAATATATAATAAAATTAATTAATTAATTATATAGTAAGTTAAAACTCAGCTGGAACTTTTTTTTTAATTAATTATAATTTATGAGCTACGCTTTTATTGCATAATTTAATTTACTATTAATGGAACTAACATTTGAAAAAGATTAGTTTATGCATATTAAAATTTTTTAAATGTCTATATATTTAAGTTGAAAATTCATTTATTTAAAATTAATATTTTTTGTATACCAAATGGGAAAAATAATTTTACTTGTTTTAATTCAGTATTAAATAGTTAGTTCTGTAATTTTGTTTATATGTGTATAACCAAAAAAAAAAAATTAAAATTTAAAACTTCATTAATTATTGCAATTATTGCATCTATTACTTTAAAAAATTGCCTTTATTTTTATTTTCAATTTTTTTTTATTACTATGTTATATTTTTATACCCTTTTGTTACTATTTATATTATATATACTATGTTTTAATATTTTTTATTTTGAGAAGTGTTTATTTTTCATTTATTTAAAATCAAAATAATAGATTTGTATTTCTTGAAATTTTTGATATTTTATTTTTATTTTTTTTAAATCTTTTTATTTGACTATTTTTTAATTAAATAATTTTTTTTAACTTTAAATTATTTCTATTTCGCTCACCCGATCAATTAGTCCCACTTTCTCGAAAGATATCCACTTCGAAAAGAACGTATTTCCCAAGGTGGTCAGCGATGAGGAATAGCCGAACATAAATTCCTTGGCAGTCATGCGTACCAGCGGCTGTGATTTCGATGTGGCGAATAATGTACGCAAGCCCATGCGTAGGAATAATGGCTTGTCGGCAGTTAAATGAGAAATGGCCTAAAAAAAAAGAATTCGGGGAAAATAAATTAATTGCTACACATTAAAGGCTGTATTTATTTTATATTAGAACTAAATGTTCTTTAATAATTATTATAAGTTTAAAAAAAAAATTAAAAATATTTATATTTTTCGTTTTTTTGTGTTTAAAAAAAAAATAAAAAAATATATAAAATAAATAAAATAAAATTAAAATAATATTTTCCTTATTATATTTATAATATTTTTTCAATAATTCTGCTTTACATTGCTTATGAACTTTAGCACATAAGAAATTAATTAAATTCGTGTGACATAAAACTAAATTGAACAATTATCAACTGCAAATTGGCCTGGCCACATACCCATAATGCATGAGTTGGCTGCGATGAAAGCACCACACGCGCTAGCTATAATTTATTATAATATTTATGGCAAAATTATAACTGCTCTATATATGTATGTATGTATGTGCATATGTATTGCATCAATAACGTTTAGTCAATCATCAATAAAGTAAGTAAGTCGTGCTAGAAATTTCCCCCATTAAAAGGGTTAACTGTTATCGATTATTTTACGAAATCGATTGCGCATACACAAGCCGTTGGTAATTAACTAAAGCGCATTTACATTTAGCAGTTCTTTTATAGTGTAAAGCAATAATTAATTTAATATAAACGTTAAATTTAATTGTTATTGCATTTAATGGAAGAATTTTTTAATATCAGACGGATTTTATCTATGTGGAACTTCAAGCACTAAGACTAAGAATTTGCTTATTATTATTTGTATGACATTGACATTGGCCATTATATTTAATAATTTGTCGTTCACAGCAAGTGACACTGTTGATTAGCATACTAGTAGTGCTAAAATTTAAAGTTATTACGCTATTCAAATGGTTACTTTTTTTTATTAGAAATCATGTACCCATCACATATGAGCCATGTCGTCTCATTAGCTTCATTGCCATAATTTGTTAAGTCATCATATTGCAAACTGCTTAATGACCGCGCTTAAATGAGAAGTTATTTTCATTGTTGTTTTGCAAAAATATTCTTTCTTTTTGTTGCGAATTCCCGGGCTGTCGATAAAGATTTTATGAACTTGTTTTGCTTTGCCAGCGTCGCATCCAGATTTACTGTTGTGATTAACTGGCGGCAAAAAAAAAAAAAAAAAAAAAAAAAACGAAAAAAACAATACAGACGGAAACAACAAAAAAGCGCCAAAATAACAGTGAGAAAGCACAAAAAATGTAAAAACGCAAAAACGAAAACAATACAACTGGTTGGCGATGAAAAGATTCCTTAAAAATGGTAAATTTCCATTTCGAAATTAAATCAAAACAAATAAGTTGTTTATTAAAATTTATTAAAGGATTTTTATTTAAAATGCATACACAAATACATTTAACAAAAATGCTTTTATTTTTAAAGTAAGCTGTATTTGCATAAATATGCGTTTTTTGTGGTTGCATTTTATAATATCTAAATACCCCGTGTTTGTGTGTGTGTGTGTGTATTTTCTCTGCAAAATAGTGTCAACTTAAACTTTCAAATAGATACAAATCCGCTTTGACAAATGCGCCCACCTTGCTGTCTAGCAAATGTTAAACTTTTCTATTTATAGCGGTATATATTAGCATTTAATATATTTATATATATTTTTTTTTATTATTATTCGCATATTTTTCATTATATTGAGATAATAATTTTAATAAAATGTTAATAAATATTTAAAGTTTCAGCAAAACTCGATTTACTAAATTTGAATTAATGGCGCAATCAAGAAATAAATATTAAAATATACTATTTGTTTGCATAAACGAAAGAAAGAAAAAAAAACGTGTTCGCGCATCGAGTTCTTTGCTTGAGTTCTTTGTTTGCCAACACCCAAAACTTGTATTTTTTCTTCTAGCTTTGTTATTATGTTCAAACCTGTCTAAACAGTTATTTAAGAAACGTAAAAAAATTACTACTTTATTTGTTTATTATTATTATTAATCAAATAAACGTCAAAGGCTTGTGTATGAAAAATTGATAGGAAATTGTCAAGCAGCTTTTTTTTACGTGGCGTAAATCTTCTAGCTCTCCAAAATGAAAATTAAGAATTATTTGTTTTTATTTAAATATATCATGTTTTCTTTTATTTTGAATGCAGTTTATTTTATTTAATTTTTTTTCTTATTATATTTTATTTTAGTAAATTTTTTTATTTCAATTTAATCTAATTTTATTTCAAGACTTTTTACTTAATTTTATTTACTTTTTATTTCACTTTTTTTTTTGTTTTACTTTAAATAATTTGTTTATTTTTTTATCCCATATAATTTGTATTTTATTCTACTTTATTTGTGTTTGCTTTTTATTTTTTTTATTTTTATTTCAAACTACTTTATTTACTTTAATTTATTTTTGTCTAATTAAATTATATTTTATTTTTTTACTTGACTATATTTAATTTAATTTTTATTCATATTTGACTTTATTTAATAGAATTCAATTTATATTTGTCTAATTAAATTAAATTTTATTTTTTTGACTATATTTAATTTAATTTTTATTCATATGCGACTTTATTTAACTTATTTTTGCCTAATTGAATTTTATTTTTTAGTTGTCTATATTTAAATTAATTTTTATTCATCTTAGATATAAGTTATTTTATTTTTATTGCATTTAATTTTAATTTATTTATAATTAATTTTTTTCTTTTCTTTAATTTAATTTAATTTATTTTATTTTATTTTATTTTATTTTATTTTATTTTATTTNTTTTATTTTATTTTAGTTTAATTTAATCTAGTTAAATTTTATTTCGTTTATAAATTACAATAAATTCTAATTTTAATTTTATATTGCATTACTTTTTAATTTATTATTTTATATATTTTTTATTTTATTTATTGGTTGTTATTTTACTTTATTGATTTAAATTTATCATATTTATTTCTATTTTTATTTCCATAAATTTTCTTTATTCTTTAGAATCAGTATTTTCTAGATAAATTATAAATGACAGCACATCGTAAATATGTACAAATAAAGCATTAATCATACGGAGATGTGAACATACATACATACAAGTACTATACATAGCATACATGCATGTACATACATACATATAAACAAAATGCAGTGCAATTTACTTATTTATTGAGTGTTGAATTGCAGCCACCGGCTTAGTTGACAATTAGGCCAGTGACACATATATATATGTACATATATAGTAAGGGAATTTCTGTTTTTATTTTCATTTAGGAATTTTTTCAATTTCTCTGCTGATTTATAATACGCTGCAATGTTTTTGTAGAGGAAAGTTTTCGGACCGGGGAAATTACAATAATTGTTTACATTTTTTTGTTAGAATAAAAACGCACAATTGTATATGTAAGTTCGAGTGTGTGTGTTTGTTTGCAATTAATGTATTTATATACAAGTTTGCAACGTTTATTGACCCAAGTTAGATATTTTTTATTTAATTTGATTAAGTTTTTTTTTTTTTGTTTTGTCATTATTTCAGCTGCCTTGGCAGTCAATTGAACACAATAACAATGCAAATCTAACTGTTTGTTTACATTTTTTCTCTCCCTAAATTGGAGGTCATTCTTTTGGGGAGGTGGTATTCACAATAGTAGGTAATTTTTGTGCTGTTTGGTGTAATATTTTGTTGTGACTTGGAATTTTTATGCATAATAAGTGTTTAAAGTGCAGTTAAGCTGTAAATAACAGCAGCTGATATTAAAGAGGAGTTATATGAATTATAGTATAACTTATTAAATGATATTTAATTTAAATATTTTTTTATAAATATTTTTATTTTCAAAAAAGTCTACGTTTTTATGAACACCCTCAAAAAATACAAGTTATTTGTTTACATTTTGCTTGTTTGTTGGGGAAAGTACTTTGTTTTTTAAATTTAAATATATAAATTTAATAACAATTTAATATGAATAACATTTTTGGTGACCGTCTGTCCGTTTAATTTCTCAAAGTTATTTTTAAATTTTATAAACACTCGATACAAAACCAAAAACAAAAAAACGAAATTATTTGCACAGCAACAAGTAAAATATTTAATACTTCAAGTATTTTTGTTTTTGTACACTTACCAACATTGCTATATTCAGCATCACAACCTGATCGTCTTCTTTATTTCCCTCAGACATATGTTCCTGCCACACCAAGGGATGACTGGGTGTTGTTGACATTGTGTTATTGGCATTGAATGTGATATTTTCGTGGGTCATGATTTCTCTGCGGGAGTAAGACAAAAAAATTCGAGCGTTATATAAATAGATTGCAAATCATTAGGGAAATTGTAAAAAAAGGGTTAAAGTAAAATGTTTGTTCTATTTCTTGTTGCAATTTTTCTCACTTGTAAACATATGGGCCAACTTGTTCCACATTCATTTTCTCACGTCCCGCCAGAAACGCCTCCGCATTCGTTATATTAAACAGATAGATCTTTATGTACAGATCTACCGGTGGTTTGGCCCACAAATTAAAGATTTCGCCATCTTCCGACATTTGTAATTTCTGAAAATCAAAAACAAAATAAAATACATTTTAATGACATCTTTAAAAACTCAAAAAATTACAATAAAAATGAGATAAAATAAAAATAAAGTAAATAAAAAAAAAATATTTTAAATTTATTGCATAAGGTAAAAATAAGAAAATAAATTAAATTAAAACTGAAACAAAGTTAGAATAACAAAAAAACAAAACAAATTAAAGTTTAAATTTTAAAATAAATATTTAAAAAGAAATAAAGTAAAAATAACAAACTAAAAAAAATTAACAAAGTAATTAATTTAAAAACGAGAAAATAAAATAAATCAAAATTGTAACTAAAATTAGAAATATAACAAATAAAACAAAGTAAATAAATTAAATTCAAAGTTTAAAATTTAAAATAAATAAATAAAAGGAAATAAATTAAAAACAACAAATTAAAATAAAATGAAACAAAATGAATTAAAATAAAATAAAATGAAACAAAATTATAAAAAAAAAATTAAAAACTTAAATTAAAAATAAATGAAATAAAAAATTAAATTGAACTATATAAGAAAAAATTAACGATATAAATTAACATAAAACAAAAAATAATTAGTAAAAATAGAATAAAATAAAACCAAAAATAATTATAATCAAAACAAACTAAAATGACACGTAAAGTATTAAATTAAAATTAAAAAAAAATAAATATTTATTAAAATAAAATAAAATAAAATAATATAAATTGAATCAAATAGAATTTTTCAAATAAAAAATTGAAATGATAAAAATAAAAAAGAATGTAATGAAATAAAACGACATAAAATAAAATGAAATGAAATTCAAAATTAAAAAAAAAAAAACAATTTGAAAGAAAATAAAATTAATTTAAATAAAATGAGTTAAAATAAAATAAGAAAAAAAAATACAATAGAAACAAACTAAAATACACATAAAGTATTAAATTAAAATTAAAAAACAATAAATATTTATTAAAAAAAATAAATACGAAAAATAAAATAAATTACTATTAAAATATATATAATTTTTTTGTATAGAAAAATTAAAACAAAATAATTAAAATGATATATGATATGAAATTAAAAATTAAAAAAAAAAAAATTAGAAAGAAAATAAAATTAATTCAAATTAAATGAGTTAAGCTAAAATAAGAAAAAATAATAATAAAAACAAACTAAAATAACACATAAAGTATTAAATTAAAATTAAAAAACACTAAATATTTATTAAAAAAAAAAATAAAATGAGAAAAACTAAAATAAAATAAAAGTTAAAAAAAGAATAAATATTTATTAAAATAAAATAAAATGAGAAAAATAAAATAATATCAAATCAAATATAATTTTTTTGTATAGAAAAAGTAAAATAAAATAGTTAAAATGATAAAAATAAAAGAGAATGAAATTAAATATAATATTAAATAAAACAATTAGAAAGAATATAAAATTAATTTAAATAAAATGAGTTAAACTAAAATAAGAAAAAATAATAAGAAAAACAAACTAAAATAACACATAAAGTATTAGATTATTATTATATTATTAAAAAATAAAATAAAATGAGAAAAATAAAATAAAGTTATATCAAAACAAATATAATTTTTTTGTATAGAAAAAGTAAAATAAAATAAATAAAATGATAAAAGTAAAAAAAGAATGAAATTAAATATGAAATAAAAAAAATTGGAAAGAAATTAAAATAAACTAAATTTTACTAAATTGAGTTAAACTAAAATAAGAAAAAATAATAAAAATAATTGCTTACCCATTTGAAGATCAAATCATATGGTTGAAAGATTTTCACTAGCACAGCCGTTGTGATGGCTAATACGCCAAGGGCGAGTAGTAAAAAGGCGCCTATAAAAAATAAGTAAAAAACATGAATGCATATATTATTAATAAAACACTATTAATATATTAATAAAAAAGTTGTTTAGCAGATTTATTTGCTTAGTAATATGTATGATAAACAGGAAAGGCTATGTTTGTTTGTTCGGCTAATTTTCATTTTAATTAGGCAATAAGTTAGCTTTGTGATGACTTTACAACCATTTATTATGTTTATGGCAGATTTCGTTTGTGTAAATTTATTGTATAAATTATGAGCTAACAATCTTTAAAAGTCTCAAATTAATTGACGCTGAAGAAACGTGAATTTATTTCGATTTCAAATTAATTTACAGCTACATATTATTTCTGGTGTTGCCATATATTTACTTTTTCCCTGGACTATTAAAATTCCAAAGTAATTTTAAAATTTTCCATGCCTTATAAATAAATATATATATATATATATATATTCCTTGCTGCAGGATAAAAGACGTGAGTCCAATAAAGATCAATTCCCGCTGCTGGCAATAAAACCGCAATTAAGTTTTACCACACAAAAACAAGTTTCACAGAAGGAACAATCTCGCACCGAAGACAGCAAACAAAGCCAAATATGGTGGAGTAAAAGTGATAGTAAAAATGCTGTATAAAAATAGAATGTCAAGGACAGTCGAGCGAAAAAAGTGGCATGCATAACTGTCGCATTTGCCCACCGCCAGTGAACGAGATACAAATACAACACAACAGTGGAAAAGTAGAGAATTGCAAATATTTACACATAATTGGCAAATATGCAGTGTGCAATTGATGTAATCTTCTGCTAAGTCATGTCAATGCATGCCAAACAAGACGCAACACTACCAGGCTGCTGCTATTGACTCATCAAGCAAATGCACCAGCTGATTGCCCGATTACCTGTTTCACTACTAAGCTTAACAAGCGGCAATGACTTTTACTTTCACACTTACATACAAACATACGAAGCCTTACGCGCGCTGCTGCTGCGCCGTTGTAAATGCCAAATTGCTATAAACAGAGGCAAAGTCAATAAAGGACTTAAACAAAGCGCTTAAGAGCAATAAAATCATATAAAGTGTATGCATGTGTGTGTGCGTGTGTGTGTGTGATGGAAAACCAGTTTTGCATTCCTGCCGCCAAGAATGTTCTGGACGGTGGCAAATACAATTGAGGTTGGTCAAGACAACACTTGTGCATCTCAGTCAAACATCAGCAGCGGCATCAAATGTGGACCGGTTGCGGGCAGCTTGTTGGCTGGCAAGCGAAAGCAAGCATTTGTGTGTTTAAATATAGCTATGCGCATACAAACATCCGTACATATGTATATATATGTAGTATAAGTAAAAAATATTTGTTGTACTTGGTCAGGGTTGAGGCAGAATCACGAAGATGCTTACGTGGATGATGTGAGCGCAGAAAGTTTCAAGGGAAAAATATAAAAAAAAAAATTAAAAAAATTAAATTACATTGAAAATATTTATTTCGCAAAAATTGTATTAAAAAGTTAGTCAAATATTAAATAAAAATTTGCTGATGCAACACTTCACAAGTGCCGCTCATTTAATCGATATTTTTGCTTATCGATTTTCATTTATTTATTGTCTTTTAAACTCACTGCAGTTAATAATGAACTTTACAATGCAAATATAGAAAATTAAATATAAATAAAAATAAATACAGTTATTCGCATATACATAATCAAATTCAATTATGAGATACACACATTCATTTATATTCATTTATACATATATATATTGGCAAACAAAATACATGTTATAATATTCTTATATTATTGTACTACACTTGAAAAGTCTTATCTCACAACTGAAATTTATTTTCTATTTAACTTTTGTTGTCAATGACATTATAATGACATTAGATGAATCTTCTATTTATAAACATATGTACAAGCACACATTGTGTGTAAATATTTGCGCATGAGCGTGCGAATCACTTGAAAGAATGTGGCTGGACTTGTTATCGACCCCCTGATTTCATGGCTTTAGGTAATTGAGATTTTAGAGTGGGATTTTTTTTTTTCAATATACATGACTTAAATGAGCATTTGATGCATATATGCATATATATATATATAAGTGGGAAACCGCAGCGCGCTATTGAAGTAATAGATATGACTTTACAGTTGATAGCAAGCGCATACTCATCACTTTGTCATTCATACAGACACTGCTATGAACTCTGCTAACTACATAAATATTTTCTAAATATCAAATACATAAAAAAATGTATTTCTCTTCATTTTTTTATTTTTTTATTTTACTTTGCTTTAGTTGCATGTGTTTTCAGGAAGATCAATATGACGCTTAACTTATTTATACTAATTGATGATGATGCGCTTGTGGTGCTGATTCAATCGCATTGCGTGTACATTAAACCTATTCATTATGTGTAGATGTAGGTAAGTAAGCGATATTTGCTAATGAGACACTTTATATGCACGGCGAAGGTGTTGTCAACTTACATATATTTACATACATACATTTGAACGCTTTGGAGTGTGAGTAACATCTAGTCAACACTCAAGCCGCAATGCGGTTTTGTTTGCAATAAATTTTTATTTAATTTTTTGTTTAATTAAATTAAATTTAATAAAATTTATTTTTTATTTCAATTTATTTAATTTGTTTTTCATTGTTTCCATTTTTTATATTAATTTTTAATAACTTTTTGATGTTGGCGCAGTGGTAGAACACTCGCCTGTTAAGTCAGGATCCGTTGGTTCGATCCCTGCCATAAGAAGTCTGATGAGGAGATGTGGTGATCTCCGAAACAGCTGTCACTTCTACAGTTTTTCTTTGTTCTAAAACAAATATTCAATTCATACAAACAACAAGGCCTCGTAGTTTACTTAATAAAATTAATTTTTACTTTCTTTTAATTTTATTTCATTTCTTTTTATTTGATTTTATTTAATATTAATTTTTTATCTGATTTAATTTTTTTTTATTTTATTTGTATTTTTAATTTCTTTTCTTTATTATTCTAGTTTATATTACTTTATTTTAATTAATTTAATTTAAATTTTTTATTTTATTTTGTTTGTTGTTTTATTTTTATTTTTTTTTATTTTCATTTATAATATTTTTTTGATTTATTTTTTTTTCTTCATATAACTTTTATTTATTAACTAATTTTATACCTTTCATATTTTCTTTGATTTAATTTTACTTTTTTTTTTGCAGAACTTAGTTTTAAGTTTATTTTTTTGAATGCGTTATTCTTTTCATATTTTTTATTTTAACCCATTTTATTTTAAATTAATTTTTTTTAATTTATAAACCATTTTTTTATTCTATTTTATTTAGTTTATTTAACTTTAATTTTAATTAGTTCTATTTTAATTTATGTTATGGTGATTTATTATTATTTTATTTATTATTATTTTTTTTTTATTAAAATCAAAATTAATTTAATTTTTTTTTACATTAGCCTTTTTTTATTTTTATTTTTATATTTATTTTTATTTTATTTCATCATATTATTAATTATTTATTATTTTTCATTTCATTTAGTTTTATTTTATTTTATTTGACTCTGTTTTATTTTATTTCATTTCATTTTATTTTTAATTTATGTTATTATAATTTATTATTATTTTATTTATTTTTGTTTTATTTTATTGAATTCAAAATTAATATATTTTTTTACATTAGCTTTATTTTATTCTATTTTATTTTTATTTTTTTATTTTACTTCATCACATTACTAATTTTTTATATTTATCATTTCATTTGGTTTTATTTTATTTGATTTTTATAATTTTGTGTTATTTTATTTAATTTAAATTTTTCAATTTTATTTTAATTCAGTTTTATTTTGTTTCCTTTATTTTATATTATGCTACTTAATTTAATTTAAAACAAATTTAATTTATAACCATTATTTTTATATTATTTATTTATTTTTATTTCGCTTTATTAGTTTTATTGTATTTTGTTATTATATTTATTTTTAATTTTTGTTTTTTTTTTTTGCGTCTTGTGCGTCATTCACAAATAACCCATTTTTTATTTGATGTGAAAAAAACATGAGATCTGTCTTCTCTGGCATTCCATCAACATAGCTGATTTCATTGTAAATCTAATGATGATGCATATCTAAAATGGTACGCATGTGCAAATAATTTCATTTATTTTTTTATTGTATGTAAATTTTTTCTTAAATGTGTCTTTTGATTGTGGATTTCCTCATTTGTGGTGTGCTTTGGCCTCATTTGCAATTTCTTTCATGTCTTGTTTCAAAAAAAAAATGTACTTTTGTTTGCGAATTCAGAATTGTCATTGTCGGTGATTTTTTCACCCACAATATAGCCGACGACAAGGAATTGAAGAACTCAACTGCTCTATGTTTACTGTCATTTTTATGGCTCTTTTTGTGCGCAAATTTTCTATTTTTATTTATATTAGCAGACAATTTATGATGTAGAAAGAACTGAATATGCAGAAAGTTTCCACAAACCGTTTTAAAACCGCTACGTGTTGGGCATATACAAAAAATATCTCCACGACTCATCGGCGTTTTAATATAACCGCAAAAAAGAAATAATAATAATAAAACTACTTGAGATGTGTTAAAAATGAAAAAGAACTTAATAAAAATACAATTAAGTTTGCAAAACAAGTTGAATCAAAGATTTAGTGTCTTGTCTCGAGCTGCCGGCCATAAATACTAATGAAGAGCAGCTCTGAGTAGGCGTGTTTTTTTCCTTTATTATATCATTCATCATAACAGCTCAACTCACAAAATTATAGGAAATAAAAATTCACGCCAAAATAACAAGCAATTATTTAAATAATCATTTGTGTGGTGTGTGCTACTCATTTGAGTTATCGATATTTTTCACCACGTGCGATATTTGTATTGACATTGTCATATTGCAAACGGTATTTGACAGATGTAACGTGTATGCTACAATTTAAGGCGTCACAGAGATAACTATTAATTTGTTTGTTTTGATGCCTCACTGCTGTCAAAACATACATATGTAT